TACATCAAGCCCCTAAACACACGCAGAAAGGTTACTTTTGAAACTTTCCTCAGTGGAAGTTGAAGGCTCCTATCTTGCTCATACCTCTTTGGAAAAAAATCCATTCTAGACAATAATTCAAACTAGAGTTTTACTTGTTCAGAGAGAAAAAGCAAATTGAGATGGTGTGATAAGGTCTTTGAATAGCATGAACGTAAGTATAATACATCATAAAGTGCCATATCAGTTTATCAGAAGTATCACAGGTGCTTTACCCCAATGCATGTTTATTCACAAAATGTAGAGAATCACTGAATGTAAATGCAACAGATACATTTGGTAACATGTTACTTAAAATGGGAAAGCAGCAGGTAGCACAGGACCACCATTCTGTGGTGAGTCAGGAGATGAAGAGTGCCTCCCACCAATCAGATGAAAAGCAGAGTGGGGGTCAGTATCACCCGATGTGAAGTGTATGAGCATCCTCCTGCAAGCAGACGACTTCAAGATATTTTTTGGAAAGCTCTGGTAGTTTTTCAGAAAGAGTTGATCATAGCAGTGCCTAAGGTCAAGCTATTGTCATTCAACATGCAATAGACAACATCATTTAATGAAATTCTGAATTATTAACAAGGAGATGTTAGAAGACCACATTATGTGGGAATAAAACAGCGAAGCAAACCTCCTGGGGTATCAACAAATGTCCACTGGCGGTATTCCAGACAGACATATAATTATCTTGCTCAGAAATGTAAATGCATTGTTTAGTTAACAGCAATCATCACTCCCTCTTACAATGTGTGGTCAGCCCTTCCACTACTTTGCCCAGGGCCGATACTGTATTAAGTGTCCAACAGTTTCACAAGGCATGTCATTTTCATCCTATAAATATCAGTGCACTGGTAATTTCACAAGATCCTTTGGCCTGAGATCTCTGCAAAACAAAAACAAAAGTAAAACAAAACCCTGCCTCAACATTCTTTGTCCTCAAATCTCCTCACCTGGTTCTTTTAACCCTTCTTGTTCATTCACAAATCTAAGTCCATTATATTATCAGTGCAAATGTTATCCCTCCAGGCTAGTACTTTAGCCATATACTTCCCTCAGTTCCCCCTTCTCTACCACAGAGTCTCTACAAGGCAGTAAAATAAACCACTTCTTTTACCTTTTAAAAGTCCTCACAACTGTTTCCTGCACTTCCTAACTTGTGTGACATGACACAGGATGATCGTTTCATCTCTCCACTTCCAACATCACTGCCATTAGTATCTAAGGATATCTTCTAAACTTCCTGTCCATCACTCTTTTTGAAGAAGAAAAGATTCCACCAAATGCCAAAGAATGAGAAAATCACAATATCTTCCTTGACAGTGATGGATTTTTTTGCAGATGTTTACATTCTTAAGGACTAGGAAGTTGGTTCCTGTGATTGTGTTCAAAGTCAGGTTGGACGGGGCTTTAATCAACATGATCTAGTGAAAGATGTTCCTGCTCATGGTGGGGGGGGAGTGAACTACATGATCTTTAAAAGTCTCCTCCAACCCAAACCATTCTATGATTCTGTGATTGTATCTTGTTCTGTTAATCACAGCCTCTTTGATGACACAGATGTATTTTGTGAAGTATTTAGATTGTACACTCAAGACTTCCGTGTGCATGCAAGACTTAAAATTTATGTTGTTTACCTCTACATTTTGCTGCGCTGGTCTTAGCCTGACAAGGCCTTGCCCTGTCACTGAGGCCTCTCTGTGGTATTACATTACAATAAAATGATTGCGATCTGAGACTCGTACCATATGTTCTCCTGGATCCAATTCTTACCACATTGTCCTAGATTGGCAGATGAACCCAGCCCTCTACTCTTGCAGTGACTGGGAGCAACAGTGCAATATCAGGAGCGTTAGAACCAAATATTTCAGGTAGCAATATTTTTAAGGCACAGTCCTACTGCTCAGCACAACACAGATCTGTAACCTTATCATTCCTAGAACTGTTTCCCAGGAGAAAGCTGATACAGAGACTGTGCTGCAACCGATAACCTTTAGCATGCATCCAAGTGGTTAAGAAAGCAGAACAGGTAAGGGTAAATGCTGGTAGTAGATCAGAAGCACAGGTTTTGTGTTGCTGACTTAGCCCATAGAAAGACCCAAACTTCTCTGGCCCACCTTGAATTGAGGACAGAGTCTTGATACTGTGGATACTGAGTACCCCTCTGTGGGAACAATACCTCCCATTTTACCTCTTCTGTTGTTTAGTGGTGCTGATGTCTCACCTTCCATGCTGGGTAGCCTGGCTGTGCTTCTCTCTCAGGAGCATTCCCTGTTATTCATTTGGGGTTCTCTGACGTCAACTCTGAGGTCAGGCAGGCAGGACCACGCCTGTCCCTTGCCCGCTCCCAAACACAAATGACTATAGATAGCTGCTGCAGCAAATGCTTTTCATTATGTACTCCCCTCTCCTCAGACCGCCCGCCCAGTTGGGGGTGGGAGCAGCATGGGGCCCCTAGATGCCTGTGCTGCTCTACTATGTGTTTTCTGTTATTTGGGGTGAGTTGTGCATTCCTCACAAGCTTTGAATGTTGTGCAGAGTCCCAAGGGAATCCTCAGAGGAGTGGGAGGAGAGAAGAGGCAGGGGAAGGTTGCCCGTGCACACCAGGGAAGAGGCATCCCCTCCCCCACGTCAGCCTGTGAAGGTGTCCAAACCAGAGGGACGTGATGGGTCTATGATAGCATATCCTCTGCACACAGCATCCATCCTCTTTCAGAAATTTATTTGAAAGCTTTCTACCTCCCACTAGCAGAACTTGCTTAGCTCGCCTTAGTCTGGCAAAACATAGAACAAGAGGTGATAAATCTGTCTGCTTGTACACTTGGAGTCAGTGCCAGAAAGGTAAAGGAACAATTTCAGATTACGACTAACTGTGAATCAAGAATAAATGGATATAAATTGGCCATTAACACATGCAACAAGAAATCTGGAGGAGATTTCAAGCTATTACAGCAATCAGGCTCCAAAACATCCTTCCAAACTGAGAAAGACATAGAAGCAAAAATCCCATCTGCTTCTAAACTAGAGCCTGATAAAATAGTGATTATGGGATTTTATATCTGTGACAGCTAGGGATTGGACATGCAGACCCAAGAATGGCTGCACATCACTTTCTCATCCTTTACCAAGGAAATCTGATATAGAAACTCCCTTCCTGGAGCACACATGCAGTGCCTTGTAGGAAACTCCCAGCCTCCTCAGCCCCGCCAACGAGGTCTGTGTTCTAGTGTTAAACCCAGGATGCCCAGTTCACGTTCCTGTGTCTTCTCACAGAGTTTGCACGGAAGATTGTTATGCATATATAAATTCAGGACTGGAAAGGACTTCCTGGGACAGCTGGATGCACGGAGTTCAGTGGCCACTCCCCAACTTGCTGCCATGTATTTTGTTCCATCATAATTCTCAGGATGCTAATATAATTGGAAATCCTGCAGGATCTGAAGTGCCAGCAGGATGGGCTAGCATTCCCTTTAAGTCTTAACCTATAACTAAACCAAAACATCATTTCTAGATCCCAGAGATGTGACAAGATCAACAAAATGATGAACAGCTAGGAAAAGGGAATCTGGAGGAAAAGGAAGCCCTGATCTCTGCAGAAACTGTGCACACATCTGAAATACAAATAGAAATATAGGAGCCACCAATAACTGCAGCAGTTAGGACTAGCTGCTTCAGGTATGCCAGAAATCACCTAAAAGGCAACACTAATAAAATATACCTCAGAGAAGGAAACTTATGTGGTTGTTGATAAAATGCTAGCACTGGGCTAAGGATCGAGCTTTACGTGTCCCAGTTAGAAATATGCATACTGACTATTCTGTATAAAAGTGACATTTTAAGATTGCAACCTATTTAATGGACAATATACTAATTTGTGGAGTGCAAGATGTGTAGAGACGCTGCAAATGACAGTAAGTGTAGTACTCATGACATCTTACATAGCTCAGGTTAGCACGTTTCCTCTACAACTCCTAGTACAATTCCTAAAGAGAAGTAACATGAAACATTCACCTCCTCCCCCACAGACACTCCCGTGGTCCTGTGCCTGTTTGTCCTCAGCACCGGCAGCTTGTGAACCGCCAAGAAGCCACGTCCCAAATCACACGCGGTCACCACTACCAGCTCTGCTCTAAACTGCACCACAGGGAACAGAACCACTGCGGGGCCCGATGCAGAGTTAATCACAGCTGCTCCTCGCCAGAGAGCTCTGTCTGCATCGTGCCCCGCGCAGCTCCGCACCCCGCCAGGGACACGGGCACCCTGCCCCGGGGAGCTCCGCGCAGCTCCGCGCCCTGCCCCGGGGTGCTCCGCACCCTCCGCGCAGCTCCCCGGGGAGCCCCGCGCCCCCCGCGCAGCTCCGCGCCCTGCCCCGGGGAGCCCCGCGCCCCCCGCGCGGAGACCCGCGCAGCTCCGTGCCCTGCCCCGGGGAGCCCCGCACCCTCCGCGCAGCTCCGCGCCCTGCCCCGGGGAGCCCCGCACCCTCCGCGCAGCTCCGCGCCCTGCCCCGGGGAGCCCCGCACCCTCCGCGCCCTGCCCCGGGGAGCCCCGCGCCCCCCGCGCAGCTCCGCGCCCTGCCCCGGGGAGCCCCGCGCCCCCCGCGCAGCTCCGCGCCCTGCCCCGGGGAGCCCCGCGCCCCCCGCGCAGCTCCGCGCCCTGCTCCCGACGCAGCGCTTCTCCCCCCGCCCCTCCGCTTACCGCGCCGAGGCTGCCCGTTGCCATGGCGACGCGCTCCCGGCCCTTCCTCGCTCCCGGGCCCAGGTACGGGACGGCGCTCGTGGGTCCGCCGGGTGCCGCGGCGGCAGCGCGGGGCGACCAGCCCGGGACCCCGGGTCCGGGATCCCACGGGCGGCCAGGCCGCGGTCCCACGCGGGGGCGGCCGGTGCGGGCCGGTCTCCCCGGGGGGCGGGCCCGGCACCGCGGGTCGGGCCGCCAGGGGGCGCGCGCCACGGGCATCTCCCCGCCCCTGACGCCGCGGGGCCGCGCGCCGCTCGTCACTGACCGCGCCGGGCGCCGCGCTCGCGCTCCGGTGAAGCGCAGGATGGGCCGGGGGCGTCCGGGCACCCCGCGCCCCGCCGCCGTGAGTGACACCCCCCCCCCCCCGGCACTGCCGCGAGTGGGCACCGCCGCGCCGGGGCCTCGCCGGGTGTCTGCGCGGGCGGCGGGGCCCGGGCTGGCAAGCGGGGGGAGGCTGGGGTGCGGGGGAGGCTCGGCGGCGCTGGCGGGAACCGCCCTCCCCTCCCCTGCGAGCCCTGGCCTCGCCTCTCCCCCCCGGTGGACCCGGGCGCCTCACGGCCCGCGGCGTCTGTGGGACGCGTCGGCACCGTGTCCTTGTCCCGGCAGGTCCAGGGCACCGGCGGCAGCAGCGCCGTCAGCAAGTGCTCGGCGGCGGAGCGGGGCTACATCCAGGACCGGTTCCTGCGGCTCCTGGCGGGGCGGCAGCGGCGGCGAGCCCCGCTCGTCCACCGGTGAGGAGCGGGCGCTGCGCGGGCCCGGCATGCGGGGGGGGCTTGCGACCCTCCCCCCTGGGGCTGCAGCAGGGCCCCAGCTGTTCCCCGGGGCCCGTGAGTTGTCCCTTCTGTTTAAGGCGTAGCTTTTAAAAATGCGTTTTAAGGTGAGAGCGCACAGCGACAGAGTGACGACTTGCCGAGCAGGGTCTCTCAGCATTGTGACCTTTTTAAACTGTTGGTATAATTATACATGGCTTACAGGCAAAAAATGAAAGCTTTGTCCCAAGCAAAGCATGTCACCGGACTGGTTCCTAATGCCAGCATTCAGTGCTGCTGTAAACTACTTTAGATAAGATTTGAAAACTAATGTACTAAAAACGTCAATAGCTTTCTCTTCAATTCTCAAGAATGTTACAATTTCAGTAAGGTATTTGGTGGCTCAGGGAAACAATACTTTCTTTTATATCAGTGGTGTCTGACCACTAGCCCTTCTCTGGAGCTTTGCAGGACACAAGCATGAATGTTTTCTTGTGTATGTGTAGAGGGTTCTATGCTGATATGTTTGTGGAGTTACCACGATATGAGGCTAATAGTTTAAGGCAATCAGAATGGCTGTGAGTTGCCAGAGGAGTTTCATTCAGTGAAAAAAAGCAGTATTCAAGCAGAGGCTCGAAGGCCTGTGAAGATGAGTGTTACTCATCAGGTCAGGGAGCTGAGCCTGCGTTGATGTGTCACATGTCGTTGGCATGCCAAACTAAATTCATAGAAATAGTTATGTATTGCTGTTGTCAACGTTTTCATAAATTTGGGGACATCTTAGAATACGTAGTGTGAGGCATGGGGATGCTAACGTGCTTGTTAAAGCAGGTGATAGAAACTGGTAGTCCTGATGGGGACACAATGAAACTATCTAGAAGAGAATGCCAAGGAAAAAGCGGCACCAGTCCCTGCCAGACTAGGCAAAAGGTGAACACGTTCTGGGAGTTAAACTTACCTGGTTCCATTCATTCAAAAAACAGAATTAAATTCCTTTCCTGGCTTTGCTTTTCTTCCCTTTTTTGTTCCCTTCTCACTGCATTTGCACATACTTTCAGTCATTTTGTTATAGCCAAAAGCCCTATGTAAGTAAAGGAGTTCATTTCATATTGTTCCGGCATTTGATTTGGTGCAGGAAATCGAGTATTGGCCACTCACATTGCAGGGAACATCCTAACTGGTTTCATACTTTTTAATCCACTGAATATTTATTTATGCAAAACGGAACAGGTCCAGCTAGGATATCTGCACGTTTTTTTCTGGCTTAGCTACTCAATGCAGGACATCTGTATTTATTAACAAGCTCTAGATATGACAAAATCATCAAACATCTCACAGTGCAGGTCTATAAATGTGGGGTTATTGAGTATAAGATGAGAGGGAAAAAAATCAGTTTTTTGAAATAGAGTATGTCAGTGCTGAAGAAACAGGATTCCTGGACAGTGTTTACAACTGAATTTCATTCCACAGGGGTTATTACATCCGCGCCCGTGCTATAGATCACTGTGTTCAAGACTTCCTGCAGAAGACCCAAAGCCACCCCAAGACACAGGTGCATTTTCTTTGTCTGGGTGTACTGTCAGTTTCCACTACATGTGTGAAAAATCTTTTTGGCATCTCAGTACTGCAGTAGTTTATTAATGCATCTGTTGTGATCCTTTGCTGGAAGAGCACAAAAAATCTGACTGGCACTACTGTGGCTGTCCATTTGTCACTTTGACAGAAATATAAGGGAGGGGGCAATACCTACACAAAATTCTTCTACCTCTTGCAGGAGATTGCCTGATTCTGTTGCTCTACAGATGATGTTGTTGAATATTTTTCACATCTAGATGCTCAGGATGCTGCTAGAGTTGAGTGTAACTTTTTCTGACACTTTCTCTTCAGATCCTGTCTTTAGGTGCTGGCTTTGACTCCTTATACTTCCGTTTGAAGGACGTAGGTCTTCTGCATCACACTGTGGTATGTGAAGTGGATTTCCCAAATGTGGCATGCCAAAAAGCTGCTCTGATCAAAAGAATGAAAGAGTTGTCGGCACTGGTGGGAGATGCTGGAGGGGAAAGATTAGGTATGAAATTTGTGGAAGGTTTTCTAGATACTAAATGTTTAGAAGAAATAAACATAGCTTCAGCTTTTAAAAAGTGAGATATGATGGTAGAGGAACTAAGAAGTTGTAGATGAAAAGCATGTTAATTTTATGAAAAATTTTGGAACAAATAAATCATTCATAAGCATTGGGAGATGGCAAGAAGATGTATAGCTGCCAGAATGGATTTGTCAGAAGCGGATTATGTCAAAACAAGTTCAGTTTCTTTCTGTTACGGTTTCTGAAGTACTATGTCCAGCTTTGGGCTCACTAATACAAAGAGAGTGGCAAACCGCAGCATGGCCAGTGAGAGGTCATGGGAATGATGAAGTGGTGGAGCCTATGATGTAGAAAGGAAGGCTGAGAGAACTGGGTTTGTTCAGCCTTAGGAGAAGGTTGGGAGGGAGGGAGGTGAGTCTTACTGCAGTCTTCAACTGAGTAATGTGTGGGTGTAGAAAAGATGGAGCCAGACTTTTCTTGGAGACACGAAGCAAACAGTCAAGGGGCAGTGGTTGCACGTTGCAACAAAGGAAATTCCAGTTACGTATGATGATTATTTTTTTTTTTCTGCCATGCGAGTAGTTAAAAACAGGAACACATTGCTCAGGAAGGTGGTGGAATCTCCATCCTTGGAGATAGTTAGAGTTTGACTGGACAGGGCCTTGAGCAACCTGATATGGATAACTGCTGTGAGCAAGGAGTTGGACTAGGTTGCCTTCAAAGGCCCCTTTAGTATAACCTAAATTATACTGTGATTTATGGGCTTTATTGGTAGGAGAGAAGGTATGACTCTTAGTTGTCTTGACTTTAATAAAACATTAGTTGTTATGTTACCCAGCTTTTTGTTTTCCCTTCTCCAAGGCAGGAAGAACTGAGCTTTATGAAACTACTGTAGAATACAAGCAGAGGTGAAAGGATTGTTATGCCAACTAAGGGCTAAGGGGCAAAATGGAGGACTGTAAATCATGGGGTTCACTAGAGGTTTCTCTTGCATCTGATTTCCTTCAAGGTCTCCATTAACGTTCTAGATGATAAGCTGTGGAAGGTAAAAATGTAATAAGCCAGCAGGAAACAGGAAGAGTTGCAATATGGTGGATGAGAGTAGGATTTTTGACAAAGTACGTGAATGGTCGGGAAACTGTGGAGTAAAATACAACAGGGGCATATGTAAGCCACTGTGTTTAGTCTGTAATAATTTAAATACAGATGGAAGATAGCTACAGAGCTAGATGCAGAGCACAGCTCCCTGGCTCCTGTGAGCAGTGGAACAAGTCTTAGTGAGTAGCTCTTCCGTGAGCTTGTTCAGTTTCCTCTTGAATCCATTCACATTTTTAATATTGGTGGCATCCCGTGGCAAAAAATTCTGTCCATACCAATAATCATCAAGTACTTCAACTAAAAGGCAGGTGTCAGAATAGCTGGGAATACCCTATTGTCTGTGTCCAGAGGGCAGGAATTGATGGATAGACGAGTTAAATCTTAGAAGAAATGAACAGGGAGCACTGGGATGGGCTTCTGAAGAAAGCCATTTTGCATCCAGTAATGGATGTCTTTGAGAACAGTGTAGATTAGCAGTTCTCAGGACAGGTATAATTATTGGATTGCAGTGTTAGAGACATAGAGTAGGTGATTTCTGAGAGTACTTTACAGTTTGCTTTGTTTATGATTCAATTTTGGTTGAAACAGGTAAACAAACTATAGTTTATGATATTCTGATGGAGTACAGAGGTATGACATGATAATGCCTGCAAGTCATAATTGGAACTTATTTCTGAGAACGGCAATCTGTGAGACTAGTCCTGGTGTTTGCAGAGAGCTAGCATGTGCTGGTTCAGGATTCAGTGCCATTGTACAGAAATGAAATCTTTAAAAAAAACAAACAAACCAATCAAAAAAACCTTGAGAATGGTTTTATCGTTATGATGTAAACCATTCAAATTCTATCAAAGCAATGGGACTTTCTTAGCATAAATTGAAAGGTCTATACATGAGAGCCCTTAAGATTTGATTCTAAATTATAGTAGCTCTATAGAAATATTAGAGTAAATATGATAAAATGAGTTTTAGATCTGCATTTAATGGATTGCTTCTTGACGCTCCCTTTACAATTCATTTAGTGATCGGGATTTTCTTGTACATGTGTCAAAGAAATTGACTTGATGGGCACAGCCTTGTGAGCAATTGCCTGTGAGGTTGATTTTCGTTTGTCCCTTTTGGTCTCAGTATTGCATCAGCACTGCAGTGAGATTGTGTCATTTTCATCTTCCAGGAGCCGTTACCTTTTCTGGAGAGGATTATAAATTACTGGGAGTGGATTTATCAGAGCTATCTGAGCTGGAGAGAGCCCTACAGGAAGCAGAACTGGACAATGAAATCCCCACCCTCTTCATAGCAGAGGTCGTGCTCACCTACATGGAAAACAGCAGGTCAGTTGAGTTATCCTTTGTTAGCTAGGTGGTAAAATGAGAAGAACAAGCTGCTTTGTATGTACGTCACCTGGAGCTGGGAGACCTGCTCTCTTATAGCTAAAGCCTCAGGAATTCTGTGGAAGTCCCAAACAGCTCCTTATATCATAAGTGTGATGGGGTAATTGATATCCACATGACATCCTAAAAGGAAGGAAAAAAAGAACCACCACCTTGTATGAGTGATTCTGATTTTTTTTTTTTTTTTTTTTTTTCTTCCTCTCATCCTCCGAATTCTCTGCACAGACTGGGGAGGGGATGTTCATGAGTCACCAGCACAGAATTCTCTTTTCTGTATTACCTCTATCAGGATCCCGTAATAGCATGCTTTATGGTTTTGCAGGAAGATACACTACATCTGCCATTTGGTAGGTGGGCCCTCAGTTATTTAATTTCTTATACACAATCTACCTGACAGGTCAGATGCCTTGATTCAGTGGGCAGCAGAGCGTTTCTCCCAGGCATGCTTTCTGCTGTATGAGCAGATGCACCCAGAGGACCCCTTTGGACGTGTCATGCAGCAGCATTTTAGCCAGATGAACTCTGCACTTCGTTCTTTGGCACAGTACCCTGATTGCAAGGCACAGCAAAGGCGTTTTTTTGAAAAGGTAAGTACCTGCAGCTCTAGGACACACATGAAGCATGATTTACCTGGGAAAGATTGTAACAGTAAATAATTTTGGAAGTCACCAGCTGTGTCAGGCATGGGTTGAAGCAAACAGGGCCAAGGCTGAGACACTGCCTTCTTTAGTAGCATGACTAGTCATTTGAAGGTCCTTCCAACCAATTTGAAGTCTGCTTTCTGATATGGGATTAAGGCAAGATGGGTTCCTCTGAGACTTTTGATATAACAAATTAAGTTCTTAAGAGCTTTACAGATAGGAGATCTATCCTCACCAGATTCTGGGCTGTTGTTGTTCCAGCTAGACAGTCTTAAAGGCTCATGCAGGTGTATAACTTAGTCTTTGTTTTCTTGTGGGAAGCGAGTCTCTATCCTTTCAGAGGTAATAATTTTGAGGAGTTTCTGTTTTAGGGCTGGACCGAGTGCAGTGTCATGGATATGAATGAGTTTTTCACCTGTTGTACTCCAGAAGATGAGCAGCAAAGAGTGCAGGCTCTGGAGCCTTTTGATGAATATGAGGTAACCCGCCTTTATTCTGAACACCAGCGACCGGGCTTTGATGCAATAAAGTGTCTGCAATTTCTTATGGTCACAATTCTGTACAAGAGCTGCTGAGGCATAGGGGTTCATGTCGGCAGAAAGGATCTTGAATCAGATGTAGTTAATGCAGAGCCTGCAGGAAGCTCCATGTGAAACTGGGGCAAGTAACATTGGAAGAAGACTCTCTTTGGTGTTAGAAAAACTTCTTGTTCCTTCCACAGTGAGCGGTCTCTCAGAGGGACAGTCTTAGCATAGCAAACTAGTTGGTGGTAGAAAAGATGTTGCAGATGCTAAAAGTTTCTATGGGTTCAAGGGGCAATTATTTTGATGAAAGAGAAATCCATTGAGGATTACTGAATACATAAAAATACACCTGATGTGAGGATCCTAACTGGAAATGGTTGGGAGCATTCCTCAGGGAAGTAGAGTTGCGCTTGTCCTGCTCTCTTGCATTTCCATAGCCTATTACTGTTTGTCATTGTTGGATACAGGTTACTAGTTTCAGATATTTTTTTAGTCTGACTGTAGAGCCATTCCTATATTAACGATTGAAATTAAGCTATGACTCTATTCTTTGCCATTTTTATGTTAACTGCTGGCAAAGTTTTTGACTATTTGAAGTCTAGAAGAGAAGTCAAAGATACTGAGTAACTTCAAGATTTGTAGGATCTTCAATCTTGTAGGATACTTAGTAAGTTTCCCTTTCAATTTTGTGATTCTCTATTTAGAATTATCTCTAGAAATCCAACAGCCTGCTGTATGAAAACAATTTAATGTGCTTGCATTTATTTTGCCAACATGCAGGATCTGTTCTGCTACATGAATGCAAAAGTGATGACTGAAAGATGCTGGCAGATTTGCAAAGTGGTGTAGAAATGTCTACAGGAATTATTGCAGAACAAGGCAATTGCTCATACAGTGAGAAAGTAAAGGTTTATCATTTTCCTTATAGAGGAGGTTAACATGTACGCAAGTCCAAGCTGAAAAATGTGCATAGGAGTAAGGTGTGTGATGAGAGTTCTACAATTAGCCTTTGAGATCCAAGCAAGATCCAGGTCTTGTTGGAAGCAAACCTGATAAATTAGGTAAGAAATGTAAAATAGACAGTGCTGAGGGCAACTAATTTTTAGAATAATTTGCCTAGGAACAAATAGAGGATTCTTCCATTTTCAGTATTTATATTAGTTTTTGGATATCACTTTTCAAAAGATATTTTTCACTTCTGGTAGAAGTTGGAGCAATGATGCTAATATTGTGGTTTCTTGAGCCTTTTAAATTCATGTTTATGCCTTCTAGTCACATAGTTGGCTGAATATATCCCACTCTATGGGGATGAACATACTCAACTTACTAATGTCCATAAAAGCCAGGGTGGACTCTGGTATTGCTACTGACTTCTTGTACAGTCCTCTTGTTTGTGCTTCTGCCTCTGAGTAATCCCAAGGCCATACTGGAAAATGTATTTATGTATTATCAGCCAGCAGAGACCATGTTGCACCTTTGAATGCTTGTGATTTCTTTGGGATCACTTACATTCCATGACCTTTAAGAAACCTTAATCCCACTGGTATACAGCCCTCACCCTTTTCTGTGATCAGAACTGGGAAACATGAAGGGGAGCTGGTTCCAGAGAAAGGGTTCCTCATGCAACGTATTACTGAGGTATGAAACGACAAAAAGCAGCTGGATGTGTTCATAGATGAGAAATCCATCAAGGATTGTTCAGTACAAAGACACAGCTTCTTGCTTAGAAAACCCATGAGCTGTAAATTTTTGAAGGCCGGGGTGAAGAAGGTATTTACACCCTTGCTCGTTCTCAGATTCAACTTTAGTTTTCTGATTTTGGCCACTGTTGGAAACAGTGCTAGGCTAGGCTGGCCTTTGATCACCCTGTCCATTCTAAGATCCTTACTACTGCTTGCTTTAAGATTTTGAGGGGTATTGTTTGGTTTTGTTTTGTTTTGTTTTTCTTTGGGCTTGCTACAGGAATGGCATCTGAAATGTTCTCATTACTTTGTGTTGACTGCATCAAAGGGGATGGAACCTTCCTGGACTCCATTGTTATCCAATATGACAGGTACATACTGACTAGTTTTCGTAGAGTTCTTATCTTATGCAGGCTTCTCTGAGAGATTTTTAGGAGACAATAAAACCCTAGAAGGAACAGATAGGATGCTGCCATCTGAGTAGCTTTCTCGATCCTTCTAACAATGGCTCTGCTGTCCATAGTGAGGCCAGGGCCACCTCCTGACTCTGGTGGTTCTGATCAGTTTCATTCTTTCAGTTTATTGAACCTTCCAGTCTGAACAGCTCTTCCTTCTGTTTATACATGGGGCCCTCCAGTGCATGGCTGCAATGCCAGTCTACCCTGCTGCTCCTGCTATTTTTGGGATCCCACCGACTGTCCCTTTTCGATTTATTCCCTCTTGCCTCCATACATGGCTCTCTGAGCCATTCTATGCTTCCAGCTTCCGAAAGGTTGTTATGTTTTACTTACTGCACTATCAAAGTCCAGCAGAGCGCTCAGCAGCATATTACAAAGTTTGTGCTTTGTTTTGTTATCCCCTGTGGGTGAAATTGTACATGTAGCACTTCTGTTTCTGAAATGCTTTTAAATCTGCATGTTGGATTTTCTAGATGGGAGAAAAGTGGTACAGCTGGGGAAAAGCCAAGACCAAGACTATGTTTCCATGATAAAAAGGACTTGGCTGCAGTAGCAGTCCAAACAATTCCTGCTTTTGGCTGCTTGCTTCCTATTTCAGGGTGGAAAGCAGAAGGTTATTTTTAACCTGTTTCACATTACTAGTCTTGTTCACAGTATAGCACCACAAGTAGTTCTGTTTGCAACTGAAAGTTGAAATCTGTGTTCTAGGGAGCAGGAAAAGCAGTTGGAAAAGGATAAGGCAGGATGGCATTTCCTTAAGTGAACAAGGCCACTGAATCCATTGTGTTGTGTCTTGATTAGATTTGAAAACATGTAGTGAAATTGCAGCTAAATGAATGTGGGTGTGGTTAAATATACTGTGTGCTTGTTACTGGTCCTTACGTTAAAACCTTAAGGGCTCCTAAATGCGTAGGATCTATCCTTAAGTTAAAAAAAAAAAAAAATCTGACATGCTTTACCGACATTAATGCAGTGAAGACACTTCATCAGAGACAGCAATAGGGTCTTTCTGCAGCTGTCTCTGTTGTATTCAAAACTGATAGGAAGAGCCTTTGAAGTCTGGTAAATTATTCATGCTTAGATATTTTTTACTGGGAATGGCAAAAGATATGTCTCAAATACCAGTATGTGCCCACAGCTATCCTCTCAAGTAGATTTGGGTCCTGTTCAAGAGACTGCGAGTACTAAATATTCCAAAGAGAGCATGGTAAGTGTATTTTCTGCAATGAGATAAACCCTCATTCTTAAGAAGATCCATCTGCAGAAAGACATTTAAGCCCAAGGAGACGAAATTTTTGACTTCATCAGACAACAGAAAGTAGGGTCTAGTACTAAACAACGTGCAGGACAGGCAAATTTTCTGGGTATGGCAAACAAAAACCTCCACCTCATCATCTCTTATAGCACAGGCACTTGTTTGAAACAAAGAAGGCGCAAATCCAAAACTGATTCAAAGAAAACGATTTGTACAATGTGTAGGTGAGCTAGAGTCCTGTGTTAAAAGCTTGTTTCATACTAAAGGATATAGTACATAGAAGATATTTAGATAACTGAAAGTATTATCTTATAATAGGACCATTGGAATTTACGGATTATTCACCATGCTTTAGAACTTAATTTCAGTGTGTTTGTGAAGGTAGGATCAAAATCTAGCAAGAAACTTTGAAATCTAGCTTCCAGGAGTTTGTCCTTTTTCTGCTGTTCTTTGCTATTTAAGTAGCTAAATATCGTCTTCATAGGAAGGGTACTCCTTTTGAAGGTATTGCAGTGATTTCTATCTTGCTACAGCAGTTTAGGACACCACAGTCTCTTAGCTAGTTGTCCTGGTTTGAGCCCAGAGGGCAACTGAGCACCGTGATGCAGTTCACTCATCCCTTCCCCCTCAGGAATGGGAAGGAGAAAATAAAGCAAAAGGCTCCGGAATCAAGATAAGGACAGGGAGGGGAGACTCGTTATAGTTACGGACAAAAGGCAGATTCATTGGGGGAAGAAAAAGAACATCACTTTAATTCAAACACTAACAGAAACAACACTTAACAGATAAGGTAGAACAGTGAGAAGCACCACCACATCTTAAAAACACCTTCCCCCCACCCCTCCCTTCTTCCCAGGCTCTGTGCCAGATCTCTCTACCTCCTCCTCCCCCAGCAGTGCAGAGGCAGGGGATGGGGGTTACAGTCAGCTCGACGCTTCTTCCTCCTTGGGAGTGGGGTGAATGCTGCATGTTCCTCCCCTGTTCCAAGTGGCTCCCCTCTCACTGGAGACAGTCCTTGATGAACCATCTCTGGCATGAGTCCTCCCCACGGGCCGCAGCCGTTCCCATGCTGCTCCAGCGTGGGTCCCCCCACGTGTTGCAGTTCTCCCAGCGCCGAACTACAACAGTGGGGGCTGCTTCTCCCCTCAGAGTCCCAGCCTCCTTTAAGTGCAGCTGCCTGTCCTGGTGTGGGCTCCTCCACAGGCTGCAGGTTGGCCTCTACTCCACCGTTGACCTCCATGGGTGGCAGGGTGGGCAGCCCTGCCATGTCACCACAGGATACAGGGGATTCTGCTCCAGCACACCTCCCCACCCTCCTTTTCCTTCATTCCACTGACCTGGGTGTTAGGCTTTCTCGTAACTCTTCTTCACAAGTCCCAACTCCCTCTCAGGTTCGCCTTCTTAAATACATTCTCACAGAGGCACTGTCACTAGTTGGCTTGGCCCTGGCCAGAGATGGGTCTGACGTGGAGCCAGGGAAGCTTCCAAGAAGCTCCTTACAGGGGCCACTGCTGTAGTCCTCTCCCCCACTACCAAAAACACAGCAGACCAGTCTTACCTCCACCCCATTCAAGCTGTCTCAGAACTGTGTGAGGATCTGAGGGAGCAGTAAGCAGAATTTGAGAGTTGGCACGGTAATAGTTTTTAAACCATTACAGCTTGATTTCTAGGACATGTCAGATTGTCTATGTGCTCTGTCAGCTTGCTTCACAATTTTTTTCGTCTTGAAAAGCTGAACAGACTTGCTTAATCTCTCGTTTAAAATGTAGTCATTGGTTCTTGTTTATACATAAGTTCTTTGATTCTCTTTGGCCTACAGTTCCTCATCGTGATGGTCCTGTCAGAATGGCTGGGAGTGTCACTGCAGCAGTGTGTGCAATGCACTCTGAAATTCCTGGCCTGAGACGTTATGGTCACTGCTCTGTTCTTATAAAGCCTAATGTGATTCTCACCACTGGAGGCTTTGGGGAGGAGGACGGACAGCACTGCCGTATGAGAAATTTTCATGTGCTAATTAAGCACATGGGCTACTGGAAAGCTGGCTTTGTGAAAAAGGAAAATCCTGATAAAAGATGGGGTGAGTTTCCATACTGATGGCAAGTGTAAAGAAGACATTTTGGTGCTAATAATGAAATAATGTGTAATGGAAAAGTGATGTCACAGTGCAATTACGCTGGCAGTTAAAGAGATCTGAAGGTTCTAAATGCTTAGTGCTGGGTCTTGCATGTGAGTAGCAACAACCCCATGCGAAGGAAAGCTGCCCAGCAGAAAAGGAGCTGGGGGTGTTGGTCGACAGCTGCCTGAATATGAGCCAGCAGTGTGCCCAGGTGGCCAAGGAGGCCAACAGCATCCTGGCTTGTGTCAGCAAGAGTGTGGCCAGCAGGACTAGGGAAGGGATTGTCCCCCTGTACTCGGTGCTGGGGAGGCCACACCTCAAATACCAGGCTCAGTTTTGGGCCCCTCACTGCAAGAAAGACATTGAGGTGCAGGAGCGTATCCAAGGAAGGGCAACCAAGCTTATAAAGGGTTTAAAGCACATGTCTCGTGAGGAGTGCCTGAGAGAACTGGGTTTGTTTAGACTGGAGAAAAGGAGGCTGAGGGGAGACCACACTGCTCTCTATAACTGCCTGAAAGGAGGTTATGGCGAAGTGGGTGTTGGTCTCTTCTCCCAAGTAGCAAGGGACAGGATGAGTGGAAATGGCCTCAAGTTGCACCAGGGGAGGTTGAGATTGGAAATTAGGAAAAATTTCTTCACCGAAAGGGTCACTCAGCACTGGAACAGGCTCCCCAGGGAAGAGGCTGAGTCACCATCCCTGGAGGTATTTAAAAGACATGCAGATGTGGTACTCAGGGACATGGTTTAGTGGTGGGCTTGGCAATGATAGGTTAATGGCTGGACTTGATGATCTTAAGGGTCTTTTCCAACGTAAATGATTCTATGATTCTATGAATTTCATGGGAGAAAGATCAGTGTTAACTGTGATGCTTTGTATCTCTACAGATGAGCGGTTGTACCATACTGTGTCATGTCTCTCAAACAGTCTGGCCCTGGTGGTAGGAGGACGAACATCCCCATCAAGTGCAGGCTTGGGAATGTTGTGGCTAAAGTTCCCTGAAACCTGTAATGCCTTGGACCCAGATGACATAACAGTGGAGCTTGTAAATGTGCAGCCTGCTGCGGAACCAGCTGCTTTGCGTTGGAGACACAGTACAACTGAAGTAATATTCAAAGGTAAAAAGCCTGCAAACTGTGGAAATGGCTGTAGGTATGCAGAGGTGTACAAATTCCAGAATATATGGGGCAGACAGTAAGGGCTAAAATCAGATTGTCATGATATAGCCTTACTTTTTATGTAGTACAGGCTATACTAGTATTGTTGTTGCATTGTATTCCTTTGTCTGAAACAATAGCTTTTTGCTGAACATCGTGGAAAGAATATGATTGTGATAGATTCATTACCACTTTAGAGAATCCAATTACATTCCATAAAGATTTTTTTCCAGTGGCGATTTTTTTTCCCAGGCTTAAATACTTAAGGCTTGAACTTAATTTAAATGTATTTTTCTTATTGTATTTACCCAGTTCTTGGTGTGCCTTTTTTGTTTGTCAAAAGTATTTGTGAGAGGCTTTACTAAATCTGACAAAAGGGAAAGACTGAGCAGTCTCAGCTGAGTTTCCTGAACTGAGCAACTGAATTGATTGATCCAACAGTTGAGCAGGATTTCAATTACCTGTGCCATTAATACATGGTTGATTTGTTACAGAACCTTTGTAACAGATACCTTGTGATAATGACTTTTATTATAGATGAGCTGCAATCTTGTTAGTTTTCTAGATGCAGAGCAGGAATCAAAAAATATGTGATTGTATAGTGCCAAGAAAATTTCATAATGCGCTTTTGAAAGTGCTACGATATATACTTGCAACTGCAGTTTGGTTGGCTCCCCTCTTGCAAACACACCTGTCCACAAATTAAAAGACTCCTTTTTCAGCTGTTCCTGTTTGAGGTGCAGGATGTGGCCAGACAGGCATACTGACCAGCAACCTGTTTACATGTGACTAGCCCTTTTTATCCTTCAATCCCTCTGTCTTTCTGCATTTGTACTTCTCCAGATCACCTAAATCCATGCCTTTCCTGCCTCTGGTTCCTCTCCTGAGCACCCCATAGTAAGCCTTATGCAAACCCCCATATGCCCTTCCCCTGCATCTTATAACACGTCCCATACCCTTAGGCAGTACCCCCTCAAAGGTGCTCCAGAGTTGCTCCTGTTCACTTATTTTGATGGGTTTCACAGCTGAACAACGGGGCTTGCAGTTCTCCTGGGACAGCCCTAGGAAGAGCCAGGACAGATTGTCTGATTCTGTAAGCATGTAATTGGGGTTCTCTTGCTTGCACACCTCCCTGTGCTCCTCTTGTGCATGAGGAAATGATCCTTTTGTGGCTTGACTGCTCTCCTGGGATGGGTCTGGAAGTAGCTGAGGCAGGATATTACTTGAGTTCCCCCACCTTGTTTTGCCTCTATCTTCCTCTGTGGGTGTGCAGGTGAGCTGTTTAGCACATAACTTATGATTGCTAGTGAGTGAGGCTTTGTAATGATAAACGGATGCTTAAAAGAAAAGAAAAGCAAATCTTAAGAATTCTTAGTGTTAAGAATTACTGGCGAAGGAACAAAAACCAGAATGGTGAATACTGTTTTGCCATTATGTCAATCATAGAATGGTTTGGGTTAGAAGGGACCTTTAATGATCTAGTTCCAACCCCACCCTGCCATGGGCAGGGACACCTTCTGAACACTTCCAGGGACGGGGCAGCCACAACTTCTCTGGGAAACCTACTCCAGTGTCTCACCACCTTTATAGTAAAGAATTTCTTCCTTACATCTCATCTAAATCTAACCTCTTTTAGATTAAAAACATTGCCCCTTGTCCTATCACTACAGGCCCTGGTGGGGTCTCACCTCCCTCAACCTGGTGGCTACACTTCTTTTTATGCAGCCTGGGATATGATTGGCTTTCTGGGCTGCAAGTGCACATTGCCAATTCATATCTAATTTTTCATCTACCAATACCCCCAAGACCTTCTCTGCAGGGCTGCTCTCAATCCATTCATCCTCCAGTCTGTATTGATACTGGGGATTGCTCCAACCCAGGTGCAGGATCTTGCACTTGCCATTGTTGAATTTCATGAGGTTCATATTGGCCCAGTTCTCAAGCCCGCCAGTAGAAAATAAATTAAAAGAGGCTTTGAGATCTCTTCTTGACACTTGAAATACAGTAATTTCCTATTTTGTATACCACATAATCCCCAGTGGTAGGTAGAATTGAAACCTAGGGACACAATCTGTTCTGGAAGACTGATTCTTTGTGATCATTTATGGCTGAAGTTGTTCATCCTTGATCACGTCAGAAAGAGGTTTCATAACTTCCTCTCTGAAGGACAATATTTTAATTCTGGAGCATTTATGGAGCAGGACCCTTGGCTCTTTAGCCAGGAGAAGTGCCTCAGAAGAAATGTTACCCTTCTAGTAGCAATTGACAAATATTCAGTAGTTCTGAGTAGGTCTAGAATCAAGCCCTGCAATGGTATGCTGAAGGTTTGTCTAGTAAAAGATATTGACTATAAGGGGCAAAAACTTCAGTTGTTAGCAAATCAGTGGTGGGCCTTAATGGAATTCAGGAGATGAAAGCTGTCCGTTCTTAAGCTGTTTCTTTCTCCAGTAGCTGGCAGGGAGCTATTGAAGGGGAACATCAGGGGAATTGTCAGGCAGTTCTTAGTCTAGTCTAGAGCATAGTTTGAATTTGTGAAGCAATATTTAATTAACATCATAATGTAGCTTAGAGTTCAGCCTTCCAAATTCAAAATTTTATATCGAAGCAAATGCTAAATGGGTAAATAAAATTTCATAAATAATAAATTGGCTTTTGTCTTTGTCAGACTGTTGTATCCTCTTATTTTTGCCTTGATTTTTGCTTTGTAGCTGAAGTATGTGACCAACGTTTGTGTTATTTGCACAGTCCATTATGAAGAAGTGAGCTGACAGGGCATAGTCCAGTTAATGCACATCCTTGATATTTACCCAAAGTACTTTTGCAACTTTTGTACCTCCTTTTTGAGGCTTCTCCAGATTAACTCCTACACACTTAAATTGTCATTATCTCCCTTTTGTATGAACAAATACACAGTCTTGTCTAATGAGGATTTATCTGTTTTCTTGGGATAAGTAGATGCCATTGTGTTGCTATAATTTATGTACCTAGTGTTTTCTAGTTTTATTAGTTCTACAGGTATAATCTTTTCATTGCCTAAATTTTTATTCCGTAAGTCCATTTAGGTATAGTAAAAAACATGTTTTCTCCTTTTGATTTTGAGACTAGTGTGTGATTTCCATTCAGACCCTAACCATTCAGAAACTACATAGTATAAGTAGATGATGGGGATCTTCTGAGTGACTGTAAATGTGAAGAATACAGCTTCTTAGTAAAAATATTTAGTCTTCAATGCGTTTTATAAAAGATTTAGATACAAGTAATTCCTATATCTACAAAACAATTTCTTGTACTTATTGCTAAAGTCTGGAAATGTTTGTCAGGTTGCAGCATGTCTTAACATAAATATTATATAAAACTTCTGCCTGACTGCATTAATTTCTGTATTTGTTCAGCTTCCCTTCTATGCAAACAGAATTTTTTGCATTTGTGACATACCAAATTCTAACTTATCTTTTCACCTGGTTGTCTTTTCCATAGGTGAGAAGTACTTGTTTCTGTATGGTGGTCGCTCTGTTATGGAACCTGTGCTGGGGGATTGGTATTTCCTGCACACTCAAGAACTTTCCTGCACTGTGGTAAGAACTTGGAGAGACCCTGGGGAGTAGAAATTGCTTTCATTTCATAGGTGCATGCTGCTGTATTGGAAGCCCAACTAAATCACAGTGGTATTACCATATTGAAGTAGATGGCATTGGCAGTACTGTCACACTCCATGGTGATTAGAATTAGAGCTAACTTCTAAACACCTTGCTGTTTAGAGGAATACGGTCTTCACAGAATAATTGAGGTTGAAAGGGACATCTGGAGATCATCTAGTCCAGCACCCTTACTTAAAGCAGGTCTAACTAGAACAGGTTGCTCAGGATATTGTCCAGTTGGGTTTTGATTATCTCCAAAGATGGAGACTCCACAGCCTCTTTGGGCAACCTATTCCAGTGCTTGACTACCTTCGTAGTAAAATGTGAGGGCTTTTTCTGTTTGAGTGGATTTTTTTGTATTTCAGTTTGTGCCCATAGCCTCTTGCCCTGTCGCTGGGTAGTACTGAGGACATTCTGTCTTTTTATCTCTGCCATTAGGGACTTATACATGTAGGTAAGAGTTTGCTGTGAGTGTTCTCAATCACTGAGGTGAGCCAGCCACGGTGCTGGCACAATCCGCAGCAGACGCTCTGGCAGAGTGTGCAGGGAATTTCCTGAACTGGGGGAACCTCCCAGAGTTGGGACTGCAGAGATGAGGCCAGGAGCAAGCGCAGCCAAGCCCCCCTCCCCCGCATCTATAAAAGAAGCCCCTAGGGACCACTGTGGCCAGGAGCAGGACAGGCACCCGGGGCGTGCCGCCGCAGTCCGTGCAGCAGTTTGCGCGGAAGGGCGCTGTAACTTTGCTGGCTCGAAGGGGAAGCGAGCCTGTACCAGGCAGAGGGCTATGTCTGCAGCTGATGCAGCTTCCCAGGCAGAGCTCCGATGGGAACACGCTGCTATGCAGAGGTCAGGCTGCAAGGTGTGCCCTACTCCCACCAGTACCGGATGGCAGCAGTGAGCACGCCCGTGGGAGGCGCGCCCAGGTAGAGGAACTCCTCAGCAGAGCTCCAGGAGGAGGTGAGTAGGTTGAGGAGTATCAGGGAGTCTGAAGAGATTGCCTACTGGAACTGCACCCTGTCTTTCCTGGGACAGACCTGTCAGGCAGACAGGACACATGATACAGAGGATTCCCTGTCCTCTCTCCTCCCAGCAGAATGTGATGATTTAAGGGATATACGAGAACGGCGACAAGTTCCTGCCCAGTGCAGCAGGCGTGTCTCCTCTGTGACTGCCTCACCTTCCCAGGTGCCCTGGTACCATAGGCATGAGGCTCTGGAAGTGGAACCAAACAATGATGAGTATGGTGGTCCATCTAGGTTGGAGATGTCGCCGAGGTTAAGTTGGCCTATGCCCTGCATCAAAACCACTTCCATTATGGAAAAAGGATGGGTTATTGTCATAAGAGAGTCTCCTCTGAGAGGAACATAAGGCCCAATATGCTGACTGGACCCACTTCTTAGGGAAGTCTGCTGCCTCCATGGTGCCTAGCTCAAAGATGTTACAAGAAAACTTCCTACACTGGTGTGGCCCTTGGATTACCATCCATCATTGATTTTTCGTGTAGGCAGCAATGAAATTGCAATTAAAAGTCCAAGGACAATCAAAAGAGACTTCAGGGCCTTGGGATGACTGGTTAAGGGTTCAGGAGCACAAGTAGTGTTTTCCTGTATCCTTCCAGTTGCAGGGAATCATGTTGGAATAAACAGGAAGGCCCAGCTGATCAATACCTGGATCTGACTGGTGTCACTGGCAGAATGTTGGGGTTTTTGATCGCAGGTGGCAGTTGGGGTGCACCTTTCTCAAAGCGGGGAAAAGGCTGTTTGCACAAGAGTTATCAAGGCTCATTGAAAGAGCTTTAAACTAGATTTGAAGGGGGAAAGGAATAAAACCAGGCTCACTAGTGATTAGCCACAGGATGGCACGCTGATGTTTGAGGGGCAGTGTGCTAGCGAGGTCCTTCAGTCTGCTCCACGGTATGCTGAGTACCCAAGCATATTTGAAGTGCCTCTGTACTAATGTGCACAACGTGAAGAATAAACAAGGGGAGCTAGAAGCTTTGGCTCAGTCTCAGAGCTGCGACATCATTGGCATAAGAGAAACCTGGTGCAATGAGTCCTGTGACTGGTGTGCTGTGATGGACAGTTATAGGCTCTTCAACAGAGATAGGCAGGGCAGGCAAGGCTGGGTTGTAGTGCTGTATTTAAGGGAGGGGTTGGGTTTTATGGCACTTGCAGTTGGCAATGACATGGTTGAAAGCCTCTGGGTAAGGATTAAGGTGAAAGCTGGTGTTGTCATGGGAGTCTACTGTCAACCACCCAGCAAGGATGATGACACCGATTAATTATTCTATAAGAAATTAAGAGATATCTCTAGATCAGCTGCCCTTGTCCTTATGGGTGATTTTAACTTCCCAGACATCGACTGGAAACATCATACAGCAGACACAAACAGATCCAGGAAATTCCTGAAGCACGTTGAAGATAACTTTTGGTGCGGGTACTAACGAAGCCAGCTAGGAAAGGTACCCTCCTAAATTTGCTGTTTGTAAACAGTGAAGGACTCATGGGCAAAATGCTGATTGGTGGCCGTCTTGGTCATAGTGATCGTGAAGTAGTTGAGTTTCAGAAATTCAAGAAACTGCTAGCAGAATTTGGACCCTGGATATGGGGACTTTGGGCTGCTGAAAGAACTAGTTAGTAAGGTCCTCTGGGAATCTGCTCTTGAATGCATTGAGGTCCATGAGTGCTGGTCACTTTTTAAGAGCACAGGAGCAGGCAGTTCCAAAGTGTCAGAAGTCAAGCAAGCAGGGCAGAAGGCCAGCTTGGCTGAGCAGGGATCTGCTAGAACTTAGGCGGAAAAGGAAAGTGTATGGACATTGGAAGCAAGGACAGGTGACACAGGAGGACTACAGGGATGTTGTTTGCCACTGGAGGGAGAAGTATTCTCCTGCATATTAGTACTGCAGTTCAGCATTTTATCCTGCTCTGTGGTTTGAGCCACTGATCACCTGCTTTGCTGGTCGCTGCATTGGTCCATGTGTTTGTAAATTTGTGGTTCTCAGATGCATGTCTCGAACAGAAATCAGCAATGCAAGGATGTAGATAAAGTTACCTCTAACAAACATGCAGAAATAAAACCCTGTAAAGACTGAACGCTATTAAATATACCGAGGACCACAGAAATACTGGAGATAGTGTAAATGGAAACACTTCTACTTAGCCATCCCTAGAGGAACATGTGTAGGTTGTTGTTTTTTTTTTTTTTTAAATTGTTCCCTATCATGCTCACTTTGTTCCCCTCCAGCAACTGTTCCTATCCTATGGCAGAAAAGAATGTTACAGCACACAGGATGTACAACAGGAAGAGACCATTTAAGAGCCTGGACATGAAGAAGACACTTAGCTTGGCAAACTTCAGCCTTGGACTTCTGTTTTTCTAGATTCCCGTTGAGGGTCCAGTACCAGAAGGCCGTCACTCTCACAGTGCCTGTAGCTGGAAAGGAGGAGTGCTAATTGCAGGAGGTCTGGGAGCTGCTGAGCAACCCTTAGGTTCAGTTTTCTTCCTGAGGGAGCTTGAACATGGGTTTCAGTGGCAGACAGTAGAGACACACCCTCCTCTCATACCAAGGTAAGTAGAAGGCATTCAGCAGTGAATCTTCAGGCTGTCTCTACCTATGTCTCTTACTAATAGAATTCAATCCCATTTTGAACTCACAGGTATTCACATACTGCACACGTACACGATGGAAAACTTCTGCTTGTTGGTGGAGTGTGGTTTCACCCATCCTCTGTGCCAGGTATCACTGTCATTGACTTAATGACTGGTCTCTGCTTGGACTATACGATTAATGTGGTAAGTACTGAATTTTTTCTTTCAGAGTAAACAGTGTTGTGTGAAGAAACGTGGTAGCTTTCGGGTTATTCCCTGAAACAGAGCAGGGAATGCAAAGTAGGGAAAATTTGTGAGTGGAATAAGCATTCTCTGCTTGAGGTAGAATATAGTTTTGAAATGTTTTTACCGGCCCAGAGAACATAATAGTATTAAGGGAGGGAGGGTCTGAGTGTGCAGAAGACTGGAGAACATGGAGCTGGTTTATTCCAGACAAGGGGAGCAGAACTAAGATGGGCACAAGCATAGTGATTTCAGAATGTTTATGGAAGAAGAGAACAAATCAAACCAGAGCCTTGGTTATTCCCTATGAAGGTCTGTGGTGTAATTTCATTAAAAACTTCATGGTGGAAATTGCTGCTGCCTGAAGTACAAGAAGAAAACAGCATGGAAATAGTGGAAACTCCACTTAAACATCAGAAAACTTGTTAGTGTAAGGGTGATTGAACACTGAACAGGTTGCTCAGAGAGGCTGTGATATCTCCACCATTGGAGATATTAAAAACCTGACGGGGCAAGGAACTGAGAAGATCAGGTTCGAGACTGTCTAAGGAGTCTGAACATGCACGGGTCCATGGGACCTGATGAGATGCATCTGCAGGTCCTGAGGGAACTGGTGGATGAAGTGGCCAAGCCACTACCCATCATATATGAGAAGTCATGGCAATCTGGTGAAGTTTCTGCTGACTGGAAAAGGGGAAACGTAACCTCCATTTTTAAAAATGGAAAAAAAGAAGACCCAGGGAACTACAGACCAGTCAGTCTCACCTCTATGTATGGCAATATCATAGAGCTGATCCTCCTGGAAACTACGCTAGGGCTCATTGGGAATAAGGAGGCGACTGGTGACAGCCAACACGGCTTCACTAAGGGCAAATCGTCCCTGATGAATTTGGTGGCCTTCTACGACGAGGTTACAGCATTGGTGGACAATGGAAGAGCAACTGACATCATCTACCTGGACTTGTGCAAAGCATTTGACGTTATCCCACGTGACATCCTTGTCTCTAAATTGGAGAGACATGGATTTGATGGATGGACCACTCAGTGGATAAGGAATTGGTTGGATGGTCGCATTCAAACTGTTGCAGTTAGCAGCTCGACGTACAAGTGGAGAGCGGTGATGAGCGGTGTTCCTCAGGGGTCAGTATTCAAACCAGAACTGTTTCACATCTTTGTTGGCAACATGGACAGTGGGATTGAGTGCACCCTCAGCAAGTTTGACAACGACACCAAGCTGTGTGGTGCGGTGACACACTGGAGGGAAGGCATGTCATCCAGAGGGACCTAGACAGGCTGGAGAAGTGGGCCCACGCAAACCTCATGAAGTTCAACAAGGCCAAGTGCAAGGTCCTATATGCATGGTTCGAGGCAATCCCATGCACAAATACAGGCTGGGCGATGAGTGGGCTGAGAGCAGCCCTGTGAAGAAGAGCTTGGGGGTATTGGTGGATGGAAAACTGGCTATGAGCCAGCACCATGCGCTCACAGCCCAGAACCCACCCGTGCCCTGGGCTGCAGCCAGAGCAGGGGGGGCAGCAGGGCCAGGGAGGGGATTCTCCCCCTCTGCTCCGCTCTGGGGAGACCCCCCTGCAGTGCTGGGGCCAGCTCGGGGGCCCCCAACAGCAGAAGGACACGGAGCTGCTCGAGCGGGGCCAGAGGAGGCCACGGAGATGCTGGGGGGGCTGGAGCAGCTCCCCTGGGAGGCCGGGCTGAGAGAGTTGTGGGGGTTCAGCCTGGAGAAGAGAAGGCTCCGGGGGGCCCTTCGAGCGGCCTCCCAGGGCTTAAAGGAGGCACAGGAAAGGTGGGGAGGGACTCTGTCAGGGAATGTGGTGACAGGATTAGGGATAACAGTTTTAAACGGAGAGAGGGTAGATTTATCATAAATATAAAGAAGAAATTCTTTACTGTGAAGGTGGTGAGACACTGGCCCAGGGTGGCCAGAGAAGCTGTGGCTACCTGCTCCCTGGAAATGTTCAAGTTGAGGTTGGATAGGGCTTTGGACAACCTAGTCTAGTGGAATGTGTCCCTGCCCGTGGCAGGGGGATTGTAACTAAATGATCTTTAAGTTCTCTACAAACCCAAACCATTCTGTGAACTAAGAGACATCAAAAGAAGCTGGTAGACAATATGCTTCAGGAGCGCTTCATATGAAACATAGGTAAGCTGTGAATGCCAGAGGCTTACGTGGATTCAAAATTGAATGGCTGTGTTCTTGGAAGGAAAAACATTAAGGTTCGGGGAGTACAGAGACATTCTCGCTCATTAAAAATCACTGAACTGCAAGTTCTTGGGTGGGTGGAATATACTAGAGGAGTTCCCTTGTTCCTGTGTTCTCTAGCTATCTATTTTTGCCCACATTTGTGGGTGGTACAGTGGACTAAATGGCCCTAGATGGGACACAGTGTGGCTGTTCTTAACTTTCTAATGAAGGTACCATATGAAATATCTCTACAGCATTGTATGAGGTACACATGTTGAAGTCCCATATGTTCAAAATCTCCTTTCCTTTTTTAGGAGCATCTGGAGTGGCCATTAATGCTACATAATCATAGTAGCGTCTTTCTGCCAAATGAGAAGGAGTTGTTGCTTATTGGAGGTGGTGGGAACTGCTTCTCCTTTGGGACACACCTGAATCCAGAGCCTGTCTTGTTGAACCTCAGCAACATCCTGTCCAGCCACTGACTGGGACCAAACAGGACTGAACGATGCCGCTGCACTGTGGTGAGACATCTATTCACTTGTAGGTCCACGAGCAGCAAAATGTTTCCACAAAGGTTTTGTATCCAGGATGCATTTGCAAAGGTGGGATTAGGAGGGGCAGTTACGACAAGGAGTTGCATCCCTCATCTGTCTGGTTTTTTTGTACTCTCCATGTTGCTGTAAATAAAGTATCTCAAAAGTAGCCCTGGTGATAGCAGTAGTCCTTAGAGATGAAATGAGGAACAGTACTGTGTTCAAAAGGGACGTGACTTTGCACAATGCTGACTTGGAGGTATAGTGAAGTGACTGAGTCAAAGAGCCATTGGAAATGTTCAGTCAAGCATAATTAAGTGAAAGGAAGTGTATCATAGATCAAACTTGAATGTTTCAAAAGGTCATGTCTAGTGTAGATAGGACAAACTCATGCTTCTCTGCTTCTTGTTGCTGATCTTGCAGCTCAGACCCCGATAGCTGTAGCCCTTGCTTGTTTCCTGAGAGGGTAGTGGCATACCAATAAAAGAGAGGTGAGGGAGGGTGCTACGTGAAATCATGACTCGGCCTCATTGCTAACATCTGAACTCTTCTATGCCTGGGAAAGTGCCGTGGTAAGTTTGAACACAATGTTCAAACTAGGATGATTGTGGTGGCTTGACCATGGCTGGATGCCAGGTGCCCACCAAAACCACTCTATCACTCCCCTTCCTCAACTGGACAGGGGAGAGAGAATGTAACAAAAGGCTTGTGGGTGGAGATAAGGACAGGGAGATCATTACCATCAGAGGCAGAAGAGACTCAACTTGGGAAAAGTAACTTAATTTATTGCCAATCAAATCACAGTAGAGTAATGAGAAATAAAACAAATCTTAGAACACCCTCACCCCACCCTTCCTTTCTTCCTGGGCTGAACCTTACTCCTGATTTCTCTACCTCCTCCCCTGCAGCAGCACAGAGGGGCAGGGGATGGGGGGTGCAGTCAGTTCATCTCCCATTGGTTTTGCTGCTCCTTCTTCCTCAGGAGGAGGACTCCTCACACTCTTCCCCTGCTCCAACGTGGCGTCCTTCTCACAGGAGACAGTCCTCCACAAACTTTCTCCAACATGAGTCCTCACGGGCTGCAGCTCTTCCCAAACTGCTCCAGTGTGGGTCCCTGCCACAGGCTGCAGTCCTTCAGGAACAGACTGCTCCTGCATGAGTCCCTCACGGGGTCACAAGTCCTGCCAGCAAACCTGCTCCAGCGTGGGCTCCTCTCTCCACAGGTCCTGTCAGGAGCCTGCTCCAGCGTGGGCTTCGCACGGGGTCACAGCCTCCTTCAGGCATCCCCTTGCCTCGGCGTGAGGTCCTCCATGGGCTGCAGGTAGATATCTGCCCCACCAGTGACCTCCATGGACTGCAGGGGAACAACCTGCCTCACCATGGTCTTCACCACGGGCTGCAGGGGAATCTCTGCTCTGTTACCTGGAGTATTTCTTCCCCATCCTTCTTCACTGACCTTGGTGACTGCATAGTTGTTTCTCTTGCATATTCTCACTCTTCTCTCTGGCTGCAATTGCTCTCCCCTATTTTTTTTTTCTCCCTTTCTTAAATATGTTATCACAGAGATGTTACCAGTGTTGCTGATTGGTTTGACCTTGGCCAGCAGCTGGCCCATCTTGGAGCTGGCTGGCATCGGCTCTGTTGGGCTTAAGGGAAGCTTCTAGCAGCTTCTCACAGAAGCCACCCCTATAGCCCCCCCTGCTACTAAAACATTGCCACAGAAACCCAATACAGTGATGTTCTTGAGAAGAGACATACACTTCTGTCTGTATGTATTTTATGCAGGATGACCAAATTAATTCAGGGAGGTTTTTGTTTTGGGGAAACCTACTAGAGACTCCTGGGAGTATAAACTAGAAAATGAGAAAGGGAGATCTCTAAGCTATTGCAGTACCAAAACTGGTTGAGGCTGCTGATTGGGATCGCGTCTGTAGGCATACAAAAATCAAATTGCCTTCTGAATTCTTCAATGAGAAGAAGTGTTTATAAGCCTGTGAAATTATGGAGAAGGTGGAATAATTTCAGTGGCTCTTCATGGCTTCTACTGGCTGTGGTAAGGAAAGGGGTACACAAAGCAAAGTGCCTTTGAGAGCACTGTCCTGGGTTTGAGTGAGTGGTGGAGTTTTTTTGGTGGCAGGGGAGGGGGCTATCGGGGCGGCCCCCTGTGAGAAGTTTCTCGAAGCTCCCCCAGCTCCAAGTCAGCTCCACTTCTGTTTGGAAAACTGAGCCCATCAGCTGCGCCTCTGCGATAATGTGTTTAAGAAGGGACGTGGTGACGGGCAGTGGGACTGGTGAGGAGGAGTTGCCGCAGCTGCATGAACACCAAGGTCAGTGGGGGAACGGAGGAAGAAAGGAGGGGGGAGGTGTGCCGGAGCAGAGACCCCCCTGTATCCTGTGGTGAGACGGCAGGGCGGCCCCCCCTGCCACCCATGAAGATCTAGAGTGGAGCAGACATTGATTTATGGCCTGTGGCTTCTGCCTGATTGATCAAGGTGCTGTGCCCGAAGAAGGCCGGGGTCTCATGGGAAAAGGCAGCCCCGCTGCTGTAATTCAGCGCTGGGAGGATTGCAGCGTGCGGGGGAGTCCCACGCCGGAGCAGCTCGGGAAGGGCTGCAGCCGTGGGAGGGAATCCAGTCGGAGGAAGTTAGTGACCCATGACGGAGCAGTGTGGGGAACGCTGCGGCCCATGGGAGGGACTCATGTTGGAGAAAGTCTGTGGATGACTGTCTCCTGTGAGAGGGGGACCACAGTGGAGCAGGGGGAAGTTCCAGAAACTCCCCCCACCGAAGATAAAGGAAGTAGCAGCATTGACTGCACTCCCAATTCCCTGCCCCTGTGCCACTGGGGGAGGAGGTAGAGATATCGGGAGCAGAGCAGAGCCCGGGAAGAAGGGAGGGGTGGGGGGAAGGTGCTCTCAAGATGTGGTAATGCTTCCCACTGCCCTACTCAGTTTAGTGTTGTTGTTAGTGTCTGTAATAAATCTATATTCTCTTTTTCTTCCCCTAACAAGTCTGCCTTTTGCCTGTGACCATAATGGGTGATTTTTCCCTCACTGTCCTATCTCAAATCCCAAGCCAGGCCTATTTTCTCCTCAGTGCTGAGGAGGAAGGGATGAGTGAGTGGCTGTGTGGTACTCAGCTGCCCTCTGAGCAAAAGCCACAGCGATGTAAGGTATTGATCAAAATGCCATTTATTGAAGGTAAGACCAGAAGGAAAAAGAGTATAATATAGGTAATCTTATGTCCCCTCAGCTGCTGGGAACATGGAGTTGTGCTGAGTTAGAGGGACCTCTGATCCGGGAGTAGCATGCAGTTCAGATCCTGCCTATGGACAGGTTCCACCACTTGGTTTCTTTAGCTCTTATTTTCATACAACAAAATGGTACTATTCATCATTTCTGCTGTCAAACAAAAGGATGTTTACAGCAGTGCTCTGCACTTACTCTCTTGTTGCCTTGAATACTGCTTTTTCCTTTTTGTGCTTCCTGGGGCTCTCCCTCTAACTTTCAGCAAACTGCTTTCAAGAGCTGTGATATACCTGCTACCCAGCTCTCGGTAGCCCCAGTTCGGGGGCTAATGGTGATGGCCCCCTGTTCCCCATGGGATACAGCTGTGGGAGCTGGTTGTACCAGCTGCAACAGAGGTTGGGCATGGGAGACTGTGCTGCTCACAGGCACCACACACTGGCTGGGGCTGTGCTGCTCAGGGTCCACGTGTTGCAGTCAGTCTGGCCCAAGCGTTGCCAGCAGGGATCGAGACCGTTGCTGAAACCGCAGAGAAGATGAGCAGGGGCCTGTGTTTGGCGCTGCAGGTCCGCCACGGAGAATGTCCCAGGTGAGGTGACACAGGGTGGGGGAGCCAGGGCATGCCCCAGCACAGGGAGAACTGCAGTGGGGCTGGGGGAGATGCAGCACCGGAGTGGTGAGCAGCGAGGGGCCGCGGTGGGGGGGGAGGTGGCGGTGCCAGGGCCACAACCAGGTGTGCGAGGATGTCTGGGCAGTAGGACCAGCCTGGAGGGCGTCCGGGTTGGGGCAGGGGCGCGGTGGGCCAGAGTAGCGCTGCAGGGAAGCCTGGGTCAGGTCGGGGACGCGTCAAAGCAGAGGGGGATCGCGAGGAGAAGGATGCCGCGGGGTAGGCCGCGGGGCCTGGGCGAGTTCCTCCGTGTGTGCCTGCTAGAGCGGTACCGGGGACGGGCAGGGGCCGACGGCGGGTGAGCCCCAGGCCGGCGCGGCGGCTCCCGCGGCTGAGCTCGGGGCTCTGCGGCGACCCCCGCGTCCCGCTCGGGGTGGGAGCAGCGCGGGGGAACGGGCGGCGTCCCGGAGCGCGAAGAGCCGCCCCGGCCCGCGGCACGCCGGGCAGTGACGGCTTCCGGGTGGCCGCGCTGCCGGCGAGGCATGCCGGGAGATGAGGGTCCCCCCCCCACCTGAAAACGGCCGAGCAGCCATGATGGCCGGCAAGGCATGCCGGGAGATGTAGTCCCTGGGCACGAGGGCTAGCGGGCCGCAACGTTGGCTTGCTCAGCTTACAGGGAGCTGTGGTCTTCGGGCGCTGGGCTTCCTTAGAGGCCGTACTGAGACGCGCAGTATGCCGCGAGGTGTATTTTAATGGCAAGGATGATAATTCAAAGATGTATGACCGGAACAGCCTGGAATGCCAGGAAGATCTCCCTAAAACGCAGAAGTGCCCATTAGTCCCCTGAAAGTGTAACTCTAGGGATCATAGGACCTCCCAAAACACTGGAAGTGCACGTTGGTTCAGCAGAAGTTGTTCTCTAGGGACCAGAAGCCTTCCCAGTAACCCAAAAGTGCCTCTTAGTCCTCTGAAAGTGGAACTCTGTGGGCTGAGAAACCTGTTAATCCTATGGAAGTCGGTCACTATTGGCCGAAAGTCCTGCAAAACTACCAAAAGCAGCCCGATCTAAAATGGAAGTTCTACTAAGAAACTACATGATGACACCAGAACTGAGTTCTACAGGAATGGAAGTTGTCCATAATAGCCACTAAGTAGTCTGAAATCCACTGGAATGGAGTTGGACTGAAACTGAAAGTCAGCCACAATTAACTGGAAACAATGTTAAAGAGACTGAAAACACAACCTAAACCACGAGAAAAGCCAAAAATAGAAACTGAAGAATGCAAGATAAGCAAAAATATCCCCCCAAACCCCAGCACCCTAAATCTCTCCGTAAGCTATCACTCAGCATCCGGATGATTTGTTTGATACTGTTTTTGCAGATGCAGAGGGGCAAGCCATGCACCAAAGGGCCACAGAGGAAAGGCAGGCAGAATGCCATGAGAAGGTGGGTTGGCACATGGTGTAGGAGGGAAGATATGACTGGTGGCTATATGACTAGCTTATAGATTCTTTGGGTGTTTTGTTTTGTTTTTTTGTTTGGTTGGTTTTGGTTTGGTTTGGTTTGGTTTTAGTTTTGTTTTTGGTTTTGATTTTTTTTTTTTTTTTAATATTTTGAAGGTACAAAGCAATGAGCAAAGTGGGATATCAGCACCAGAGCTGACTTAGGCAAGGTAAGCAATGACTAGTGAGCTCAAGTAGCAGTTATTTTTCAGGTGTCATATTGTTGGTGAAGTTGGAAGCATCCCATGCTGGTTTTGTTTTAGAGGTGATGCACAATCCTCAAGGTGGCAGCCCAAAACGGTGGACACCGGGCAGGCAAGTGGTCAAAGTAAAGGAGCAGGAGGTAGGAATCACTGTGTGATGTGGTTTCAGGCAGTAGCTCAGCTTGTGCCTCTTGCTTCAGTTTTTGTAGGTGCTGCCCACAGCCTTGGAGGGGTGAAGCTGTACACTGATGAGCAGTCCAAGAAGGTGAGGTGCTTGTTGGCTGGGTCAGTGTCTAAGAGCAAAATATTATATGGCAACCCAGTTAAGCATTTACCTTTGGTTTTGCAGGTGCTGTGCAGGCTGCCTTTGGAACTGGATGAGCACTTGAGGTGAGCTGGATAGTAGAGAAGAGGAGCTTGGGGCTGGTGATTTCCTGCAATTGCAATGGTAGTTTTCTGGCTTTTGGTATCTTAGATGCCACAGGTGGTGAAGGCTGCAGCATCGGATTCTGGAATCAGTGCAGAGCAGGTGAGCAGAATGCCATGGCGCTTCTGAAGGGGAGGGGTGTTGTGGAAGGGGTCTGTGACAACTAACATGATGTTTACTTCTGCTTACACTTTTTGTGCAGATGATGAAGAGCCACCTGGCAACTGCAGGAATATCCATGTTAGCTGATGTGGTTTTTATTAAGGATGGATTCAGACCCCTGGCCCTCTGAAAGCTAAATTGAGGGACCAGGGTTGTGGAGGGACTGGGAGGAGGGGACAAGATTGGGAATTGAAGGGAGGGGTTTCAAAGCTTGTGGAGGGGAGAAGGCTGGCAAAGGGAGCAGGCTCCCTTTCAGCACAAGTCTAGTGCAGACAGGGCAGTTTCAGCCCGTGTCTGCTCCGTAGTTTGTGTAGTCTGTCTTCTGTGTCTATAGACCTTCCTCGGTTCTCAATGTCCTCGTTGCTCTTTGCACTCAAGGAGTGTGGCACATGCCTCAGGCGCCATCCCTAGGGTCTCAGATCCCCGTACTCATTGGCATAGTGCCAAGTGGGTGCTGCTTCTCTTGCATTAGAAGCTTACACTGTGGATAGGCCTTGTGTCTCTGAAGTTTCGGGTTGGTCCTCTTTCGTGGTGACGTTCCAGGCTGTGTCAGCAGCTCTGCTCTCTAGGCATCTATTTTCATGGACTGGGACTTCTTCCCTGCTTCCCTCCATTCTTAGGTCTTGAAGCCTGTCTTCTTGTGCATTGATCATCTCAGCTTTGACAGTAACTTCTTCTAACAGGCTATTATGTCCAACTCTTCCTGGGGCTGCTGTAGAGCCTCCTTGCCTCACCGTCGCAGCACTTTATGTCATCTTGCCTGACCAAGTCTCTGGTCCAGGAGTCATTCTTCTTGCTGAGAGTTTTTTCTCATCTGTGAGTCACATTGTTTGTAGGGTTCTGTGTAGTGTTGGTCGGTGCATGTGTGTGTTTGGCTTGAAGCTGCTCTGCCCGAGGGTTGTAGAGTTGGGGGTGGATGGAATAGCAACAAGAGTCTATGGTTAATATGTCGCTATGCCTAGACTGTTTAGGCAATGGTCGTCCAGTCATCTCGGATCGAGTATTCATCGGCAGGCTGTGTGGACAGTCATTTCAATATTGTTTTATGGAGATGATTGGAGCATGTGGGAGGGGCTGTTCTGCAGTAGTGAAGCAGATTGAGTCTCAAAGGTGTTAACGCTTGTAGGTGTGGAGCTGACAGTTCGGTGTGGGAATTGGTTTTGTTTTTTCAGTGGCAGGCTGTAGTTAGACTCTAGATGGTATTCCTAGCTGGAATCAAGACCTCGGGATTTCTTAAGCTATCATTTGGTATCTCGGTGACTCATCTACTAATTTTTTTCAGGTGCAGAGGGATGAGATGCACACCAGAGTGATGGAGGAGGTGAGCAGAGCTCCGTTAGGTGGGTCAGTGAGTGGTGTAGGAAGATGAGACTGGTGCTATGACTAGCTTATAGGTTTTCTTTTTGTGGTTTTTTTTTTTTTTTTTTTTCATGTTGATGATGGAAAGCTGTGAGCAAAGTGGGATATTGGCACCAGAGCTGCCTTGAGCAAAGTGAGCAAGGACTAGGGGCCTGAAGTAGCAATTGTTTTCCAGGTGTCCTATCGTTGAGGAAGTTAGAAGCATCCCTTGTTGTTTGTGTCTTACAGGTGGTGTGCAAGCCTCAATGTGGCAACCTGTAAACTGCAGAGATACGGTGGGTGAGCAGCTAAAGTAAAGGAGCAGGAGATGGCAATTGGTGTGGGCAGGTGGCAGTTTCGGGCAGTATCTCAGCATGTGTGCCTTCCTTTGGTTTTGGCAGGTGCCGCAGGTAGCCTCGGAGGGGCAAAGTCGCATGCTGCTAGGCAGTCCAGGAAGGTGAGGAGGTTGTTGGCTGGGCTGGTGTCTAATAACAAAGTATTATATGGCAACTTGGTTAAGCATTTACCTCAGTTTTGCAGGTGCTGTGGGAGCCACCTTTGGAATTGGATGAGCCTTTGAGGTGAGCTGTGACAGTAGCGAGGAGGATCGTGGGCCTTATGCTTACAAGCACAATGGTAGTTTTGTCCCTTGGGATCTTAGGGTACCAAAAAGTGATGATGGCCACAGTGTCTGACTCTGAAATGAGTAGGTGAGCAGAGCTCCATGGTGCTTCTGAGGGAGGTGTCGTGGATGATGTAGGCATTGACTGGTGTGATGCTGACTGCCAGCTCTGTTTTGTCTTTTGCCTTTATGTTTTTTTATTGCAGGTAGAGAAGAACCTGGCCACTGCAGGAACATCCCAGTTAGCTGATATGTTTCTTTTTGTTAAGGATGCATTCAGACCTCCATCCCTCTGAAAGCTAAATTGAGGGACTGGGGCTGGGAGGAGGGGACAAGGTTGGGAATTGCAAGGAGGGGTTTGAAAGTTAGTGTAGGGGAGAGGGCTGTCCAGGAACAGCACCCTTTGGGCAGGCAAAGGGAGCAGATTACTTTTCAGCACAAGACTACCATGTGCCAGGCAGGGCAGTTCCAGATGGTGTCTGTGTTTGTGTAGTCTGTGTCTTAGATCTTCCTCAGTCCTCAACGTCCTTGTTGATCTTTGCTCAACAAACACAACACGTGCCTTGGGCCTCCTCCCTAGGGTCTCGAATGCCTGTCCTCATTGACATGGTGCCAGTTGGATGCTTCATGTTCTCAGGTTTCAAGCATAAAGCACAGATAGATCTTGGAAGTTTCCAGTCAGTTCCCTTTTGCAGCTTCGTTCCAGGCTGTGGCATCAGCTCTGCTCTCTAGGCATCCATTTTCACGGTCTGGGAAGTCTTCTCTGCATCCTTACGTTCTTAGGTCTTGAAGCCAGTTGTTTTGCACATTTGTCATGTCTGTTTTGACCGTAACTTCTTGGAACAGGCCATTGCGTTTGACCCTTTCTGGAGCTCCCGTAGAGCCTCTTAGCCTCATGGTTGCGACCATCTAGGTCTTATTGCACGACAGCATCTCGCATCCAGGCATCATTCTTCTCACTTAGAGGTTTCTCTCATCTTTGAATCACACTGTGTGTAGCATGTTTTGTGTAGAGTTGGTCTGGGCATGTGTGTTTGGCTTGGAGCTGTTCTGCCTGGGCAGTGTAGAGTCAGGGGTAGGTGGAAGAGTGATAGAAATGTGTGGTTAATAGACTGATAAGGCTGGACTGTTTATGCAGCATTTGTACAGTCACCTTGGGCCAAGTAGCCACCGGCCGGCTGTGTGAACAGTCATTTCCAGAGTGTTTTAAGGAGGTGATTTGAGCTACCTAAGAGGGGCTGTTCATCAGTAGTGAAGCAGATTGATTCTGAGATGTTAAGGCTTGTAATTGTGGGCCTTACAGTTTGGTATGTGGGGGATGGTTTTGTTTTGTTTTACCGCCAGGCTGTAGTTGGACTCCAGACGGTATTCCTAACCGGAATCAAGACCTCGGTATTTCTTAAGTTATCACTCTGCATTTTTTTCAGGTGCAGAGGGATAAGATGCATGCCAAAGTGACAGAGGAGGTAAGCAGAGTGCTGTGAGAAGGTGTGTCAGTGAGCGGTGTCGGAGGGAAGATGGGACCGGTGCTATATGCCTAGCTTATAGGTTTTGGTTTTGTGGTTTTCTTCTTTCTTTGAAGGTGTGAAGTGGTGAGCAAAATGGAATATTGACACCAGAGCTGGCTCAGGCAAGCTGCCTTTGGAATTGGATGAACACTTGAGGTGAGCTGGGGTAGCAGCGAGGAGGATCACGGGGCTGGTGACATGTGCAACGATAATTTTGTCTGTTTGGAATCTTGGGTTCTATAAGCAACAACGACCGTAGTGTCTGACTTTGGAATTGGTGCAGAGCAGGGTGAAGGGAAGTGACACAGTGCTTCTGAGGAGGGGCATGTTGTGGATGATGTAGGCACTGACTGCTGTGGTACTGACTGTCAGCTCTGTTTTGTCTTTTGTTTTGTATTGCAGGTGATGAAGAGGAAGCAGGCAACTAAAGGGACATCCCTGTTAGCTGATGTGTTTTTTCTGTTGAGGATGGATTCAGACCTCTGGGCCTTTGAAAACTATGATGAGGGGACCAGGGCTGGAGAGGGGCTGGGAGGAGTGGACAAGGTCAGGAGCTGCAGGGGGGGCTATTAAAGTTAATGTAGGGGAGCGTGCTGTCCAGGAGCAGTCTCCTTTGGGCAGGCAAGGGAGTGGGTTACTTGTCAGCATGACACTAGTTTGTGTTGGGCAGGGCAGGTTCCAGCCTGTGTCTGCGCATGTAGCTCACGTAGTCTGTCTTGTGTCTTATACCACACTGTCCTCAGGTTTTGATGTCTCCATAGCTCTTTGTCGTCAGCAGGCACCTCAGTAGCCCTCCTGAGAACCTTCAGTGCATTGCTTCCCTGGCATAGTGCCTGCCGAGCCCTTCTTGTCTAGCAGTTGTTGCCTAAAGGACGGATTTGCCTGGTCTGTTTTGCATTGTAGATGTTCTTGAGCGGTCACCTCTTGTGCTGCTGAGCTAGGCGATGCCTGCAACTCTTCTGTTGAGAGTTCTGTTTGCACACAGTAGTCTTCTGGGGTTTCATCCCCGTGTCCTCAATGATCTTAAGTCTCAAAGCCCAGCTTCTCAGGTATCCATCATTCCGGTTTTGACGGTAGCTTTCTCTCACAGGTCACAGTAGTTGCCTCTCATTCCGGGGCCACTATAAAGCATCTGCACTGTCGTGGCACTGTAGAGCTCCTCTGCTGGTGGCATCTCCCCTAGGGTGGCAGTTCTCTCTCACGGTCTTCTCGTGTCTCACAGTCATGTTGTTTGTGGTGTCTGTCTGTGTCAGGGTTGGAGCTGCCCTGCCCGGGGGTGTAGCAATACTAAAGACAAAGTTAGCATAGCTTTACGGTTGCATAGTAATTTGTTGATCTGCCCCGATCCTTTTGGCAAAGACTATATGGTCCATCTCTGGGCAAATAGCTGTAGACAGCTGCCAGAGTTGGTTTCATTGTGTTTGGACTCTGGCCTACTGGGAGTGATGGTCTGTGTGGCAGCTGGGCGGGTTGAATCTTAAAGGATTCATGATTTGGGTTTCTCAGGTGCAGAGTGACGAGCCGTGTGCCGCCGGGTGACAGAAGAGGTAAGCAGAGTGCTGGGCAAAGGCGGGCCGGTGTCCGATGTCAGAGGATATGTGTGACTGATGGCTGTTTTGGGTTTATTTGCTAGGTGTGAATAGATGAGTGAAGTGGGATATCTGTACCGGAGCAGACTTTAGCAAGGTAAGTGGTGACCGGCGTGCCAAAGTAGTAGTTTTCTGAGGTGTCATACACTCCCTATTATGAACATACATATCCCTATCCTATAGGGATATATAGGGATGGGGAATGTAGACCAAAGAATCTGAGTCTGAGCAGCTGAGGTAAAGCAGCAGAGGAGAAGCGCTGCGAGCAGGCTGAGGATTTGGGTGGCATCTTACCATGTGCTTATTCCTCTGTTTTTTGGCAGGTGCTGCATTCCTTTCCAGAGGGTTGAAGCTGCACAGCTAGGAGCAGTTTGAGAAAAGGCAAAAGTTAAGTGGTCCGCTTGGGCAGAATTGCCGAGGGTCCGTGCAACTGTGATGTATTACTTTGAAAGCTGGAGCAGAGCAGGTGAGTGCAGCTGTTCAGGGCTGTGCTCTCAGGGATGAAGCGTGTATTAAACAGCTTTGTTTTGTTTGCGCAGGTAACAGAGTGGCATGAAGTGATTAAAGGAACCTCGTATTTAGGCGACAAGGCCATGATCAAGGATGGCTACTGAGCATGGACCGTGACATGTGGCACCATGAAAGCTAAGTAGTGGGACAAATCTGTGGGGAGTGGAGTCCATGTGTGTCCAAACGTTGGCATAACGGGAGGGTTAGTCTGTGGGGAGTCAGCCTTGTGCAAGTGGAGGGAGTGATATGTCTCGTGACATGTGTGCCCTGGCAAAGCAGCTCTGGGATGAGCGGGTGGAGTTGTGCAGCATGTCTAGAGTGTGTTCATCATACGTGTTCCTTAGTTACCTGACGCGTTGATGTTTGTCTTGGCCTTCATGTCTGAGAAGCCTCGGGCATACTCATCCTACTGCAGTGACGATAGCCATCCGTTGCATCTCTGCGGCCTCCCGTTATCGGCGCAGTGCCAATTATGACTCGTTTAGCAGTGTGACACAGAAGCTCAGTGTTGCCCGTCTGGTTTAGCGTTGTGGGTGCATTTGGCCAGCCTTTCTTGCAGCTCTGGCTTGGGCCTAACCATCAGGTCTCATCTTGATGACACCCTCTCTCGAGACTGCTTCCAGAGTACTTCCTATGTCATCCCAGTCTTCAGTCTTTCCCAGCAATTTGTCTCCATCGGTCACGGCAGGTTTATCAGGCCAGGCTGGAGTGTTTGCCTCACGTGGCCTCGGCACTGTTGTGCGTGCTGTCAGGCTGTGTTTTCTGGTCTGGCATCAACTCTACTCTGTCTGGTATTTTCGCATCCTTAGGTCATGTTCGTAGTTTGTATAGTGTGTGTGTGAGGTGGAGCTGCTTTGTCTGTATAGCAATTCTTGTTGATGTTGGAACGATCCAAGCGTGGGATGATGTGATGATGAGCATGGCCTGTTTGGGTGGAGGTTGTAGAAGCTGGTTTTGGGGATAGCCTGTAGCTATTGGTGAGCAGGTCCTAGAGTCCTTTCTTTTATCTTTTGCAGGTGTCACCGGGACATTCGGATTCTGGGAGCAAATCCTTCCGTGAGGCTTGCTGGAGCGTGCACTTCAAAGAACAGGAGGAGTAGAAGTGGTGCAAAGAGGGAAGCATATCCCTGTGCTTCCAGTTAGGAAGGGTAATGCTGTGAAATCATGTGGACTGGTGATGTTGTGTTGAGGTGCACGGTGATGCAGTTCCAGGGATGGTTATGGAATTGGGGTGATCTGCCACTCTGGCACGTGATGAAATGGATAAGTTTTGAGTGAGGGATGGAATGAGCAGATGCCAAATGAGTGTTAGTTTTGGAATGTGTCTATCCTTGTAGGTGTGGATTTCTTTTATTTCAGGTTGTACTGAATGTAGAGGTAGTTAATGTTTTCTTAACAATAAATAAAAAAACCCCTCAAGCTGGGTGGTGTGTTTTGATTGTGTCTAAGTTGTTGGGTTTTGGTTTGGGTGTTGTGTTTGGGTTTTGTTATTTTTTTTTCAGTTTTTCCCTGTGGGCTGTATGTGGAGTTGAGACTTTTTTTTTCAGACACTGTAGGAAGAAAACCAGCCAGCCCAGCTGTGAGACTGTATTGTTTTCTTTCCCAGCTGGGTGGTTTTATCCTGGTCCTGGCTGCTCTGCAGGGTGATGTTCATCACCAGTCTTTCGATGGAGGTTTGGCTTGGGCTGGGATTTTTGCAGGCAAGGTGAATTATGAAGGGCAATGCTGTTCCCTGGGAGCGTTCCCTCGGCCTTTGGCAATTGCCCATCGTTGCAGGGAGGTGTGTTTAGTGGGCAGTCAGGGAAGATGGTTGCGCATCTTTCAGTTGAAGGTGTGGGGAGTTGGAGTAGAGGGCTCCAGTGCTGAGGAGGGATGGGGTTGTGAAGCAGGGGGGCCTTAATTTCCCATTGGTAGGGTTGTAAGTTCGTTCAAGGGGTAGTGTAGTGTCTGAAATATTTTTGAATTTTGATCTCTGGATGCAGGCATGGAAGTTGTGGGCCTACTGAGATGAGAAAAGCTCGCTTGCTTTCTGGCTGGGAATGCAAATGGTGAAGGTGATGTTGCCTCAAACTTACATATGTGAAGTGATGGACTAAGTATGTAATGGGAGTGAGAAACGTGGAAAAGACTCTAGCTACCTTGTAGAGAGTTGCAGGCACTAAGTAGTTGAAATGATGGATTTTTAGTGGTTACCTGTATTTATTAAAGAAGTGACTAAAAAGTGAATGAGTGTAATAGTAATTACTCGATGAAAGGAGACAGTAAATACGTTTTATCATTGTAGTACAAGACCATGCTGGAATTAAGGTGTATGGAATGATACCAGCAAAGTGCTTTAGAGTCAGTAATGGGCCCAGGCAAAGATAGAGATGGTTTGAAAAAAAAAGAGATAAGCAATATTTTTTCCCAAGCAATAAATGCTTATAAATAAAAAGTTCCTTGGCTTCTTGTATCTACACAGCATTAATCAAGGAACTGACACACACTGATTACACTGCAGCCCTGCCACCTCTCCTCCTGCTGTGCTGCAGGTGGAACACCCTAGTCCCACCCTGAACAGCTGAAACTATCCCCGAAGCTGCAAACATTAACCATAACGCCAGAAATCTGCCCCAATTAAAACATGCGTGTTTAGGGCAGACGAAAAGGAAGCTGTGAACAGCACGAACAGCCTGGTCAGGCAACGTGCAACCTAGGAAAAGTCACAGGGAACCCCTGGGTGTGCCGGGACCAGAGGGTGTGTGGGAACAGAGGTCAGGGGTTGAAGGTCGACCCCGGGGGGTTGGGGTCAAGGGTCAACTTGGGGCCACAGGTCAAAGGTAGTACGGGGTTGGAGGATGTTCAGGGGGTTCTGGTTGCCGTGCAGGGGTTCTGTTTGGGAATCAAGGGGCACAGACGTATTGCAGGGGTTCTATTTTGGGTGCCGGGGGCTTCAGACAGAGTTCGGGGGGGTGGGGGGGGGGGGGGGTTGGTTCTGGTTGGGGTGCGTGGGGCGCGTTTGGGGTGCAGGGGGCCCAGACGTGGTGCCGGGGATCTTGATGGTGTGGAGGGGGTTCACACGGGATTCGGGGGTTGCAGGGGGGTTCTGGTTGGGGTGCAGGGCGTCCAGGCATGGTGCGGTGTGTCTGATTGGAGTTCAGGGGGGCCCAGACAGGGTTCAGGGGTCTGGGGAAAGCGTAGGGGATTCTGTTTGGGGTGGAGGGGGTCTGTCTGTGATACAGAGGGCCCAGAAACTGTGCAGGGTGTCTTGTTGGGGTGCAGGGGGTTCAGAAAGGGTTCAGGGGGTTCTTGTTGGGGTGCAGGGCATCGAGGCAAGGCGCAGGGTGTTCTGGTTGGGGGTGCAGGGGGTTTAAACAGCGTTTAGGGTTCCACGTATGGTGCGGGTGGTTCTGGTTGGGGTAAAGGGGGGGTCTGTTTGGGTTGCAGAGCCTCCAGGCAACGTGCAGGGGATCTGATTGGGGTTCCAGGGGTCCAGGCAAGGTGCAGGTTGTTTTGGCTGGAGGGCAGGCGGTCTGGTTTGGATGCAGGGGACCCAGACAGGGTTCAGGAGTTCTTGTTGTGGTTCAGGGGGTTTCAGACAGGGTTCCGGGGGTCCAGGCAAAGTGCAGTGCGTTCTGGTTGGGATGCAGACAACCCAGACGTTGTGCAGGGTGTGTTGTTAGGGTGTAGGGGGTTCAGATATCATTCAGGGTGTCCAGGCAAGGTTCAGAGGTTTCTGTTTTGTGTGCAGGGGATCTGTTTGGGATACAGGCGGCCCAGACATGGTGCAAGAGTTCTTGTTGGGGTGCAGGGTTTTCAGTCTTCACGGCGTTCAGGCAATGTGCAGGGGGTTCTGGTTGTGGCACATGGGGTCTACTTGTGTTGCAGGGCTTCCAGGCAAGGTGCAGGTGGTCTCATTTAGATTCAGGGGGCCCCGAGAGGGTTCAGAGGGTCTAGGCAAGGTGCAGGGTTTTCTGTTTGGGGTGCAGGGGCTCTGTTTGGGATGCAGGGATCCCAGAGAGGGTGCAGGGTGTCTTGTTGGGGTGTACAGTGTTCAAGGCAAGTTGCATGGAGTTGTTTGTTGTGCAGGGGGTCGGGTTGGTATTCAGTGGGCCCAGACAGGGTGCAGGGGGTCTTGTTGGCATTCAGGGGGTTCTGTTTGGGAAGCAGAGGACTGAGACACGTCGCAGGGGTTGTCGTTTGGATTCAGGGGGGTTCAGACAGGGTTCAGGGTGTTCAGGCACGATGCAAGGGCTGCTGTTTGTGATGCAGGGGGGTTCCAGAGAGGGTGCAGGGAGTCTTGTTGGGATGCAGGTTGTTCAGAGAGTGTTCAGGGGGGGTCCAAGCAAGGTGCAGGCGGTCTGACTGGCGTTCAAGGGTTCCAGGCAAGTTACAGGGGGTTCTGTTTGAGTTGCAGTGGGTCTGGTTGGGATGTAGAGAGCACAGACAGGGTTCAGGGGTCTCACTGGGGTGCTGCATGTTCAGACAGTGTTCAGGGTGTTCTGTTTGTTGTGCAGGGAGTGGTTTGGGAAGTAGGGGACCCAGGCTCGTTGCAGGGGGTTCTGGTTGGGGTGCAGTGGATTCAGACAGCGCTCAGGGGATCCAGGCAAGTTGCAGGGGCTTCTGTTTGTTGTGCAGGGGGTGTGGTTGGGATGCAGGGGGTTGGTTTGTGATGCAGAGGGCTCAGACAGGGTGCAGGGTGTCGTCTTGTTGTGCAGGGGGTTCAGACAGTGGTCAGGGGGTACCGGTTGGGGTTCAGGGTGTCTCTTTGGGGTGCAAGGCATCCAGGCAAGGTGCAGGGATTCTGGTTGTGGTTCAGGGGGACCAGACAGGGTGAAGGGGGTCCTGTTGGTTTATAGGGTGTTCAGACAGGGCTCCAGGGGACCTCTTTGGGAAGCAGGGGACCCGGACACTTTGCGTGGTTCTGGTCAGGGTGCAGGACATTCAGTCAAGGTTCAGGGGGTCCAGGCGATTCTTTTTAGGGTGCAGGGGGTCTGTTTGTGATGTACAGGGCACAGTGCGCAGGGTGTCTCGTTGCAGTGGTGGGGGTTCAGACAATGTGCAGGGGCCCCAGACAGGGTGCAGGGGGCATTGTTGGGGTTCAGGGGTTTTGTTCATGTGCAGAGGGGCATTCTTGCAGGTATAGGAGTTCCAGTTGGGCTTCATGGGGTACAGACAGTGTGCAGGGGGGCCAGGCAGGTTGCAGCGGGTGTGGTTGGGGTGCATGGGGTCAAGACAATATGCAGGTGTTCCAAGCAGGTTTCAATGGGTCTGGTTGTGATGCAGGGGGTCTGTTTGGGTTTCGCGGGACACAGGGAGTTTACAGGAGGTCCAGGTGAGGTGCAGGGTGCCCAGTCAGTGTGCAGGGGGTCTTTTTAGGGTGCAGGGGTTTCAGACAGGTCGCAGGGGATATGGTTGAAGTTCAGGGCATCTGGTTGGAGTGCAGGGGTCCAAGCAATGTGCAGGGAGTCTGGCTGGGTTCAGGGGTCCCATAGAGGCTTCATGGGGTCTTGCTGGGGTGAAGGGGATCCAGTTGGATTTCAGGGGGGCCAGGCAAGGTGCAGGGGGTCTCGTTGGGATTCAGTGGGGCTGGTTGGGGTTCATGCTGCAAAGACTGGGTACAGGGGGTCCGAGCAAGGTGTAAGGAGTCTGGTTTGGGTGTAGAGGCCCCAGAGAGTGTACAGGGGGTCCATCCAGGTTATAGCTGATCTCGTTGAAATGCTGAGGACCCAGGCAAGGGGCAGGGGGTCTTGTTGGGGTAACAGGTGTCCAGGGAAGATACAAGTCATCTGGCTGGGGTGCAGGACATCTGATTGTTTTGCAGGGGGTCCAGACATCTGATTGTTTTGCAGGGGGGTCCAGACAAGGTGCGTGGGAGCCAGGCGAGTTGCTGATCATCTGGTTGGGGTGCGTTGTTGTACAGAGGGCTGAGACAGGGTTCAGTGGGTCCAGGCATCGTGCAGGGGGCCAGGCAAGTTGTAGGGGAGCTGGCTGGGGTTCAGGTGGCACTGACAGGGTGCAGGGTGTCCGGTTCCTGTCAGGGGGTACGGTTGGCGTGCGGGGTGCTCAGAGTTAGCGCACCGGGGCCAAGCAGACTACAGGGGTCTCAGTGTGTAGAGGGTATGTTTGGTGTGCCGGGCGTCTTGCTGGGCTGCAGGGGGGCTGGTTGAGGTGCACGGGGTCCAGGCGAGGCGCAGGGGTTCTCGGTGAGGTTCAGGAGGTGTAGTTGGCCATCTGGGAGCCCAGAGATGGTCCAGGGGGGCCAAGTAGTGAGCACGGGGTCTGGTGGGTTGCAGAGTCGCCAGGCAAAGTCTAGGAGGTGTGGTTGTGCTATAGAGGGCCTCATTGGTGTGCGTCACGGCCCAGCAAGGTGCACAGGGTCTGGTTGGCGTGCAGGGGCCCAGACATCTATGTGGCGAACAGCACATCTTTGAGTTCTTTCCCTGATCCTTCTCTCAAGATAAAACCGTAGGGTCGCTCGGAATCATACCACCATCCTTTTGCCATTCCGGATGATTTAGCCGCAAAAGAAGAATCATCGTAAGGTACTTCCTCTCGTTTCCCTTCCCTCCAACAAAACAACATCGACAGTATATAGTGTTAAACTTTAGGGTCTGTTCTTTGGCCACTTCTCTCGATCTTCTAAAATGCACAATGGCCACCAACGATTACAATAGTCAATTAATTGTTTCCTGGTAAGGGGTTCGCTTCCTACATCCCTCCAATATTTTAATATACATTCCAGAGGTGACTTCTTGAAAAGACCGCTCTCAGACCCCTTAGACCAGTCGGAACTCACATTAAACAGAATAAACAATTATGTACACAAAGCTATGACACCGCCTAACAGAATAAACAAGGCTGTCATACAAGATAATAATTAGATATGTACATTGGCCAATACCCTGTGATACCCTGGCCCACACCTTACGTGCGATTGAGGCTTTCTTCCGACCCCAGGTGACACTTCGGGCATCACCATAATGACGTGTAATCTCGCCTTCCTTCCTGGGTTTCCCTTAATAGCAGAGTCCTGTGGGAATTTCTTGTGTCCAGTCTTACAGACAGGCTTTTCCAGTCTGTGCTACCTTTGGTAATGCCTTAAAAAAAAACACAAACAAACAAAACAAGCAAAAAAAAAAAAAACACCAGGGCTCTTACTCCAAACTCACAAGATCAGGGCATCGGAGGATCTTCCCGAAAAACACTTAGGTGGTGCCAGAGTCCTCACAATCCCGTGGGTTCATCGAGTTTCCGAGGCGGCATCATCCCATCCGGGTCGCTGAAATTCTGTACTGAAGTCAGGAACAAAATCTCCTTAATGCCAGGTTTAGCATTAACGCATAGGAATTACTTTATCCGGCCGGGGACGCCAGGGAATCATTCTGCCTAACACGCCTGTCATACGTTACTATAGCCAAAGCCCATATCGTCCCGTTATGTGCCTATTCATTAACTCATTATCGTAGTTATATAATTATTACCTGTGGGGTTTAGGCCCCTGAGGGGCTTTCACAGAGGTCCTTGGCGGTCTATAGCAGTTTCTGGAGAGGAGCCTTTCTCAAACTTTGTCTGCATTTCAGAATTGGCCTTTCTTCTGTCTGCACTTTCTTACATCCCGCCTACCTTCAGCTAGTTTGTTCTTTTTCAGAGGGTGTTAATGTTGAAGGACAAGGGCTTCCAATTAGGAGTGTCTCAATTTCACACGGAGCCTCTCCACGTACATGTGTCCGGGGAGGCGTTTATCACGCTCAATTAGCTGAAGGACCTCCGCGCGATGGACGACACGTCATAGGCGTTTGACCGATCGCTTCAGCTTTTACACTACGCTAAGCAATTTTTTTCTTTGGCCATTTTTCAACAGCGGTGTTTCGGTTTGCCATTGCTATTTTTCAGTCCTTTCATCTCTTCATCCCTGGGCTTTTACAATTGGCCTGTATTTCGGTCACCGCATTTGTTTTTAAATTATTTTGTCTCGGTTTTCCTCGGTGCTGACACTTACAATTTTATTTCTACATCTCCGCTGTAATTTGCCATCAATATTTCTTAATTATTTCATTATTTCCTTATTAGCCATTGCTTTTAAGGTGTCCAGGCTACCTGTATTCCATTTGCGTTTTTTTCAAATTATTTTTTGTCCTTTGTTTGTCTCCACGCCCACGTTCCCACCGCTCCCCGGAACCTTCTCGTTCTCGTCACGACACCTCCTGAGACTGTCCTCATGCCCTACGCCACCGTTTGAGCTCCACAGCTCTCCTCATACGTCTCTTATGCAGAAAGATCCCTTCCTTGGGCTTTATCCGCACCCCAGAGCTCTCTTACCTTAATCACCGCCATCTCGGACGCATCCGTTTGGTCAGTTGTCCCCCAAGGACATCCATACGTCATCACGGGGATGGCACCTTGAGTTAAACATCCCGTCCAAGAGCTGTCTTTTGTCTTTCTCTCTTCTCCCGATGTCAGCGTGCCTCCCAAGGACATCCTCGTGCCCCGCAGCCCTTTTTTGGCTCTGCTGTCGAAGTACTGAGGCCTGAACGAGGCCTCAAGCCAAAGTCACCCTCTAGATGAACCTCATGACCAAACGTTATATAATGACTGTATCTGATCATTACTGAAATATGTAGCTGGATAGAACATCTCATTAGCGAGAAAGTAACTTAGATAAAACAATACGTGAATATATCGACATTTTCTAGTTTAGAAACACATTATCAAGGTTGAATACGCAAACTCCCTTGGTTTCTCCTATATCAACATTTCCTAGTTTAGAAGCACGTTATCGAGGTCGAATACACAAACTCCCTCCATTCCTCCTCAAGCCTCAGCCAGGCTCAGGAAAGAATCCCAAAGGACGACGAGGCGACTCAATCCACTGGATGTCTTGCATGCATTTTGTCAGTCCCATAGATTTACAGATTTCTTTGTTAACCCATAGAAAATCGGGACCCTCACGCAGCAAAGACGGAGACCTCGTCCACGAGCAGACGCACCGTGTAGGACTCGCCAGTTGCTGGGAAGGTCTCTCCGATCCTTCGTCGTGACGGGGCTCCCCGGCTGAAGCATGGATCCAGGCGACGGTAAAGCACGAGGACGATCGGTGATGCATGTTAATTGCTACAACTCATCTGGTATAGTAATAACTGGACAAATCGCCTTATTTCTTAAGCACCTCATTTCTTGCCTATTGCTTATTCCCTCGAGACAGCCAGTAAAATAAGCCTATCTCTAACTTAGCATCCTCACCCTTAGTGTTAACCCCATCGATTGGCAAAACGGCGGCGCACTTTGCGCCCTCCTCATGCCCAGAGAACCTTTCCCAACGCTGTAGTTTTGTCTCCAGAAGGTTCACATCATCCTCTACGGTAGCTAGGACGCGTCTGTTCCATCCCCGGTGCTCAGAGAGCACGCGTAGTCCATTCAGATCCCCTCCAGACTTCCTAGAGGAGGGATTCTCATAGGATCTACGCCCACTTTGTCATTTAGTTCCATCCACAGCATAATTCCAGTAGAAGCTAGCTAGCGTGCACAGTCTCAGTAGAAATGAAGCGTAACCCTATAGCATTTTGGTTGTTTTCTTGGAAACCAAAGTACATCATTGTCAATAAGAGTATCGTTATTGCCTTTATTCAACTATTTTGTAATAGAGCCTAATAAAATACCTATCTTTTTCTATGTATACCCTGGAAAAATTAAGCCAAAATCCCTACCAGGTCGCATGGCTGACACAACAGGCGCAGTAAATTTCTGGTAAGTCTCTTTCTCCCCAGAGCACTACACGCACTGTAATTTAGGCAGAGGAGAAAATTCCCCTCTGCTCCTCTGGCCGACTTTATACCTGCGGGGCATTGGCCCCGCCCCTTTCCCAGGGGATTGTGGGTAGGCTGGTGGGCGGGGCCGGGGGTATATGAGACCCAGCCGCTCGTTAGGGAGCTCATTCCACTTCTGGCTTTCTCAGCTGTTGGTGATGTCCCTGTCCTTCAGTCAATAGCAGCTTTTGAGCTATTTAAGCTTTTGAGACAGGTGCATTTTCATCTCCAGAGGAGCAGAGTCATTTGAGGTAAGTTTTTTCAGGACCTGTCAAGGTTCAGCATCATATATAGTAGATAAAATGTTTATATGTAGTTTGCTTTTTTTTTTTTTTTTTTTTTTACACTTTACATTAGTAATTTTGTTTGAAGTGTTTGGGAGGGCAAGATAGTTTAATAATGTGTATTGTTTAATTTTAATTCTAGGAAAGAGCATGGACTCTTTATTGGCAATTGAGGAGAAGAGGAGTTTGTACGGTTTTGAGATGGGGTGAGAGGAAAGCTACATTGCTTTTGAGGAGGGTGTTGCAGATGAGGTGCATGTCAGCTGATAAGGTCCTTATGGCTCACTCTTCTTTGTCATCTGCACAAAAACAGAACCCCGCAACTGTGGGAATAACCTGGTTACCCAGTATGGTTTTTTGTCAAGGATGGATTCAGACCCCCGGCACTGTGAAAGATAAGTTGAGGGACCGGTGCTTGGGAGAAGGCTCTGGGGGGCAGCCCAAGGTTGGGAATTGCAGGGAGAAGTTTTAAAGTTAATTTATGGGAGAGGGCTGTCCAGGAACAGTGCTCTTTGGGCAGCTGAAGCAGGGGTGGAAGGGGTTCCTTTTCAGCACGAGGTTAGCACGTGCCAGGCAGCACAGTTCCGGCCCGCGTCTGTTGTGTAGTCTGTGTTGTCTGTCTCGTGTGTCTTTAGACCTTTCTTGGGTCTCGACATCCTCGTGGCTCTTTGAGCTCAAGGAGCACAGTAGGTGCCTCGGGCATCTTCCCTTGGGCCCGGAACACCCGTCCTCATCGGCACGGTGCCAACCGGGCAGTTCTTGTTTTTGCTTTACTAGCCTAAAGCGTGACTAGGTCTTGGAAGATTCCAGTCAGGCTGCGTTTGCAATGTCGTTCCGGGCTGCGTTAGCATCTCTGATCTAGAGCAATCCATTTTCACAAATATCTTTTCTGGGAGTTCTTCCCAGCATCTTGACGTTCTTAGGTCTTGAAGCGAGGTTACTTGCACGTGCCTTATCCCTGTGGAGGCCGTAAGGTTTTCTCACAGGCCACAACATTTGACTCTTCGCAGCCTGCCATCCATTCTTCCTCACAGCCCCATAGGTCTTCTTGTCTGAGAGCATCTCCGATCTGAATCGTTCCTCTTAAAGAGCTTATTTTATGTCTCGTCTCTTGTTTGTGTGCTGTGTCGGTCTGGGTGTGCTTGTCTCAGTCGGAGCTGCTCTGCCTGGGTGCATAGAGGTGACAGTCAGCCAAAGAAGTACAGTGAGGGTCTGTGTCAATAAGCCTAGAGTTTGTAGGGAAAGGGCATACCGTCCATTTCAGAGCAACTAGTTGTGTAGGCAACAGGCAAGGAGGGTTCTTTCTGTAGCGCTACGCAGACACGCAGGGGATGAGCAGAGTGTTTTTAACAGCAGGCTGTAGAGAGAATTGGGATGGCATACCTAAATGGAAATGGGATCTCTGGAACTGTTAAGCTATTGTTCTGCATCCAGGGGACTCATTCAATCTCGCTTTTGCAGATGAAGAGGGATGACTCGCTCACCTAATGGCAACGGAGGAGGTGAACGGAGCGGTTTAAGAAGGTGGGTTGGCGTGCAGCATCGGGGGAAGGTGGGACCGGTGGCTGTATGACTAGCCGATCGGTGCGTTTTACTTGGAAGGCGCAAAGCGTCGAGCAAAGCGAGGTATCGGCCCCGGAGGGGATGTGGGTGAGGAGAGCCGTGACTAGGGGGCTGAAGCAGCAGTTCCTTTTCAGGTGTCACACGGGTGAAGGTAGAAGCACGCCTCGTTGTTTGTCTTGCGAGCGGTACCCGAGCCTCAACGTGACAACCTGTAAACTGTAGAGGTGGAGCGGGTGAGCACATAAATGAAGGGAGAGGGAGACAGTTATCGGTATGGGTGGGGTGCAGTTTTAGGATCAGCACATGCCAGGATGCTGCCCTTGTTTGTCTTCTTGCAGGTGACGCACGTAGCCTCGGGAGGGTGAAGGAGCGTGCTGAGGAGCAATCTGAGAAGGTGAGGCCGTCGTCAGCCAGGTCTAATAGCGCAGTTTTACATGGCCGCTCGGTTAAGCATTTGCCTTGGTTTTGCAGGTGCCACGTGAGCCACCTTTGGGATCATCTGAGTATCCGAAAGCAGCCGGGGTAGTAGCGAGGACGAGCACAGGGTCGGTGACTTCTCACAAGCGCAACGGTACCTTTGTCTCTCGGTAAGTTAGGTACCGCCAGCGACAAGGGCTGCGGCATCTGACTCCAAAACAAGCAGGTGAGCGGAACACCGCGATGCTTCTGACGAGGGGGGGGGGGGGGGGGGTGTTGCAGATAGAGGTAAGCGGGGAGCAGCGTGATACTGACCGGCAGTTGTGCTCTTCTGTTGGAGAATGGCTCAGAGACAAGGGTCCTGTGCCTTTAGCCAGTAGATTGTAAGCCTGCATGCCTAAGTTGTGCCTTGTCATGTATTAAGAAAATCTTTGAACGAACGTTGGCGCAGGCTCTGCTCATACAAAAAAAGGGGGAATTGTTGGAGAATGGCTCAGAGACAAGGGTCCTGAGCCCACCGAGCAATTGTATGATCAGAGCCTGCTCTAGCTGCTGATGCTGGGCCTCACTAGGGTTTGCCTGCAGCTGCTGATACAGGAGGAATGTCAAGGACGCTTCAGCCCTGTGTACCGTGGTGTGTCGAAAACAGGTTAAGGGGAATGAGGAATAGTGGTCTGAGAAACCTAGTGTTATGGTAACGATGGTCTGAGAAACATTGTGTTACGGTACTGTCGTGTATCGAAAACAAGTCAAGAGGAATCAGAAATAGTAGCATGAGAAACTTAGTGTTATGAGAAGCTTGTGCTGTAAGCTAACTGCAAGTAGGTGGACTGTGCGAATACGACCTTTAGAGCTTAAGCCAATCAGCTAGTGACTAGTAGGCATAATAATTATCATTGTCTGTATAAATATATGTACCCTGAACCAATAAAGACACACGTTGATTGATGCTCTATCACCCACACTGAACCCGTCTCGGCGTGTCGTTCGTCCACAGCTCCACACTCTTCTGTGCTTTTCTGCAGGTGATAAAGGGATCTGGCCACCGCAGGAACATGCCAGTTAGCTGCTGTGCTGCTTTTGTCCAGGGTGGATTCAGACCTCTGGCCCTCTGAAAGCTAAGTCGAGGGAACAGGGCCGAGAGGAGGGGATGAGGTTGGGAATCACAGGGAGGTTTTTGAAAGTTAACATAGGAGAGAGTGCCATGTGGGAGCAGCGCCCTTCGGTCCGGTAAAGGGAGCAGATTACTTTTCCGCTCGATGTTAGCATGTCCTGGGCAGGGCAGCTCCAGCCTCTGTGTGTGTCATCGTGTAGTTTGTTTCTTCTGTCTGCTGTGTCTTTCACCTTCCTCGGATCTCTATGTCCTCACATCTCTTTGTGCTCGAGGAGCACGGCATGCACCTCAGGCACCATCCCTAGGGCACCGAACGCCCATCTTCACCGGCACGCTGCTGATCGCGTGCTTTTTATTCTTGCGTTGTAAGCTTAAAGCGTGGGTAGGTCTTGGAAGCTTCCAGTCGGGAGTCATTTGCGCAGCATCGTCGCAGGCTGCGGCGTCAGCTCTGCTCCATAGGCATCCATTTTCACAGACTGGGACGTCTTCCCTACATCTTAGGTCTCAGAGAGTCATATTTCTCATCCACTGTCTCGGTTTTGATGCTAGCTTCTTATAACGGGCCATAACGCGTGACTCTTCTGGGGCTGCCCTATAGCCTTCTCGCCTCACAGTTGTGGCCCTCTAGGTCTCCTCACCTGACATCGTATCTTGTCTGAGAGTCCTTATCACTTAGAGTTTATCTTTGAATCGAACCTTTTGTAGCGTTTAGCTTTAGTGTATGCATGTGCGTTTTTGGCTCGGAGCTGCCCTGCCTGGGGGGTGTAGAGTCAGGAGTAGAACAGCAGTAGAAGTCAACGGTTTAAATGTTGATACGCTCAGACCGCCTAGGCGACAGAGGTACAGTCACCTCATAGTAGCCACCCGCAGGCTGTGCGGCCGGTCATTTCTAGAGCGTTTTATGGAGACGCTTGGAGCGGTGTGGGAGCAGCTGTCCAGCAGCAGCAAAGTAGATGGAATCTCAAAGGTGTTAAGGCCTGTAGGCGTGGGAGTTTACACTTTGGGGGGGAAGTGCATGGTTTTCTTGTTAATAACAGGCTGTAGTTGGATGCCAGATAGCATCCCTAGCTGGAAGTGACACCTCCGGATTTGTTAAGCATCTGGGTGACTCACGTAATTTGTTTTCACGTGCAGATCAACGAGGTGCGCACCAAAGAGCGATGGAGGAGGTGAGCAGAGGACTGTGAGAAGGTGGGTCACTGAGCGGTGCGGGAAGGAAGATGGCACCGGTGCTATCTGAGGAGATTATAGTGGTGTGTGGTGTGTGGTTTTTTTGGTTTTGTGTTTTTTTTTTTTAAGATGACAAGCAAAGCATGATATCAGCACTGGAGGCGGCTTGAGCCATGACTAAGGGGTTAAAGTAGCAGTTATTAGGTGTCAAATTGTCGGTGAAAGTAGAAGCATCCCTTGCAGTACGTGTGTTACAGGTGGCACACGAGCCTTAACGTGGCAACTGGAAACGGCAGTGGCAGGGCAGGTGAAGGGCCAAGGTAAGGGAGCGGGAGCTGGGAATGGGTGTGGGCAGGCCCCGTGTCTTTTCCTTTGGCTTTTTGCAGGTGCCACAGATGGCCTCGGAGGGGCCGAGCCGCACGCAGACCGACAGTCTGACAAGGTGAGGCCGTTGTCAGCCAGGTCGGTGTCTAATACGGCAGTATTGTACAACCGCTCCATCCAGCGCTCGCCTTGGTTTTGCAGGTGCTTCGGGAGCCGTTTTTGGGATCGGATGAGCGTTTGAAGCGTGCCGGGGGAGTCGCAAGGAGGATCGTGGGTGACCCGTTAGAAGCGCAAGGGTAACTTTGTCTCTCGGTATCTCAGGTGCCGCCGGCGACACCGGCTGCAGAGTCTGACTCCGCAATGAGCAACGTCTGCCACCCCTACCCCCTGTGTGGGCCCTCTGCAACCCAACAAGATTCCCTGCAACCTCCTGTCCCTTCTGCGCCCTGTCTGGGCCTCAACAAACCCAAGAGGACCCCCTGCACCCTGCCTGGTCCCCCTGCACACCAACCAACCCCTCTGCGCCTTGCCTAGCTGGCCTGGTTTGAGCTCAGAGAGCAACTGAGCACCATGCAGCCGCTCACTTCTCCCAACCCCGCCCAGCTGCTGAGGAGGAGAAAATAAGCCAGGCTTGGGATTCAAGATAGGACAGGGAGGGGCAAATCACCCATTATGGGCCCACAAAAAAGGCAGACTCATTAGGGGAAGCAAGAATGTAGATTTGTTATAGGTGCAAACAACAGCAACAGAGTAGGACAGTGAGAAGCATTACCACATCTTGAGAACCTTCCCCCACCCCTCCCTTCTTCCCGGGCTCAGCTCTGTTCCTGATATCTCTACCTCCTCCCCACAGCAGCACAGGGGCCAGAGAATGGTAGGTGCGGTCAGTGCTGCTGCTTCTTCCATCTTCAGGGCAGGGAAACTTCTGGAACTTCTTCCCCCTGCTCCAGCATCGTTCCCCTCTTGCAGGAGACAGTCCTCCATAAACTTTCTCCAACCCCTGGGCTGCAGCCCTTCCCAAGCTGCTCCAGCGTGGGACGCCCCTGTGTGCTGAAATCCTCCCAGCACCAAACTACAACAGTGGGGGCTGCTTGTCCCACAGGCTCACAGCTGGCATCGGGCACAGTCAGCTTAAATGTGGGCGTATGAGGCCCCTCACAGGCCACAAATCAGTGGCTGCTCCACCATAGACTTTCAGGGGTGTCGGGGGGGGCCGCCCTGCTTCTCACCACAGGATACAGGGGGGTCTCTGCTCCGGCACACCTCCCTCCTCCTTTCTTCCTCCGTTCCCCCACTGACCTTGGTGTTCACGCAGCTGCAGCAACTCCTCCTCACCAGTCCCACTGCCCATCACCACGTCCCTTCTTAAACACATTATCGCAGAGGCGCAGCTGATGGGCTCAGTTTTGGTGCAGAGGCGGAGCTGACTTGGAGTTGGGGGAGCTTCGAGAAGCTTCTCACAGAGGATCACCCCTGTAGCCCCCTCCCCTGCTACCAAAAAACCCCACCACTCACTCAAAACCCAGGACTCTAGCCCCCAAGCACTCTGCCTGGCCCCCTGTACCCCAACAAGACCCTCTACAAACTCTCAGGCCCCCTTGCACTCTGTCTGGTCCCCGTGAACCCCAACCAGACCCCCTGCACCCCAACAAGACTCCCTCCACCCTGTCTAGGCCCACTACACCCCCACAAGGCTCCCCTGCACCCTCTCTGGGACACCTGCACCCCAACAAGACCCTCTGCACCCCAAACAGACCCCCTGCAACCTACCTGGACTTTTCCTAAAGGAAAAACAAGTAAAAAATCATTTTTAAAAGCAAAATTGTAAAAGCACTGGGGATTAAGGAAATATGGAAAAAAATTAAAATAGTACCGAAAAGGGAAGAGCAACCTATTAAACCATCTTGCCACCCCAGAACACTCAATAAAAAATTACTCTCCTGAAAAACAAAAACAACAAAAACAAAAACAAACAAAAAAAAAAAAAAAAAAAAACAAAAACAACAAAAAACCCAAAACAACAACAAAAGCACAAACACAAAAACACACCAAAAAGAAACAAATCCAAAAAAAAAAAACAACAAAAAAAACAAAACCACAAAAACATGGAAAAAAAAAAACAAAAACAGAAACAGAAAAAAAAAAACAAAACAAAAAAAAAAAACACAAAAACACAAAACAAAAAAACTAACAAAAAAAAACAAAAAACACAAACACAAAAACAAAAAAACACAAAAAAAAACAACAAAAAAACACAAAAACAGACAGAAAAAACACAAAGAAAATAAAAAAAGAAAAAAAACCAAAACCCATAAAACCAAAACCACAAAAACACACAAAAAAAACCCAACAAAAAACAAAAAAACAAAACAAAAAAAATGAAAACCCCCCCAAAAAAAAAACCACACAAAAAACAAAGAACCACAAAAAAACCCACAAAAAAAACCACAAAAAAAAACACAAAAAAAAACACAAAAAACCACACAAAAACAGAAAAAAACCACAAAAAAACCACAAAAAAACACACAAAAAAACACACAAAAAAACACACAAAACACAAAAACAAAAAAACACAAAAACAACAAAAAAAAACACACAAAACACCCACAAAAAAACACAAAAAACTCAAAAAAAAAACAACAAAAAAAACACAAAACCCCCACAAAAACAACACAAAAACAACACAAAAACAACACAAAAACAACACAAAAAAAACACAAAAAAAACACAAAAAAACCACAAAAAAACCACAAAAAAAACACAAAAAAAACACAAAAAAAAACCACAAAAAAACACAAAAAAACACAAAAAAACACAAAAAAAACACCAAAAAAACACCAAAAAAACACCAAAACACAAAAAAAACACAAAAAAAACACAAAAAAAAACACAAAAAAAAAACACAAAAAAAAAACACAAAAAAACACAAAAAAAAACACAAAATAAACACAAAAAACCCCACAAAAACAACACAAAAACACCCAAAAAAACACACAAAAAAAAAAAAAAACAAAAAAAAAAAACACAAAAACAACACAAAAAAACACAAAAAAACACAAAAAAAACACAAAAAAACCACAAAAAAACCACAAAAAAACCACAAAAAAAAAACCAAAAAAAAAAAACACAAAAAACCCACAAAAACTCAAAAAAAAAACCAAAAAACCCCACAAAAAACCCCACAAAAAACCCCACAAAAAACCCCACAAAAAACCCCACAAAAAACCCCACAAAAAACCCCACAAAAAACCCCACAAAAAACCCCACAAAAAACCCCACAAAAAACCCCACAAAAAACCCCACAAAAAACCCCACAAAAAAAACCCACAAAAAAACCCACAAAAAAACCCACAAAAAAACCCACAAAAAAACCCACAAAAAAACCCACAAAAAAAAAAACACAAAAAAAAACCCACCAAAAAAACCACAAAAAAAACACAAAAAAAAAACCACAAAAAAAAACACAAAAAAAAAACCCACAAAAAAACCCACAAGACACAAAAAACCCCACAAAGCAATTACAAAACACAAAAAAACACACAAAAAAAACCCACAGAAAAAACACCAAAAAAACCCACAAACACAAAAAAAACACGAAAAAAACAAACCCACAAAAACACATTAAAAAAACCCAAAAAAAAAAAAAAAAACAAAAAAAAACAGAAAAAACACAAAAACACTCACAAAAACAAACAAAAAACCAAACAAAACAAAAAACCAAAACAAAAAAACACATTAAAAAACAAAACAAAAACAAAACCACAAACAAAAAAAGCAAAAAAGACCACAAAAAAAAACCACAAAAACCCAGAAAAAATAAAAAAACACGAAAAAAAAACGCAAAAAGCTAAAAAACGCAAAAAAAAACACACAAAAAAAACCACAAAAAAACCCACAAACACAAAAAACTCAAAATAACCCTCAAATAAACACAAAAGAACCCAACAAAACAAAAACAAACCAAAAAAAACCCCAAACAAAAAAACCAAACACACCCAACCCACCCCCCAAGCCCCGCCCCCCAAGCCCCGCCCCCCAAGCCCCGCCCCCCCAAGCCCCGCCCCCCCCGCTCCCCACTGCTCTCACCGCCAGCGCACTCGCTCCCCGCAGCTCAGCCGCCCCCTCTCCAAACAGCTTCGGCAGCTCCAAAGCTGCCACCAAGGGAAGGAACAGCCGAGCCCCCAGCCCCGAGGCCCCAGCCCCCAGCCCCGAGCCCCCAGCCCCGAGCCCCCAGCCGAGCCCCCAGCCCCGAGGCCCCACCCCCCAGCCCCGAGCCCCCAGCCCCGAGCCCCCAGCCCCCAGCCCCGAGCCCCCATCCCCGATCCCCAAGCCAAGCCCCGAGCCCCCAGCCCCGAGCCCCCAGCCCCCAGCCCCGAGCCCCAAGCCAAGCCCCGAGCCCCCAGCCCCGAGCCGAGCCCTGAGCCCCCAGCCCCGAGCCCCCAGCCGAGCCCCCAGCCCCCGGCGGAGCAGAGAGCGCTCCCTAAGCACCCGCCTGCCCTGGGGCAGCGCAACCCCTGCCACCAGCACTGGCTGGGGGTGAGGGCCCTGCACAAGAGGCCTTGGACGTCGCCGGCGGATGAAAAGCTGGACACGAGCTGGCAGCGTGCACCCGCAGCCGAGAAATTCAACCATATTCTGGGCTGCAGCAAAAGAAGTCAAAAGAAGTGCGGCCAGCAGGTCAAGGGAGGGGATTCCCCCGCTCTGCTCTGGTGAGACCCCCCTGAAGTGCCGTGTCCAGCTACGGGGTCCCTAGTACAAGGCAGAAAGGAACTTGTTGGAACAGGTCCAGAGGAGGCCATAAAACTGATTGGAGGGAGGGAACACCTGAGGAAAGGCCGAGAGCGTTGGGGATGCGCCCTGAAAAAGAGAAGACTCTGGGGACACCTTGGCATGGTCTCTCAGTAATTAAAGGGGGCTTAGAAGAAAGATGGCGACAGACTTTTTTAGTAGGGCCTCTTGCAACAGAACAAGGGCTAATGGTTTTAAACTAAAAGAGGATAGATTCAGACTGGATAGAAGGAAGACGTTTCTTATGATGAGGGTGGTGAAACACTGGCACAGGTTGCCCAGAGAGGTGGTGGATGCCCCATCCCTGGAAATATTCCATCCGGTTGGACAGGGCTCTGAGCAATCTCATCCAGTTGAAGATGTCCCTGCTCAGTGCAGAAGGGTTGGACTAGATGGCCTCTGAAGGTCCCTTCCGACCCAAACTATTTTACAATTATCAACAAATGTACTGTTTTAACCTTACCAGCATGCCATGAAATCTTTGTTACAGCTTTGCCTCTGATACTACTTCTTACTATGATCAGTCTAGTTTACCTAAATTTGAAATGGTCATACTCTTAGAAAGCTCTACAATAATAAAGCAGTAAGCATATCACAGCTGCCAGGTAACAGTTGGCTCTCAACTTCCCTTCCCTACCAGCTATACTTGTAAAAGTATCATCAAGTCATCCCTCTTCATCTGCAAAAGCGGTGCTGAACAAGTCACCTGGATGCTGAGCAATAGCTTAACAATTCCAGAGGTCCAGTTTCCATTTAGGTAGGTATTTAGGTATACTTTAGGTATCCCGGTTCCCACTACAGCCTGCCATTAAAAAAACCCTCTGGTCATCCCCTGTGCCTCTGCATAGCTCTACAGAAAGAACTCTACTTGCACATATGGCTAGTTGCTCTGAGATAGCAAGAGTCGATGGGACAGGGAGCACACCAGAGATCATCAGAGAAAGAAACAGGGAGGAAAGAAGGGAGAGCCAGCTGGACAGGGGGATATGGTGAGAATCAATGGGTCAGGGAACATGACAAAGAGAGAAAGATATAAGAAAATAAGAAAAAAGAACAGAGATGACATCAAGAGGGGAAGGGGAAAAAAAAAATAAAATAAAAAAAAAAGGACAGGCATTTGGCCAGAGATAGAGAAAAAAGCAGTAGGGACAGAAGAAAAGACACAAAAAGGAAGACAGGAAGCAGGACAGAGCTGGAGAAAAAAAGCAGAGGGGTGGAGAAAGAAAAAGACAAGAGGAAGGACAGAGAAACAAAAATAAGGACAGGAAGTGGAACAGGGATGGAAAAAAACCTGGGATGAGCAGCATGACAGAGTTAAAAAAAATAGGGGCAGGGAGCAGGACAGAGAGCTATAGAGAGAAACAATGGGACAGAAAGCAGGACAGTGACAGCAAAAACGGAAGAGGGAGCAGGACAAAGAAACAGGGAAAGAGGATCAGGGAGCAGGACACTGATAGAACAAGAAAAAGAGGGACAGGGAGCAGAACATACAGAAAGAAAGGGAACAGGACAGAAGGACCGAGTAAAAGAGAGGGATGCAAACCAGGACAGAGACGGAGAAGGAAAATAAATGGCAATGCAGGAAGAAAAATAGGGACGTAGAGCCCTACAGAAGGATAGAGAAAACAAGTGGGAGACAGAAAGCAACAGAAAGAAAAAGATCAGAAAAGGGAGCTGGACTAAGGAAGAGGGGAGGGGGATGATAAGGACAGATAAACAGAGAGATAAACAGAGGGATGGGGACCGAGACAGTGGGACTGAAAGACAGGAAGGAGCAGAATAGCGAGGTGGAGTGAAGGGGGGAGAAGATGGGAACGGACAGAGTAAAGTGCAAGAAATAGCTGAACGGGAAGGATAGTGGGATATAGATACAGAAAAAAAAAAAAAAACAGGAACAGAGAACAGGGAAGTGGGGTAGAGAGATAAAAACAAGGACAGAAGCGGACAGAGAGCACAAGAGAGGGATCAGGGGAACAGGTCACTTCCAAAGGAAACCAAACCATTCTGTGATTCTATGGGGAGCTGGGCAAAGAGCCAGAGAAAGAAAAGATACTGCCAAGGAACATGACAGAAGGATAGAGCACAAAATAAAAGAACGGGAAGCGGGGCAGTGGGATGCAGCAACTAAAAATAGTCATAGGGAATAGGGCAGATGGATAGAGTTAAAGAAGACAGAGGGACTGACAGAGAAAGAGAGGGACAGGGAGCAGGTCAGAGGGACAGGGAGCAGGTCAGAGTGACAGAGAGGAAAAAAAGGAGAGAGGAATTAGAGGGAAAAAATACCAATGGGGAGCAGGACAAATGGATAGAGACAAAAAGGAGGAAAAGAATAAACAAGGAATATAGAAGGAGAGCATAGAGAATGGGACAAAGAGAAGGATGGGGAACAGGACACGGGGACCGAGAAAAAAACAGGGATGCAGTTCAGGACAGAAAGATAGAGAAGGAAGAAACAACAATGGGCTGCAGGATGAAGACAGAGAAAAATGGGTCAGGGAGCAGGACAGAGGAAGAGAGAGAAGGGGAAAAATGGACGGCCAGCTGGATATAGTGAGAAACTATGGGACAGACAGCAGGACAAAAGCAGAAAAAATAGAGAAAGCAAGGCAGAGGGACAATGACAGGAAAAAAAAAAAAAAGTAGCAACACAGAGATGGAGAAAGCAGCAATGGGGAAAAAAAGATAGAAAAAAAAAAAAAAAAAAAAAGACTGGAAGAAGGACAGAAGGAGAGTGTGACAGGACCAGGACAGGGAGATGCAGAAAGAAAAAAATAGTGATGAGCAACAGGACAGACACACAGACAGATCAGCACAATAGAGGGACAGAAGACAAAGACCAGGACAGATAATGGGGTCGGGAGACAAGGAGCACAACAGACAGACAGAAAGAAAACAAGAGGTGGGGAACAAAAACGGAGCAGACAGAGCAAGAACAGAGAAAAATAGAGGTACAGGAAAGCAGAAAAAAATGTGTGAGAGAGAAAGGGAGGATTGGGGAGCAGAAGAAAGAGATGGAGAAGGAACAGAATAGCAATGGGCAGCAGAGAGATGGAGAATAAAAAATACCTCTAGGGAGCAGGACAGAGAGAGTGAGGGAAAAAAATGACAGGGAACAGTATAAACAAAAACAGAAGAGGGGGGGCAAGGGGGAAGGACACAGAGAAAGACAGGGAGTGAAGAGACAAAGAAACTGGGATAAAGAGGGAAAGAGGAACCCAGAGAAGGACAGAAATGGCAACATAAAAAATAGTGAAGAGCAGCAGGACAGATAGATGGAGCAATAAAGCAACAGGGACAGAGAAATACAGAAAGAAGGAAGGAAGGGAAGAAAGAGACATGGAACAGGACAGACGGGGAAAAAAAAAAAAAAACACTGATGGGGAGCAGCACAGAGAAAGAGAGCGAAAGGAAAAAGGGATATCCGGCCAGACAGATGGATATAGCAAGAAATGATGGGATAGGCAACGGGACAAAGGCAAGACAGAGATGGACAAAGAAACAGTGACAGAAGGATAGAGACAGAGAAAGAAAAAGACAGACAAAGACAGAAGAATAGACAAAAAGAGTGACAGAACCAGAACAGAGAGAAGGGGAAAGACAAACTAGTGACGAGCAGCTGGACAGAGGGAAAGGGAGGACAAAAGGACAGGAGGACAGCCAGTGGGATACAGAAAACCAGTGAGGGACAAGGAGTCGGAAAATGGAATTCAGATAACAGAAGAGGGATGAGGAGCAGGACACTGGGACAGAGAGCATGAGAGTGACAGGGGAACGCTGGAGAGATGGACAGGAGAAAGACAGAGACAAAGAGCAGGACAAAGATGGAGCAATACATAACAGGAATAAGGAGGAGGACAGAGCAATAGTCACAAAAAAGAGAGGGACAGGTAGGACAACAGAGGACTGGAAAAAGAAAACACAAGGGACAAGGAACAGCATGAAGGGATATAGAGAAAAAGAGAGTGACAGGCAGCAGGGGAGAGAGATGGGGTTATAAACAGTAGGGTCATGGAGCAGCACAGTGGAATAGGAAGACAAGAGGATGCACAAGGATAACAACAGAGACAGATGAGGACAGAAAGCAGGGCAGAGGGACAGAAAGAGAAAAATAAGCGGAAGAAGGGCTGAGGAGCAGATAGAAAGGCACATGTATGAGGACAGAGATGGGAAAAAAAAAAAAAAAAAAAAAGTAAAAACGGGGATGAAATGTCCTGCAGAGAGACAAAGAAAGTAAAAATACTGACAGGGAGCAGGATGGAGGGAGAAAGGGCGGGACAGGCAGAAAGACAGAGAAATACAGGGATGGGAAACACAACATAAGGATAGATAGAGAATAAAGAAGACAGGGAACAAGCCAGAGGGATTGAGAAAAAAAGAGGCACAGACCCAGACAGAGAGATGAAGAATGAAAAAAGGGTAATGGGCTGTAGTACAGAAATAGATGTAGAAAAAAAAAAAGGGGGGGGACAGGGAGCAGGACACGAGAACCGAAGGACAGAGAGCAGTGGGGAACAGGACTGAGGAGCAGAGAAGGACAGGGAGCGGGACACAAGAATAAATAAAAGAGCAGGGATACAGGGATGGAAAAAAAGACAGAGGAAAATAAAGGACCAGGAAGACAGAGGAACAGAGGAAGCCAGGCAGATTGATGGACAGGTAAAGAGGGAGATGGCAGCAGAAACAAACAGGCAGTGATCTCAAGGGGTGCGGGACACAGAGATGGGCAGGGAGAAACCAGGATACAGATGAACAGGACACGGCCCTAAGGGCCTGGGACTCTGCAGCTCCCGATTTTGGCTCTGCCCACATAATTTTCCAGTTCAGACACTTATTTCTCTGTCTCTTTCTCTCTCCTTTCCTCTTCCTACAGCTCTGGTTGCTTGGCTGTCCTACACCTAAGAGGACACAGTGGTGTTTTATAGCTCTTACAATACGAGGCTTCTGAGCTACACAGCCTTGCATGCACATACACCCTCCCCATGGCTGTACCCTGCTTTTGGATATGCATACAGACCCTGTGGTACATGTTGGCAATCAGGTCTGCTGAGGACTACTCAGAGAGACCCTTCCCCACTCAGAAAGGCTGGCTGTCTCTCATCTGTGGCTGGAGGCACCTTCCATCTCTATCCCCTTGATTTCATTCTCCAGCTACTTTACCTTATTCTAGCCTCTTAAGCTTCATCCACAGCAGCTCCTGTCCAAAGCCAGTAAGCGTCCACCAGTCCCTGGTCAACCACACCGCTAGGAGAATGAGGCAAAACAGACAGCCCACGCCAACCAGAGGCAAATGCAGTCAACAACAGCCCCAGGGAGGCACAGAGTCCTCAGCACAGACTCTGAGAGGGGAAGAGAACGGGCAGCTGTTACCCACAGGGTCCATCACAACTCATCCCGGCGGGAGGCCCTCCGGTAGCAGGAGCTCCTAGAGATATCGCTTTCCCCGCACAGACGCTCCCAGCACCTGCATTAATGGCAGATAAAGCGCCTTCGAGGGCAGTCGCAACTGGCGGGAAGGGGCCAGGGCATGGTGGGGGCATCTCTTTGCAGTGCCCTTGGTGAGGGGTCAGAGGGTTGGGGCCCGCCGCCTCCCAGGGCCCGGTAAGGGGAGGGTTGGGACCCACCGCCTCCTGGTCCCGGTGCGGGGAGGGTTGGGACCCACCGCCTCCTGGTCCCGGTGCGGGGAGGGTTGGGACCCACCGCCTCCTGGTCCCGGTGCGGGGAGGGTTGGGACCCACCGCCTCCTGGTCCCGGTGCGGGGAGGGTTGGGACCCACCGCCTCCTGGTCCCGGTGCGGGGAGGGTTGGGACCCACCGCCTCCTGGTCCCGGTGCGGGGAGGGTTGGGACCCACCGCCTCCTGGTCCCGGTGCGGGGAGGGTTGGGACCCACCGCCTCCTGGTCCCGGTGCGGGGAGAACTGGGGCCCGTCGCCTCCCGGTCCCGGTGCCCAGTAAGGTGAGGCTTGGGGCCGTCGCCTCCCGGTGCCCGGTAAGGGGAGCGTTGGGGCTCATCGCCTCCTGGTGCCTGGAGAACTGGGGCCCGCCGCCTCCCGGTGCCGGTGCCCGGTAAGGGCGCGTTGGGGCCGTCGCCTCCCGGTGCCCGGTAAGGGCGCGTTGGGGCCGTCGCCTCCCGGTGCCCGGTAAGGGGAGCGTTGGGGCCGTCGCCTCCCGGTGCCCGGTAAGGGGAGCGTTGGGGCTCATCGCCTCCCGGTGCCCGGTAAGGGGAGCGTTGCGGCTCATCGCCTCCCGGTGCCGGTGCCCGGTAAGGGGAGCGTTGGGGCCGTCGCCTCCCGGTGCCCGGTAAGTTGGAGGAGCCGCCCCCGTTCCCCGCCGCGAAAGGGAAACACGCCGGAGCGGTGGCAGCCTCAACCTACCAGCGGGCCTCACGTGACCCACGCCGCGACCCACGTGATCGCCCGGGAGCCCGGTGCTGGAAGACTACAACTCCCGGCGTGCCCCGGGGCACACGTGACCTGCCCGAGCCGTGCCCCGGGGGTCCGGCGTGGGCCCGGCCACCGGTTACCGTAACGGCCCGCGGCAGGACCCGGCTGGGGGTCCGGGGGGACCGTGCAGGACGGGTGCTCGCCCACCGGGCCCCGGGTGGAGAGTCACGCACACGCGACAATTTCTGATTTTTTTTTTTTTTTATATATTTTATTATTTCTGCCATGAAAAGTACAAAGAGTCGAGTCCGGGGGTGGGTGCCAGGAGCCCGTCCCTTCCGGGGACCCCACTCCACGGCGGGGAGGGGCGGGGGGGACGCCTGTTCACACTCACGAGCATCCCCCCCGTGTCGGGGCGCCCCCCAGACAAACGGTGGGGACCCAGGCGGGACCCCCGCGGGGTGCAGCTCTTATTGCTACTGAACTGGGGGTCCCCTCGGCCCACCCGTCCTGCTGGGGCTGCCTGGGTCCCTGGGATGGGGGTCCCCAGGGTGAAGCCGCCCCGGGGGGGGGGTCAGAGTTTGGGGGGGGTGGGGAGGCAACCCCGGCTGCCTGGGTCCCTCACCCACCCCGGGGACTTGCGCACACGCGGGCAGAGGGGAGTAATAAATATTTACATTAACGATAAGTTAAAACTACAAGAAGCTGCAAACGAGCACGACACTACGCAACGCAAAAAGTGGGGTCCGGGAGGGGTGGAGTGGGGTCCAGGAGGACCCGTGGGGGGGGCAGATGGTCCCAGGGGTCCCAGGGCTGGGTAAAGCCAGCAAAGAATTGGAAATCAATAGGAACCGAAACCACTGAAAAGTAAGAAATTATCCCGACGGAGAAGAGAAAATAAATAATAATAGCAATAGTAACAACAACAACAACAATAATTAATAATAATAATAACAATAATAATAATAATGATAATGGATGGGGCTGCTATGGGGGACTCAGCCTGTCAGGAGGGTTGGAGGTTTCAGGGACTTTTCTACCCTTTTCTTTGGCCAGGATGCTCGAACTGGCCAAGCAAAAGCACCCACCCCAGCAAGATGAGGAGGTTGGGGCAAAAATGCCCATTTTGGGGTATTTGGAGAAGGGTGGGAACAGGGCAGTATGGACAAGACACACACACGCGCACACACACACACCCCCACCCCCACCCCCGGAGGCTGAGGGACACCGGGACTCCCTGACAGCCTCAACCTGATGGCATTTTAGTGCCATTCCGCCCCCCCAAAAAAAAACATGCTGTGACCGTGCTTGGGGATCACAACCTCTGGCCTTGTCTCCAAGCAACGGGGTGGAGGTGGGGGGGAGGAGGGGAGCACATAACAGATTCCCACCCCCACAACTTCCCTCCAGAGGGGTTGTTTGGGGGGGATTTCAGGGGATTTTATTTTTGTAGGGTTTTTTTTTTTTTTCTTCTTCTCTTACAAAAATAGATGGTTTTGTGTCTGTCGCTCTGGAAGAGTCACCGCTCGCTGTGTCGGTCTCTCTCCTCGCTACCATTTAGAGCTACCATTATTGTTATTATTCGTTATTGTTTGTTCTTTCTCCCAAAAAAATTTCCCCCTCAAAAAAGAAAAAAAAAAAAAATGGAAAAAAGAGGAGAGAAGACACCCCCGGACTCCTGGGCCGGAGGGGAGGGTGGCACGGCCCCCCCTTGGCACCAGCCTTGGGACAAAATAAGCCGAATCGGGTGCTATGGGTGGGGGTCCCTCCCCGGGCCAGCGGCCGGACCGGGGCTCGAACCCGCGGACCCGACGCCGCTCCGGGGGGTCCGGCCACCGCCAGAGGGCGCCGCCACGGGCGGGCGCCGAGCCGGGGGCGTGGCCGCCGGGCCGGGGGCGTGGCCGCCGAGCCGGGAGGCGGGATCTAGCCCTGTGACGCGGCTAAATGGGGCGGGGATAAGACCCAGGAGACCTCGATCCGGGGGGGCGGGGTCCCCACTTCCCCTTCCCCCCCCCACCCCTCGCCCCGGTACCCCCGGGGGCAGCTCGGTCCCGGAGGACCCCCGGGGTCTACCCAGCCCAACCCAGCCTCGCCCCATGGGAGCCGGACTGCCCTAAGGGAGGGGGGAATCCCATTTCTCCCCGTTTGGGGGTGCACGACCCACCCGCCCAGAGGAGGGAAACAAAAAAGGAGAGGGAGGGTGTTGGTCTGGCACCCGCCCCAGGCAGTGCTGGGGGTGCTGGGAGTCCCCAAGGTACCTGGGCTCGCTGGAAGTCACCATGGCCTCTGGGTGATGTGGAAAGGGAGCCCTACCTCCAGTGTCTTGGCAGTGCCTGGTGAGGTCCCCCAACATCTCGGTGCTGGGCGGGGGCGGGGGGAGGTCCCCGGAGCCTTTGGGGTGCCCATGGTATTCCTGGGGAATTTGGAGGTGACTCCCCCTCCATATCCAGACTCCTTCGCAATTCCCAGAGTTTTCAAGGTGGCTGGGGGGTCCCCAGTGTGTCCTCAGTGTCCTGGGAGCTCTCCAGACTTTCCAGGGTGGTGGGGCAGGAGGCTCTTCGGGAATGCCCCCGGCATCTCCATGCCCCCACAGTGTCCAAGAGCTCTGGGACACCTGGGGGAGTCCTCAGGGTCCATGGTGCCCAGGAGAGGGGTGGGGGTGTCCACGGTATCCAGGTTGTCCTTCAGATGTCCCCATGGTGTCCTTGGTGCCCATGGAGGTGGTCCCCAAGGTCTCCAGGTGTCTGGGGGAGTTGTCCATGGTCTCCAGGGTGGGGAGGTCCCCGCAGTATCCTTGGTGCCTGGGGAGGGGGGGTGGTGGTGTCCCCATGGTTTCCTTCGGGTGTCCCCACAGAGTCCTTGGCGCCCATGGAGGGTGTCCCCAAGGTCTTCAGGTGTTCAGGGGGGTTCTCCATGATTTCCAGGGTGTCCTTGGTGCTCATGGGGGTCCCTGTGGCCTGGTGATGCCAGGGGACCCGGTTCCAGGGGCTGGGAAGCCAGTGGGGTGGGTCTCAGGCCTTGTGCTGTTTGCTGGTCTTGAAAGAGACCTGGAGCACGCGGTCGCCCAGGCGGTAGCCATTGAGGCTGGCAATGGCCATGGCCGCCTCCTCATAGTTGGTCATGGTGACGAAGCCAAAGCCCTTGCACTTGTTGGTGGCGAAGTCGCGGATGACCTTCACATTGGTGACAGCACCGAAGGGCCCGAAGAGCTGCCAGAGGACACTCTCGTCCGCCTCGGGTGCCAGGTTGTAGACAAAGATGCACCAGCCAGTGCCGGGGGTCCCCAGGCCCACCCCGGCCAGCCCTGGCACCGCCTCGATGGCCAGCGGGGAGAACCTGGGCAGCAGCGACAGCGGGCTGGCCTGGGGTCAGGGCGTCCAGATGCCAGGTTCCCCCCCCCAAGGACACACAGGTCCCCTCCTGCCAGGGTCCCCAGCCGGTATATGGGGCTGGGGGTCCAGAGCTGGACTGGGGGGGGGCTGAAGGGGTGGGGAGGGGCCATTACCTCTTCACGCCATAGGCCACGTTCAGCAAATTGTCGAGCCTGGAGAGGACAAAAGGTTGTTAGGAGGACACACGGGGGTGTGCTTGTGCAGGTGTCTCTTTGCCATGGGGGTGTCCCATGCCCTGTGGCAGCCCCATCCCCTGGGGAGCGTTTGCGCAGTGCTGGGGGATGTCCCACCCCCCAGGGTCCGCGGGGACATCAGGCTCACCGAAAGCGCTGGGGGGGGTGGTGCAGGGCTCCATAGCGGCGGGCGCTGGGGCAGAGGCTGAGCAGGGCCCCCCCTGACTTCTGGCCCGGGCTGTTGGCGAACTTGACGGTGATGGGCTCGGCGGCACCCAATGGTTTCTGCCCGTGCAGCCCCCGGACGGCCTCCTCTGCCTCCACACGCTTGTCAAAGCGGATGAAGCCCACCCCTCGTGAGATACCTGCACACAGGGTGTCCGGGGAACAGAGCCCTGAGACCCCGCTGCTGCGCAGCAGCGGGACCCAGGCGTCGAGGGAATCCTTCTGCGACATCCATTCCCCAGGTATCTGGGGAATCCCCTGGCACAGACCCCTCCGTTGGACCCAAGTGTCTGAGGAATCCCACCCCCCCCACTTCCCGATGCCCCACTGCCCACCCGTGAGACCCCGGAATCCAGGAAATGCTCCCCCACCCCATAGGTCCTTCTGGGAACCCAGGCGCCAGGCAGCCACCCTTCCCCCAGGGAAACCAGGCATGCAGGCACACCTGTGACCTGGTCAACAAGGATGCGGGAGGTGATGATGCGGCCATACTGAGAGAAGAGCTGTTCCATCTCCTTCTGCCCCATGGCCTTGGGGAGGCCGCTCACGTAGAGGTTGGCATCACGGATGGAGGCCGAGCTGGGCCGAGCGTAGGACACCTGGGGGGGGGGGGTCAGCCGTGGGGACCTAGGTGTCCACGTGCCAGAGCTGCCTCCCACCCATGGGCCGACCGAGAGACCCAGGCATCTTCCCTGCCCCCAAAGGCCCCCCCTCCAGCATCCACACCCCTAAGAGACCCCCTGGTGCCCATCCCCCCCACGGGACCCCAGCATCTGCCCCCACTCCCCTGAAAGGGACCGCCTGGTGCCCACCCACTCCCCAGGGACCCCAGCATCCCCCTGTTCCCAGGGACTCCAGCATCCACTCCACCCCATCCTGAGGCACCCCTGGCGCCCACCCTCTCTGAGGGCCCCCGGTATCTGGCACCTTGATGGTCTTGGTCTGCAGCTTGAGGCCGTTGAGGGTGCTGATGGCCTTGTCAGCGTCACCCGCCTCAACGTAGTTGACGAAGCCGTAGCCCAGGCTCTGCCCTGAAGCATGCGGTCAGGACCGAGGGTGGCCCCAGCACCAGGCCGAGTCCTACCACCCCCAGTCCCCATCCCTACCCCACCCCTGTCCCCACCCCTGTCCCCAAGCTCCGTTTCCATTGCATCTTCCTCTCCGTCCCTGTGGGTCCCCATCCCCACATCCCGGTACCACGGATCCTGTGGTCAAACTTGCAGGACCCACGATCCGCAGAGAGGTTCCTTAAGTCATCCCTGTCATCCCACCCACCTGCCCATCCCTGTCCCAGTCCCCACATCTTATCCCCCATGTCCAATCTCCCCATGCATCCATGTCTTATCTGCCCACGCCCCATCCCCCTATGTCCCATGTCCTGTCTCCCTCTGTCCCATCTCCCCTGTCCCATACCGGTGACCTTGTCGCGGACAAGCTTGCAGGACTCGATGTCCCCGAGGCTGCCAAAGAGGCTCCGCAGCTCCTCCTGGCTCATGCTCTGGGGCAGGTAGTTGACGATCAGGTTGGTTTTGCTGTCGTCGGCCACGGGGGGCCCTGGGGGAGCCCCGTTGGGCAGTGCTGCTGCCACCCCTGGCCCTGGCACTGCCACCACGGGCACAGCCACGGGGACAGGGCCACAGCCTGAGGGCCCCGGGGTGCTGGGAGCCTGGGCCTCCACTGTGCTCAGGATCTGCTGAGGGGACGGATGTCTGTCACCGGGGTGTCTCCATCACGGGGACAGCAGAGGGACAGGGACACTGGGGTCATGAGGACAGCAGAGGGACAGGGACACTGGGGTCATGAGGACAGCAGAGGGACAGGGAGACAGGCACGGGGAACTGCGGGCAGTGGGGACATGGGAGTCATCACCGAGGTGAAATGGGAATGGAGCCATGGGGGGAACCTCGGGGATGAGGACAGCAGGGGTGGGGTGAAGGGTGGTGCGGATGGGGACAGGGACAATTCAGATGGGGACATGGGGGGCAGTGGGTTCTTCGGGAGGGGACCCAGGTGTCCGGGCTCCCGCAGCCCCAAAGCGGGAGGGGACTCAGGTGTCCAGCGCGCCCCTCCCCCCGGGGGGATAATCCCCCATTGTGCAGCGGATCCCCCGCCCCTCCCGCCCCCCCCACCCCACCCCCCCGCACAATAGCAGGGGACAATGAGCCTTTGTCGCTGGGAGACGGGACACCCGGGGCCGCCAGCCACGGCCCCCCCCCGGCGGGATGGGGCCCGGGAGTCCGGGCCCGGCGGGAGCTAACCAGGGGCTGAAACGGGGCGGAGGGACCGGCCTCCCGCTCCTTCGGTGCGCACTGTACCTTTAAGGGCTGGGGGGCCAGGGGAGAGGGGGTGTCTGTCCATCTGTCTGCCCGTCGGGCAGCGACAGCCCCGAAATTGGCCGGTGAGAAAAGTGAAAGCGGAAAAGCCGAAAATCACCAAATCGGATTGAGAAAATGGGATTTATGGGCAACGCGGACGCACACACACGACCACACACCCAACGCAGCGACACACGCTGCTGCTGCTGCTGCTGCTGCTGCTGCTGCTGCTGCATACACCCGCTCCGCACTGGGACAGGACTGCGCCTGTCCGTGTGTCCGCCCCACATGCATGTGGCCCTACACCCACACCCTAACGCGGAGGCGTGTGCGTTGCCACACACGCAGGCACTGCCGCACACATGTGCACCTGTGCACAGGCCCTTCCATGCTGTGCACGCTCGTGTGCGTGTGGCAGCGGCTCTGCGCAGCCCTGCTGCCAAACGGAGGATTTTGGGGGCGGGGGGACGGCAGGGGGGGACAGCTGGGTCGCCACCCCACCTTTGCACACGCGTGTCCTGCACGAACGCACAGGGCACACCCGTGTTCCAGCACAGCAGATGCCACGCGGGCCAACACACCCTGCACACCCTGTGCGACACGCGCGTGCCCTCACTACACACACATATGTGTGCCCTCAACATATGATGCACACGCGTGTGCACGCAGCTCTCGTGGCACTCCCATCCCTGCCCGAGTGTGTCACACGCTCGTAGGGGCCATCGCACCGGGGGGATACGCAGAGATGAAGGGGTTGGGGGGGGGGGGGGGAAGGGAGCGCTAGGGGGGCTGGTGGGTGGGGAAAGGTGGGAGTGGGGGGCCAGGGGAGGTGAGGGGACACGGAGAGTGGGGGGAGCCGCGCGTGGGGAGAGCACAGGACAGGGCCGCCGGGAGGTGGAGGATGCTGGGGGTGCTGGCCGTGCCCCCCCCGACGACACCCCCAACCCCCGCGGCCCCTCCCCCCGCTCCTACCGTCACCATCGTTGCGGGGCTGTGGCCACCGAGGCTGCTCAGGGGAGGGCTGCTCGGGGTGGGGGGGGGCCCCCGCACGGCCCAGGGGGCTTGGGGGGCTGCGGGGGGCCCCGAGGCAGAGTTCAGAGGGTCTCGGCCGCAGCGTCGGGCGCTGCGAGCGGCGGCCCCGTCGGTCCTTTAAACGTCCTTGGGCGGCCGCGGGGCGGGGCCCCCCCAAACCACCGCGGTGGGCGCGGCCCGGCCCCCCCCCCCGCCCCCCTCGATGGCTCCGTCCGCCACCCCCCCACCCCCCCCCCCCGCCAGCAGGTGGGTCCGTCCGGCCCTCCCAACACCCCAAAATGGACCGGCCCCCCACGGCCCGCTCCAGCCCCCCTGGCGAAGTCCATTGGCTGGTGAGCGGGCGGGGCCCCCCCGACACCCCCCGAGACCCCCTATAGACACCGCCTATAGTCCCCCCCCCCCCCGGCCCCGCCCACGTGAGCCGGGAGAAGGGGAGGGGGAAGGAGGAGGGGACGGTGATGGAGGACAAGGCGGGGGGGGGGGGGGGGGCGGGAAGGCGGTGTGTGTGATGGAGGAGGAAGGGGCGGGCGGGGGGGGAGGAAGGAGGAGGAGGAAGGGCCGCGCGAGGATGAAGGAGGGGGCGGGCAGAGGGAGGGACCCCGGCGCCCGGGCAGGGCGGAGCCGCCGCCGGTTCAGCACCGGGGACAGCTCCGGGGCGGGGCCGCCACCCCTCCCGGTTCGCCCCAGCGACCGACCGGGGAGGGACCGTCCTGCCAGAACCGCGAACCCCTGGGCGGGGGGGCGGACAGCAGCTGTGGGGGGACACCCCCCACCACCACCCCGGGGCCCCACTGCTCCTCCCTGGGCTCTACTGTCCCCCCCGGGGGCTCCCCGGCCGAGAACAGGAACCAGCAAGTAAAAGCCATCGCTTTAATAGAACGAGGGGGTGTCAGCGGGCCCTGGGGGAGTCAGGTCCCTCTCTTCCAAGACAAAACCAGTGTCCCCACCCCCCCCCCAACAAGACCCAGTTGCCCCAGGGGAGGAGGGGGATGACAACTGAATCAGGAAATAAATAAAGAGTGAGTCAGGGTGGGGGGTCGGATGTGTCCCGGGGCGATGGAGGGATCCTGGGGGGGGTGTCAGGGTCCTGTGCTGGGGGCAGCTGTGGGGCCCCAGGAGGGGTGCGGAGCCCCACCAAGCACAGGGAGCTCAGGGTGCCCCATGGTGGTGGTGGGGGGGTTGGGAACCCCCCAAGCTCCACCAAGCACAGGGAGCTCAGGGTGCCCCATGGTGGGGGGAGGGGGGGGGTTGGGAACCCCCCAAGCTCCACCAAGCACAGGGAGCTCAGGGTGCCCCATGGAGGGGAGGGGGCAGGGGGGGCGGGGGGGCACGGTGTCAGGACCCCCCAGGGGGTACTTCCTCACCTCCACATGCCATGAGGCAACCTCAGGGAAGTCAGGGCGACCCAAGGGGGCAGGGGGGTAACCCCCCCCCCCCCCCAGCTAGGTGCCACGGGGCTCGGAGTGGCTCTTGAGTGCGTGGAACTTGAGGCCCTCAGGGCGCTCGAAGCGCCTCCCGCAGCGCTCGCAGGGGAAGGGGCGCAGCCCGGGCCCCCCGTGACGCCTCATGTGCCATGTCAGGGAGGCACGCTGGCGGCAGCGGTACCCGCAGACCTCACACCTGGGGGGGGCAAGGGAGGGGGGGGCGGGCAGTGAGGGGTACCCACAGACCTCACGCCCGGGGTGAGCAAGGGGCGGGGGCGATGAGGGGTACCCACAGACCTCACACCCAGGGGGGACAAGGGGGGTGTGAGGGGTGATCCCAGACCTCGCACCTGGGGGGCAGGGGGGGGGGAGGCCGGAATGGGAGGTGGGCCAGAAGAACTGGAGCCCCCTCCCCATGTCGCCCAATGCAGCGGCAACCATCCCCTAACACTGACCATGAGTGGGAGTCTCTCCTGTGCGCCCCCCCCCACCTTGACACTCACTGCAGGGGGGTCTCCCCGGTGTGTGTCCGCCTGTGCACCTCCAGGTGGTTCTTGCGCTTGAAGGATTTCCCGCAGGTCTCGCACGTGAACTCCCGTACGCCTGGGGAGGGGGACGTGGGTGTCACGGCAGGAACGTTGGTGGGGGGGCCATACAGTGGGGGGGGCAGGGGGAGCAGTATGGGCTCACCAGAGTGGATGACCATGTGCCGACGCAGGTGGTTGGCCAGGTAAAATCTCTTTCCGCAGCCGGGCTGGGGGCACTGCTGGGTCCGGCCCTTGCGGTGCACCAGGTTGACGTGGTTCTGGGGGTGGGGGGTAGGGGGCAGAGAGGTGAGGGGGGGCCCGGGAGGCACAGAGGAGCCCTGGGGTGGGTGGGGGGGTGGTCTGCACCTGGAAGCTGCTGAGAGCAACGTAGACCTGCCCACAGCCTGAGTAGGGGCAGGCGATCGGCTCCGGGAGCTCCTTGGGGTCGGGGGGGGGGGCACGGCCCCGCCTGCTCCGCCGACGCCTGCATGGGGAAGGGAAACATCACAACCTGGAATGAGACCCTCCCCTGGAGACCGCAGGGGATGGGGGGGGGGGCGGGCCCAGGCATTTGGGGACCTTGCCTAACATCCCTTGATGTGCTCGAGGACTCCTGAAGCGCCTTGCACAAACCCTCCTCCACGCCAAGTGCACCCCCCCAAAAAAGACCCCCACAACACCTGGAAGCCCTCCCAGGGCACTGCCCCCCAGAAAATCCCATACCCCTCTAAAAGCCTCTCCAGCCACCCCCCTTGTTTCCAAGGATCCCTAAGATCTCAACCAACCCTAAAAAAAACCCCAACCCCTTCAGCCCCCTCAACCCCTTGTAAACCTCCCAGGCCCTCCCCAGCCGTGACACCTTCTTCACGTCCCCAGAAACGCAGGAAACCTTGTAGTGATGCCCAAAGGCTCCCTCAACATCTCATGCTTCCCCCGAGCCCCCAGGGAGACCCCAAACTCCACCACCCCTCCCAAGTCCTAAGTCCCCACAGTCCGACCACTCCTGGGCCCCCAGGTACCCAAGTGACCCCCAATCCCCGTCTCCCTGACCTCTCCGGCTCTTTGGGAATCTCGTAGATGATGGCCGATACGTCACCACTGTCAGCATCCTCAGCCAGGGGGGGTGGGGAGGGCTCCCGGGGGGGCTCCGGAGGGGGCTGGGGGGGGGGCTCGGCGGCAGGGAGGGGCACCTCCTCCTGCTTCAGCCCCAGCACCTCGTCCTCCTCTGCCATCAGTGTGGTAAGTGAGGCACTGCTGCCCCCGCCACCCTCGATCCTTCCCCAGCACCTTAATCTCCTCGATTCCTGACCCCAACCCACCCTGGCCCCCCCAGCACCCCAATCCCCCCTGATCCCTAACCATTATCCTCCAACCCCCCCCAGCACCCCCATCTCCCCTGACACCTGAGCTCCCAGCACCCCAATCCATCTCATCCCCGTGACCCCTGGCCCCACCGTACCTGTCTTGGGGAGGTGGGGCTCCAGAGGGTGTGGGGGGAAGGTGCCCCCCGCCTCCAGCAGAGCACAGGGCACCTCATCCCCCCCCACATCCAGCTGTAGCCCTCCCAGCGCATCATAGCCGGGGCTAGCCAGGATGAGGAGGGGGGGCCCCTGCAGAAGGGTGTGGGGCCCCCCCTCCGTCAGTGGCCCACGCCCCGTGCCCAGCCGCAGAGGCAGTGGCAGCGGCACACAGACCACAGCCTCCAGCGCTGCTCCCCGACCCTCTGCAGCGCCCTCGGGGGGGCCTGGACCTGCGGGGGGGGCCACCGCCACTCCACCGGGCGTCGACGGGGCCCCCCCTTGCATCGTCTCGGAGCCTGAGCTGCAGCCCCCTGAGGAGGAGGAGGAGCTGCCAGGAGCTGCTGCTGTACAAGACAGAAAATCAAGAGGAGCACCCAAAAGAATCCACCCCAAGTCCCAGTTGAGTGCCCCCCCCAATAAACCACCTAAGCCCCAAAGGAGTCGCCCGGGCCTCCCACCCGCAGGCCAGGCCCCCCAAAAACGCAGTCAGACTCCCCAAACTGTGCCTGGGCCCCACCACTGCCTCCCCACTACCCAGCTCAGCGCCCTCAGGGGGGCAGCCCCTCCCACTCCCCCCACGCACCGTCGTCACTGTCCCCGTCGGAGTCGCTGAGGGGCCGCAGAGGCGAGTGCAGGTCCTGGAAGTAGCGGTGCCCGCGCTCGCACTGCCAGACGGCCGTGGTGTAGAGCCCCACCGAGGGGTCCAGCTCCGCCAGCCGCGGCTCGTAGGGGCAGCGCTGCCGGTGGTCCTCGTACCAGATCACCGCGTGCCTCAGGCAGTTCACGTTGCGCCGCCGCCCTGGGGGAGGGCTGCTGGCAGCCTGGCACCCCCCGCCTGACCCCACAGAGCCCCCAGCCCCTGCTTTACCCCCACACACCGCAGCCCTATACCGCTAGGTCCCCCAGACACTGCCTGCACCTCTGGCAGCCCTAGACCTCCCAAACCCTGCCTGAGCACCCCCCCACCTCCCCAGCACGCCCCAGCCTGGGGTGCCCCCGCTCACACCCCACCTCCCACCAGCGAGGACAAGCCCTCGCCCCCAGCACTCACTTTTCTTCCGTTTGGGCTTTTTAGGGATCTGCTCCCACGGCTTCCTGCGGAGAGAGGGGCGGTGGCCTGGGGACAAACAGGGGTGCCCCTCCCAGCAGGGGGGGGGGTCGTCCCCCCAAGAGCTACAGGAGCAGAAGGGGCACCCGAGACTCTCGGTTCCCCCCCAAGCCCGCAGGTGCCTCCCGTTCCCCTCCCCGGTTCCCCCGAGCCTCCTCGTCCCCCCAAGCCCCGAGGAGCCTTCCAGTCCCCCCAGGCCTGCAGGTGCCTCCCGTTCACCCCCACCGTTCCCCCAAGGCCCCAGTCCCCTGGGAGCCTCCTGGCCCCAAGCCCCCTGTCCCCCGGGAGCCTCCCGGTGTCCCCCCGGTCCCCTCAAGTTCCCGGTCCCCCCGAGCCCCCCCAGCTCTTCGGCCCCGCTCACCCGCGCCGCCCGGCGCGCTGCCCCCGCTCCAGCCCCAGCAGGTAGGCCGCCAGCTTCGCATCGCTCCAGCCGCTGCGGCGGCGCAGGTCAACCCAGGGCCCGTGCGCCTCGCCCAGGTACACCCGCCGCACGTCGTACTTCTTCCGCGACTCCAGCCGCCGCCGCGCCCGGTCGGACTCCGTCAGCCGCGGCCGCCCCCGCGCCTTCCGCCCGCCGCCCGCTTCTGCTACGGGGCCTCGCCCGGGGCCGGCGCCACCGCCCCCCGGGGCCGGGCCCCGCTCGGCCGCGCTCATGCCCGGCCCGTCGCCCCGCGCCGCGGCGCGCCGCCGATGACGCCACCACCGCTTCCGCTTCCGGCGGCCATCGCGATGGTTTTCGCGGAGGCGCGGCGCAGCGCGCATGCGCGTCCGGCACCGGGTAGGGGAGGACACAGGGCGGCACGCTTCCGCCAGGCTCTGCTCGGGGGCGTCTGCGCCGCCAAGCGCATGCGCAGAGCCCTGCCCGCAGCCCACCCCTCCGCATCCCCCTCTGTACGGGGCCACATCGCGTCCCAGTCCCAGCCTACCACCCCTCACCCCCACTGCGTCTCCTCTGCTATCACCTCCCACCCACTCTGTACCCCCAGCGCTCCTCCTGTCGCCCCTCAGCCTGCACGCTCCCCGGGACCCCTGACACAAAGACCCTCCTTGCTGTCAGCGCCATTTCCTTTATTATTTTCCACCGCTGCTCCCGCTGCTGCGCCCGTGCTCACGTCCCTGTGGCGGGTCAGGGGGCTCCAGCACCGCAGGAGAGGAAGGCACCCCCTCCAGGTGGGGCACAGGGGGAGCCCCAGGGTCCCCATCCCCCAGGCGGAAGACAACGGGGGTACGGCCCAGGACGGGGTTCGCCTCCTGCAGCCCTGCGATCCACTTGCCCAGCGTGTGCCGGTCGCCCGCTCCTGCCATGCACAGCGCGAAGACGGGGCCCTCCTCCACTGCAGGTGGAGGGGGTCAGGGGGATGGGGAGGACGTGGAGGTCCCCCCTCATCCCTGCCCCCCAGCCTTACCCTCGTCCACATCGAATTCATCGTCGTCCCAGGGGCCGCGCTCCAGGTCCAGGTCGAGGTACAGGGGGTAGTACAGGCTGCGCTCAGGGTCTGGGGCGTCCTCCTGGTAGGAGTAGGGGGTACCCTCCTATCCATCCTGGGCCATTGGGGGTCCTGTCCCCTCCTGTCCTGGGCCATGAGGGTCCTGTCCCCTCCCCTTCTGGGCCATGGGCGTCCCATCGCCTCCCGTCCTGGGCCATGGGGACCCCTCTGGGCCTATGGGTGGTCCTGTCCTGCCCCATCCTAGACCATGAGAGTACCCTCCCACCCATTTTGGGCCATGGGGGTCCTGTCCCTTCCTGTCCTGGGCCAGGCAAACCTCTCTGTGGCCACGGGTAGCCTGTCCCACCCCCTCCAGTGCCATGAGAGCCCCCTCCCTTTCCGTCCCATCCCAAGCAATAGAAGGTTTTATCCAGTCCCCTCCCGTCCCCCTCCTGAGCCCCATGGTCCATCGGGCTCACCCGCAGGTGGGGGGGCAGGGGGTCCCCCCGCAGCACGTAGTAGCACAGGTGGGTGCTGCGCAGCCAGAGGGGGAACGGCCCCTCCACAAAGACGGGCCGTTCTGGGCCGTGCCGGGCCAGCAGCGCCTGTTGGTCCGGGCTCTGGGCACCTGCAGGGCAGGAGCTGGGGAACCCATGCCAGCACTGGGGACCCCAAACCCCCACACAAGGAACCCCAACACTGAGGACCCCACACCCAACCCCCCAGGGCTCCTTCCGAAATGCCTGGGTCCCTTGCACATGCCACGGTCCCCAACCCCACACACTGGGTCCACCCACGTACCAATGTTCCCCCAAGCACATGGGTCCCTCCCCCAGACACCCGCCTCCCCCCTGTGAGATGCCCACACATCTCCCATGACACCCAGGTCCCTCTGGGTCCCCTGGCGCTCACCGATGATGTAGGGCTGGACAGAGCCCTCGTCGTCCCCTTCATCCGGCACTGGCCGCTGCGGGAAGGAGACAGGTCATCACCAGCTGCTGCTTAATGACCCAGGGACACCGGGGCCTTGCTGGGGCAGTGTACTCAAGGGAGACATGCTGACAGAGGGGCCCCCTCTGCATCCTCATCCTCACATCTCCCATGCCAGCTCCACATCCCCGTGTCCCACCCCCCTCCAATGCCATGGGGGGCTCCTCCCTTTCCATCTGACGGTGAGGCAGGTTCCCTGTCTCTGCCCTTGTCCCCCGCATCCCATTCCACCTGATAGACAGTGACACTAGGCCCCCGCCCCCTGCCCACCCATCCCCGTGTCCCCACATCCTCCTGCATCCCCATCCCCATATCCCCTGTCCTCACGGTCCTCCTCTTCATGTCCGTCCCCCGGTGTCCCACCTGGTAGACAGTGAGACGAGCATCGGGGTCATTGGCGATACGGCGCAGTCCCAGGTGGGCAGCAGCCAGGCCGGGGGGGGGCAGGCAGGGGGGCAGGGGGTAGGGGTTCACATGGCGCAGCCGTGGCAGCCAGTACAACTGTCGCTGGCACTTGCGCACGGGGCGGCTGCGGGGCCCGAAGATCGACAGGAGCAGAAACCGCGTCTCCGCGTCCGGCACCACGCCTGCATGGGGACCCAAGCATCTGGGTGGGTGTGGGGACCCAGGCACCCAGCCCCCTCCCCAGGGAATCAGGCACCCCGTTCCCAGGTGACCCAGGCACCCAGACACAACCCCCCTCTCCCCAAGGAATCAGGCAACCCATTTCCAGGGGACCAGGGCACCCAGGCCCCCTCCCCAGGGAATCAGGCCCCCTGTTCCCAGGGGACCAGGGCACCCAGGCTCCCTGTTCCCAGGGAATCAGGTACCCCGTTTCCAGGGGACCCCGGCACCCAGGCCCCCTCCCCAGGGAATCAGGCACCCCGTTCCCAGGGAACCAGGGCACCCAGGCCCCCTGTTCCCAGGGAATCAGGCACCCCGTTTCCAGGGGACCCGGGCACCCAGGCCCCCTCCCCAGGGCGCTAGCACCCCTTCCCCCCCTGCCCCGCACCCACCGTATCGCTCCATCTGTTCCAGGATCTGGAGGCCACACTCCTGCTGCCGGGGGAAGGGTGCGAGCAGGCGCTGGATGGGCCCGCGGGGCACCCAGGGCCCCTGCGGCAGCAGGCGCAGCAGGCGGTGGTAGGCCTCCCGCTGCCCCGCCACCCCCAGCGCCGGCATCGCCGCCAGCGCCGCTTCCACCAGCTCCAGCCGCCCCACGCGCCGCCCCGGTGCCCGCTCCAGCGCTGACAGCGCGGCCGCGAAGGCTGCGGGGCCCCGGCCCTGTGCCCCGCGGGGGGTGGTGGGCCGCGACAGGGACCCTGATGTGTCCCCCGAAGTGTCCCTCCAGGCATCCCCCGAAGTATCCCCCGAGGCGTCCCCTGAAGTGTCCCCTGAGGTGTCCCCCGAGGTGTCCCTCGAAGGGTCCCCCCAAGCGTCCCCGGCCCGGCGGCTGCTGCGCTGCCACAGGCTCCGGCCGACCTGGGCGGGAGCGAAGGGGGGGATGGCTGGGGGGGCCGGGGGGGGGTCTGGGGCGCCCCCGGATGCGGCAGACACCCCACCTCCTCCCCCTTTCCCACTGCCCCCCCCCACACCTCGCCGTGTCCTCTCGCGCTGTCCCGGCCCCCCCGCACCTGCGGGGCTCCCCAGCCCCCCCAGAGCCCCCGCGGCAGCGCGCGGGCCCAGCGCAGCCTCATGGCGGGTCAGGGGTCACGGCCGGGCAGCGGGGTCCCCCCGGGGGTCAGAGGTCACGGCCGGGCAGCGAGGTCTCCCCACGGGATCGCGGCGCTGGGCGCCGCCATGTCCCGACGACCCCGCCGGGAACAGCTTCCGGGTTACGGGGCGTGGTCTGAGGCAGCCAATCCCCGCGCGCACGGAGGCGGGGCCCGGGCGGTGATTGGCGGCGCGGGGCGGGCGGGGCTCCAAGGGGTTCCCCGTGAAGTCAGAACGGGCCCCACGGATGAGTGTAGAGCCGGGGTTCCACGGTGATGTCAGAGCCAGGGATACCCGATGATGTCAGAGCCAGGGACAGCGGAGGCCTTGGTCACAGCAGGGTGATGTCAGAGCCTGGGGCTCGCGATGACGTCACATGGGGCACGGTGACGTCAGAGCCGCAACAGCTGCTATAAATGGAAACGGCAGCTCCAGCCCGGGGCGGGGGGGGTGGGGGGAGCGCTCCCGGGCGCGGGTCCCCCGCATCGCCCCGTCCCGAGGCCGCGGGATTGCGACCCCCCTCCCAGCCCCGAGCTGCAGGCGGGGCCGGGCGCCAGTGTCCCCCCGGGGCGGAGGGGGCGCATTCCCCACCCGTGACGAACAGTGCGTGTGTCCGTCCCCCACGCACCGCCCCCCCCCCCCCCGGGGCCGACGGAGTCCGATCCGCTGACGGCACCGGGAAGACCCAGGCATCCGAACCGCCCCGCCCCCACCGCTCCCCCGGGACCGGGGGAACCCATGGGTGCGGGGCGGAGGGGGGGGGGAAGAGAGGGACGGACGTAGGGACAGGAGCGGGGACAGGGGGACAAGGGGTCGGGCAGGGGTGTAGGGGGATGGAGGGATGGACAGAGGGACGGAGGGGTGTGGGGGGGAAGGGGGAAGGGCGGGAGATGGAGGAGGATGGAGAAGGGATGAAGGGGGGGAGGAGGGATGGGGGGGGGGGGGGGGCGGCCCAGGGCACCCCCGCCCCCCCCGGGATCCCCCCGCTAAATGTGGAAAAAATGACGCAACCACCCGCCCCGTGGTGACGCCAGCGCAGCGAGGGGCGCGGATTGGCTGGCGGCGGCCCCGGCCCGGGGGGGCTCCGCGCCCTCCGCCGACTTTTAAAAGTGGCGGCGGCGCCGGGTCAGGACCGGGACGAGAGACCCGGGAGGAACCGACCTGACGGGACAGACCCGGAGTGGGGCAAACCGACCCGACCCGACCCACCGGGACCCCCCCGCACCGACCCCATGGCCAACGCGCACTTCAACCGCGGGCCGGCCTACGGGCTGTCGGCCGAGGTGAAGAACAAGGTGGGCGGAACCGAACCGAACCGGGCCGAACCGAGCCGAGCAGGACCGACCTCACCCGGGCGGGGGAGCAGGACACGGCGGGACCGGGGGAGGGGGACGGCACCCGTCCGGAGAGGACCGGGGGAGGGTGGCGGGACCCGGCGGGACCGGGGGAGGGGGTCGGGACCCGGCGGGACCGGGGGAGGGGGACAAGACCCAGCGGGACCGGACCGGGCGGGGGACGGGGGCAGGACCCGGCCGGAGAGGGCGGGGGGCGGGGGCAGGGCCTGGCGCTGTCCCTGGTGCTGCCCCGGGTCCCCTCTGCGGGCGGGGCTGGCGGCACCCAGACGCGTGGGGGTCCCCCCCCGGCCGTGCCTCAGTTTCCCCATGCAGACGCCCCGCGGCGGGGGGTGAGGTGTGGGAGCCTCGTCCCTCCGGCCATCTCCGGCTGCGGGGAGCGGCGCAGGAAGGGTTAACCCGGGGGGCCCTGGGTGGCCCGGGGGGGGCCCCGCCGCCCCCGGCCCCGCCGCGAGCCCTTATAAGGCGTCGGAGCGCGGCGGGCGGGCGGCCGCGGCCCGGGGCTATATATGGGCAAAGGTTCGGCGGGCCCGGGCGTCCGGGTCCTCCGGGGGGGGGGGGTGTGGGTTCGGGGCGGGGCGGGACAGGGGGGCCCGAGTGGCTGGGTCCTCCCTGATTTGGGGGGGTAGATGCCCCCACATCCCCCGCCTCCCCGTCCCGGCACCAGACATCTGGAGCTGTTTTGCCCCCACCATAGTGGGGGGGCCAAGAGTGGGGCGCTGAGCTCGTCTGTCATCCCCAGCCTGATCCCCTCTGTGTCCCCTTCGTATCTCCCCTGCCCCCCTGCTCAGACCCCCATCCCCGCCTGTGTCCTCCCACCTGGCAGTGTCCTCCTGATGGTATCCCCCCCGTGTTCCCCCTTACGGGGTCCCCCACGTCCCCATGTCCTCCTCCCGTTGTCCCCTCTGTCCTCCTGACACGGTGTCCCCCGTCCCAGCTGGCGCAAAAGTATGACCCGCAGCGGGAGCGGGAGCTGCGCGCCTGGATCGAGGGGACCACCGGCCGCCGCATCGGGGACAGCTTCATGGACGGCCTCAAGGACGGCGTCATCCTCTGCGAGTATGACCCCCGACAAAGTGCCCAGAACCCTGACCCCAACCCTGGCCCCAGCTCGGGGACTGGGCTGTCCTTGGGGAGCTTGGCCCCTCCCCGATCCCTGACCCCTGCTTGAGTCTGGGGTCATCCTCTGGGAACTCAGCCCAATCTTGACCCTGGACCCTCAACTTGACCCCATCCCTCACCCTTCCGTTGACCTCACCTGGGCTGACCCCTGCTCCAACTCTGACCCTGACTCTGGTCCTCCCAGGCTCATCAACAAGCTCCAGCCCGGCTCTGTGCAGAAAGTGAACGAACCTGTCCAGAACTGGCACAAGGTGAGGGGGCCCCAAAGGGGGGGGGTGGGGGTCAGGGCCCAGGGTGGGGTGCTGGGGGGAGTGCAGGGGGTCAAGATCCCTGGGATGGGCTGGGGCTCCGGGCTCTGAGCAGACCTGTGTGCAGCTGGAGAACATCGGGAACTTCCTGCGGGCCATCACGCGCTACGGGGTGAAGCCCCACGACATCTTCGAGGCCAACGACCTCTTCGAGAACACCAACCACACGCAGGTCCAGTCCACCCTCATTGCCCTCGCCAGCCAGGTAACCCTGCTGGGGCAGGATTGGGCCCGGGGTCCTTGGGGAGTGGCTGGGGGGCCCTGGGGGGTGCCAGAGGGTCCCCATGTCCCCTTGGAGAACACCAACCACTCGCAGGTCCAGTGCACCCTCATCGCCCTCACCAGCCAAGTGATCTTGGTGGGGCAGGACAGGGCCCAGGGTCCTTGGGGGGGTTGCTGGGAGGGCCCTGGGGACTCCCTACGGCCCCTGGGAGGACACAAACCACACACAGGTCCAGTCCTCCCCCATTGCCCTCGCCTGCTGGGTGATGGGGCCAAATGGGGCAAAGCCAGGGGCTCAGGGGAGCCCTGAGGATATTTGGGACCTGGGGGGGCCTGAGGGGGATGGGGCCTGGGGGAGTTTTGGGGCAGTCTCAGGGGAACTGGGGATAAATGTGGGTCTGCAGACTGCGGTGGGGCAAGGGCCTGTGTGCACCCTGAGCCCCAGGTACTCACGCAGGCCAAGACAAAGGGGAACAACGTGGGTTTGGGGGTGAAGTACGCGGAGAAGCAGCAGCGGCGCTTCCACCCCGAAAAGCTGCGTGAGGGAAGGAACATCATTGGACTCCAGGTGCCACGGGGACAGATGGGACGGGGACGGGGACACGGGGGAGCGCAGGGGATGCCAGGGTGCATGGGGGAACCTGGGGGCAGCCAGGAGTCCCTGGTGGGGGTCTCTTGGGGACACAGGGTTTCACTGTGGACAGTGGGGGGGCGGTCCCAGTGTCTTGGGATGATCAGTTGGGGACACTGTCTCTGTCCCCACCCGTGACTCCCTCTCCCCCATCCCCAGATGGGCACCAACAAGTTCGCCAGCCAGCAAGGCATGACAGCGTACGGGACACGGCGGCACCTCTACGATCCCAAGCTGGGGACGGACCAGCCCCTGGACCAGGCCACCATCAGCCTCCAGATGGGCACCAACAAGGGTGCCAGCCAGGTGGGGATGGGGGGCTTTCTGTCCCCAGGGGCATCCAGGGCACCAGCTAGCGGGATGGGGTGGGGAGGGGAATATGGACACTGCCATCCCTGTGCGGAACCCACTGTTTTGGGCCAGCCATGTATGGGGACACAGGGACACTGATGTCCCCAAGGGAGTCAGTCAGATAAAGGAACCTGGGGACATGGCACTGGCAGGGGAGGATGAGGGGGTCCCCAGGGCCCCGACATCTTGAGATGTGGTCCCCTGAGTAGGGTGAGGGACACCTGGTGAGGACCCTCTGGGGTGGATGGACACCCTCTGGTTCCCTGGAGAGGACAGGGGGACATACTCCCAGACCCTTGGGGGAGGTCAAGGGACCTGCTGGGGAAGCCAGCAGACCCCCCCCGCCAGTCCTGATGGGGAGGCTGGGGACCCCCGGGGAGGACGAGACCACCACCCCCAGCGCTGCCCCTGCCCAGGCGGGGATGACGGCACCAGGAACAAAGCGTCAGATCTTCGAGCCGGCGCTGGGCATGGAGCACTGCGACACGCTGACCATCGGGCTGCAGATGGGCAGCAACAAGGGCGCCTCGCAGCAGGGCATGACGGTGTACGGGCTGCCGCGGCAGGTCTACGACCCCAAGTACTGCGGTGGCCCTGAGCTGCTGGGCGAGGACGGCTTTGACGGCCTCTACAACTCCCAGTAGCTGCCGGCCAGCGGCTGCTTGCACCGCACCGCCCTGCCCCGCGGCAGGGCCGCACTGCTCCGGCCTCACCGCGCCCACAGCCCCGTGGGGCTGGCCTGGCCGCGAGGCTCAGCCCAGGGAGGGGGGGGCTCGGCCAGGGGCCTGCTCCCCCTGGCTGCCCCCCCCCCCGTGTGAAGCCACCGAGGCATAATAAAACCCACACGCAAACCTGCTGCCTCCACAGGCATGGGGGACAATGAGGGACAATGTCAAGGCAAGGGGCAACAAGGCACGGGGGGGACAACAGGGGACAGTGAGGGACAGGGCTGGGGGGACGAAGGTGAGGGGGAAAGAAGGCATTGGAGGTGGGACAGGGATGGCGGGACGCCAAGGCACACAGAGGTACAGTGCGATGTTGAAGTAGAACACAGACAGGACACCAAGACACAGCACAGGCACAGGGGGAGGACAAGGGGACACAGGGGGGCAGAATGGGAACATTTGGGCAGCCAGACTGCCTTGAGGACACCCAGGCTCCCTGCGTTGGGGTAGCGCCGAGTATGGGGTGACCTCCACAGAGCCCCTCAAACATCTGGCCCTGGCCCCTACTACCCATGCAGGCACGCGTGATGACAAAGTCAACCCTAACAAGGTCCCTGGGGGGTAACAGGGTCCCCAGCTTTAGAAGCTGGTGGCCAAAGGTTACAATTCAATTCATCCCAGTGTAGCTGTGAAGCCAGAGGAGATTCAACAGTGCCGCTGAGCCACACTGTCCCCACAGACCTCACGGGACTATCCCCACACGTCCCTCTGCCCCTCACTGTGACACCACCAGTGACGAGGACACGGAGCCCTGACCCAGCCCCACAAGGATGTTTATTCAAGGGTGGCTCTGCCGAAACACATCGCCCGTGCACCCAGCCCCCGGCCCCGTATCCCCACGGACCCGCTCCTGCACAGTCCCTGCAGCTTGCTGGCGAGCAGCAATTAAGCGCCTGGGGTGGGGACGAGTCCCAACAGGGCCGGGTGAGCCCCCAACCCCAGACCTGGCCCAAGGGCAGGGGTCCCATCCCCAGAGGCGGGGGGGTGATGGGTCCTGGGTGCCTGCGTGAGCTGGAGCCCCCGTGCCCAGGGACAGGAAGGCAGGCAGCATAAAGAAAACACCGGAGAGGGGCAGGAGGGACGTGACACCCCCCCCCGCCTCGGGTCTCGGGGCAGGTACCCCCTCAGGGCTCTGGGGCTGCGCTGCAGGGGCTGCCCCAGCCACTACTGGTTGGCAGCTTCGCAGGCGTCGATCCAGTCACTGTAGACATCCACCGGCTCTGACAGGTCTCGGGACGGGCGGGGGTTAAGGCAGTAACAAGCAAGAGGAGGGGGAGGTTTTTTTTGGGGGGGGGGGCGGGGGGTGTCCCGGTAAGGATACAGGTGATGGGTGTCTGGAACTCCTCCAGGCAGACGGTGCAGGAGATCACCCCCGTGTTGCGGGCACGGTCCCTGGGGGCACCGGGGGAGAAGTTGCTACGGGCGGCCCCCCCCCCCCCCCGCCGTGCCCCCCCCCTCCCCGTACCCCCCCCCCCTCCCCCGCTCACATCTTGACGTCGCAGGACTTCTCGTGGTTGCAGAACGGGCAGGTGAACTGCGTCTCCAGCGTCCCCGTCACCTTCTTTTTGGGCGGCGGCTTCCGCTTGGACTTGCGGCGTCCCATGGCTGCGGGAACCGCGACGGACCTGGTCACGGCCCTGGGGGGGGGGGGGGGGCCCGGGCGGGCGCAGCCCCCTCCCGCCGCCCGGGATCCTCGGCGGGCGCAGCCCCGACACACGACGGGGACGCGGTCGACCCCCGGGACAGCGCCCCCCCCCGCCCCCGCCTCACCCGCCGGCCCGGCCCGGCCCGCTCCGCTCCCGCCGCGTTTCCCACCGGCACTTCCGCCGCGGCGACCCGGAAGCGACCCCGTCGTCGTCGTTCCCCCCCCCCCCCCCCCGCGCCCGCTTCCGCCCCGCCCCGCGCGGCAGCAGCCAGCCCCCCCCCCACCCCCCCCCAGCGATTTGGGGCGAAACGCGGCTCTTTTGGGGCGATCGATGGCAGCAGCTCCGGGGCAGCGTCTCCGTCCAAAGCCCTTTATTGGGGGGGCGGCACTGGGGACCCGCGAGGGTCCGGGCTATGGGCTACCACAGAGCCCTGGGGGTCCCTGAGATCAGGGGTCACAGGGGTCCTGCCCTGTGTGTCACCCCCCCCCAGGTCAGGAGTCGTGGTGGGAGTCCCGCCCTGTCCCCCCACGGGGCCCCCCAGCACGGAGGGGAAGTCCTGCTGGCTGCTCCCCTGGGGTCCCACACCGTGTGGGGCACAAGGTGTCCGTGATGGGGGTCCCCCCCCATTCCAGGGGGTGGGGGGCTGCCACCAAGGTGCCCCCCGTGCATCCTCCACTGCAGTGGAGGTCCGGGGGTCCTTCAGGGTCCTGGCCCCACGGGTCACAGGTCACGGGGGGGTAGGGCCACACGGTAGAGGATGCGGCCGGTGGCCTCCAGGAAGGTGACGGTGGCCGCATGGGCATCCAGGCGTAGGTGAGCAAAGCCACCGGGAGAGGCAGGCGCCCCGAAGAAGAAGCGGAGGGAGCCGGGGGGCACAGCCCCCCCATGGCGCTGGGACTCTTCCACGAAGTTGCCAGAGCCGCTCACCACATAGCCCACACCTCCCTCCTCCAGGAACTGGGGGGCAAAAAGATGGGGAGTCAGGACACCTGGGTCCCCTCCCAGAGGCCAGTGTCCCTGCCCGTCCCCTGCTCCAGGAATTGGGGGGGTGTGGGGGGCTCAGGTGCCACCTCAGGGTCAAAGGGGGGTCCCTGGACAACAAGGTCCAGTGGGGGAGTCCAGGGGATCCCCTCAATGCCAAGGTCCCATGGGGGGGGGCAGGTCTGTGAGGTTCCCCAGACACCAGGGTCCTCTTAGGGGGCCTCCCAGACACTGGGGTCCCATGTCGCGTTTTGGGGGAGTCCCCAGGGTCCCTGGGCTCACCTGCAGGTTGTGGTCGTGGCCGCAGAGGTAGGCAGTGACACGGTGGTGCCGCAGCAGCGGCCGCAGCAGCCGCACCAGGCAGGCAGTGGGGCCGTGCTCGGCCACCGACCACACCAGGTAGTGCCCGGCCACCAGCACGTAGCGGTCGTGGCGTGCGGCGGCCAGGCGTCCCCGCAGCCAGGCCAGCTGCGCCGCGGCCGCCGCTGCGTCCCGGGGGCCCCTGGGAGCACCCCCCGCCCCGAAGTCATCCCCGCCGCCACAGAGGAGCACTGTGTCCAGCACCAGCAGCCGGGCCGAGGCGTTGGTACCCGGCAGGGAGAGGCGCAGGCTGTAGTAGTAGTGCGGGAAGTGCCTGCGGGACACGGAAAGCTTGGGGAAAGCCATGGGGACACCCCAGGGGGGATTTAGGGACACGCTGGGGTCACCCCAGCACCAGGCACAGGCTGCAGCGGTAGTGCGGGAAGTGTCTGTGGGACAGGGGGAGCTTGAGGAAGCCATGGGTCACCCCAGGGGGGTCTTGGGGACACCCCAGCACCAGGCACAGGCTGCAGCGGTAGCGCGGGAAGTGTCTGTGGGACAGGGGGAGCTTGAGGAAGCCATGGGTCACCCCAGGGGGGTCTTGGGGACACCCCAGCACCAGGCACAGGCTGCAGCAGTAGTGCAGGAAACGCCTGCAGGACATGGGGAGCTTGGGGAAGCCGTGGGGACACCCCAGGGGGGTCTTGGGGACACCCCAGCACCAGGCACAGGCTGCAGCGGTAGTGCGGGAAGTGCGTGAGGGAGATGGGGAGCTTGGGGAAGCCGTGGGGACACCCCAAAGGGGGCTTGGGGAGACTGGCAGGCAGCTGTGCCAGGGAACAGCAGCGGCACAGTTTTGGCTGTGCGGGGGGGGGGGGGGTTTCCCTACCATCGGCGGGAGTGGTGGCTGTAGGCCAGTTGCGCTGTGACGTTCCCAGCATGGTCGTGGTTGCCAGCCAGCACGAACCAGGGCAGCTCCCGCAGCCCCGGGGCCGTGAACACCTTCTCAAAGGTCTCCTGCCCGGGGGGACACGGGGGATGGATGGGGGGGGCACAGGGGGAGCAGAGCACAGTGCGCCCAGCCAGGCTCCCCCCTCCCCCCCCTCCCCCAGGGACATTCGGGTTCCCCTCAGAGACATACTGAGGTCAACCCCGAGATTTTGCCCACCCCCAGAGACAGGGGCTCCCCCATACAGATCTTGGGATTCCCTCACCACGGCCCCCCCCACCCCACCCCGAGATGACTCCCTGGCCCCCCTTGCATTTCAGAGTGCCCCCACCCCAGTGATATGGGGCCATACCTGGAAGCGGGGGTCCCACTCGTCCCGCACCCCCTCGTAGTAGAAGTTGTCCCCGAGGGCGAGGACAAAGTCGGCACCGAGGTCAGTGGCCGCGCGTCCCATGGCTGCCGCCGTGGCCACCTCACGGGGGGTGGCGAAAGGGGGGTCGGGGACGCCCCCCCAGTCACCCACTGCCAGGAACTGCACCACCCCCTCCGGCCCCCCCCCGGCCACCACCGTCACCATCATCCACAGCAGCGCCAGCATCTGCAGATGGTGCCCATGGGACCCAGGTGTCTGGGGGGTCCCAGGGGCCCCGTCCCCCACCCATGGGACCCAGAAGTCCAGGGTCATCCCAGTCTGCACCCATGAGACCCCAGCATCCAGTGGGGTCCCAGGGGGTCCTGACCCCCACCCGTGGGACTAAGGTGTATGGGGAGGTCCCTGCACCCACCACACCCCGTAGGGCAGAATGGGGACCCAGACATCCAGCGCAGCCCCCCCCCCCCCCCCCCCAGTATGGAAAGGGCACCCAGGTGTCCGGGCCACCCACCCAGCCACGGGGGGGTCACATGTGGGGCCGGGAGCCACTCACCCTCGTGTTCCTTTGCGCGTGCCCCCGTGCGTTCCCTCCAGCGCTTTATGGGCCCAAAAGGGGAAGTGGGGTCGCGCCGCCCGGTGCCCCATCCCCCCCCCCCCGGACCCGCCATCACCTGACGCCTCGCGGTGACATGGGGCCGCCGCAGGGTGGGGGGGGGGGGGGGCCGGGCCGCGGGACACTGGGGACACTGGGGGGGGGGGACCAAGAGGGGGGGATCAGCCCCAGCCTCCGCCGGAAATCCCCGAAACGCCCCAAATCCGCTCAAAGCCTCGGCCATGTCACGGCTAACGCAGGACCCCAGCGGCCCGGAGTGCCCCCCGTCCGCCCCCCCCCGGGGACCCAGATGTCAGAGGGTGTCCCCCCCTGTCCCGAGACCCAAGCGCCCGGCAGTGCTTCCCCCCCCCCCCCCCCCCCGCGCGTTTTCCAATGAATCCACGTGCAGCGGGAGCAGGGGGGGAGGGCAGGGGGGCAGCCGATCGCCTGAGCCCCTCACTTTTTTTTTTTTTTTGGGGGGGGGGGGCATCCCAAACTCTGACCTTCGGCCCCGGGGCAGGGGGGACCCACGGGTCCGGGCCCACCCCAGCTCGGAGGGACGCAGGCGTTCGGCCCGGCCCGGTCCCACCAGTCTACCCGGTTCCCTATCTCACCGGCCGGGCGGGGTCCCGCACGGCTGAGGGTCTTCGGGGGTCGGGGTGGGGTCCCGGACTCCTGGGTCCTCTCCAGCTGCGGGAGGGGCAGCAAGGCCCAGCGTGTGGTGGGGCGGGGGGGGGGTGTCCGGACTCCAGGTGGGAGGGGGGTGGGGGAAGGTGGGGGGGCACCGCCCTTTGCCCCTTAAAGCAGCGGGGGAGGGACACCTGGGTTCCTCCTGCCCCCCTCCCGCCCCAGCCCTCCGCGTGGAATGGGGAGAAATCGGCCTGTTTTGGGGCTGCCCCCGGGGTGTCCGCGCCCCCCCCATCGTTCCGGGAGGGGGGGGGAACAGAGCTCCCGCGGGCAGAGGAGCCACCCGTGTCCCCGTCCCCCCCCCCCGTCGGCGAGGGGCCAGCCCCACGGGGACCCCGTCGCCGTGAGTACGGTCGCCATGGGGAACCCATCCCCGTTGCTAAGGGGACCCCGTTGCTATGGGGACCCCGTTGCCGTGGGGACCCCGTTGCCGTGGGGACCATCTGGGGGCCGCGGCTCTTGCGGGCGCGGCCACCGGAGGATGCAGCCCCCCCCCCCGTCCCCCCTCCCCCCCATCCCCGCGCGGGCCGAGACACGCCGGGGCGGGTACGACACTTTATTTCCTTTTTTGTCTTTTTGCCCCTTTTCCGCGGATTTTTTCCTCCTTCCCGCTCGCGGGCGGCGCCTTTGGGGGGATTTTTCCTTTTCTCCTCGGTCTGGGGGGAGGGGCCGACCCACCCCAACGGGAAATGACGTCACTACCACGTGCGGGGGTGAGGGGCGACCTAGGGGTCCCCAAATGTGCAACGCTGGTGTGGGGGGGGCCCCGAGAGCGACGCCCCCCAACATCGTACACCCCCACCCAGAGCTTGGGGGGGACGGGGTTCCCGAAATCGGGGTACCCAGAACTGAAGGGGGTGGGGAGATTCCCACTGCCCGGGGAGGGGCCCATTGCTGGTGGGGGGTCCCCAAATGTTGGGGGCCCCATTGCTGGTGGGAGGCCCCAACGGGGGCCCCAAAATGGGAGGAGCCCAAAAATGGGGAGGGGGGGGCTGTTTCCCGGGGGGGCACTGCTGGTGGGGGTCCCCGGAGGTCCCAAAAACCAGGGGGAAGGGGCCACAAAGAGAGGGTTCACCCCAGAGTGGGGGTCCCCAAAACGGGGGCCCTAATGATTGTCCCCATTTTGGGGGGCCCATGGGGGGGGGGAAGGCACACGGAGGGGTCTAAGGCAAATGCAATTTTGGTCCATCTGACCCCAAAACCTGGGGGCCAGGGGGGGTGCTGGACCCCCCCAAACTGCCCCCGGGTGGGGGGGGCCTCATCTCGTCCCCCCAACACCGAAATCAGCCAAAGGTGCAGAAAACCCCAAAATGAGCAAAATGCTCCCAAATCCCACCCCGGCTGCCCCCCCCCCGCCCCCGGTTATGGGCCCCACGTAGGGAGTTGGGGCCCCCGGTGACCCCTGGAATGCAGAGCCGGAGCAAAACTACCCAAAAACGATAATAAAAAACACAAAATTGCCAGGGGGTACATCCCGATGGGCAAAATCAGGGAAAATTGTGGGGTTCCCCCAAAAAAGCACTTGGAGAGCTGGGGGGGGGACACCCGAAAAAGGAGGGGTTTGACCCCAGAATGGGAGGTTTGACCCCAAGGAGGGGGGGGGGGGGGTGTTGGCCCTGGGGGGAGGGGGGCATCAAAAGGGGGGGGGGGGTTGACCCTAAACAGGGGGGTTCAACCCCTGAGGGGGAGGGGGGACCCACAGTGGGGTGGTTTGACCCCAAATGGGGGGATTGGACCAAAAAGGGGGATGGGGGGGTTAACCCCAAAAGGGGGATGAGCCCCTGACGGAGGGGTCTGACCCAAAACAGGGGGGGGTTTGACCCCAAACCCAGGGGGAGGGGGGTTTGACCCCAAGCGGGGTTGGACCCCGGTACACGTGAGTTTGACCCCAAGGAGGGGAGGGGGGGGCCTCGCCCGGGGGTAATTGCACTTAATTAAAAAAATGAGCTGGGGAGGGGGGGGGGGAGGAGGGTCAGGGGGACCCCAAAGCCGGGGGAGGGGAGGGGCATTTTGGGGGATTCAGGGTGTTTCGGGCCCCCCCGGCCCCGCTCGCTGGCCTGCAGCAAGGGGGCCCCCCAGCACACGCGTGTGCGGTGCGTGTGCGAGTGCTGGTGACCAGGGCACATGCGTGTGTGGGGGTGGGGGGGGTGCACACATGTGACCGTGCCCACGGTGTGGGGGGGGTGGGGTGGGGGGTGTGTGTGTGTGTGCAGACACGCGCGTGTGTGTAGTGTGACCATATGGTGCCGGGTGCGCACACGCGTGTGCAACGACGTTGTGCGTGCACGCACAGGTGTGGTGCAAGTGCACACACGTGTGCCCCCCCACCCCAACCCCCCCTCCCAGGGGCCTCGTCCCCCCCCCAAATTGCGGCTGGGGCGGGGGGGCCCAAACACCCCTGGGGGGGCCCGGGGTGACCCTGTCTGTGCCGGGGGGGGGGGGGGGGGGGGGGGGGGGAAGAGGGCGATTGGGGGGGTGGGGGGGATCCCGGAGGGGGACACACATCAGAGAGGCCGAACCCTCATCCACGTCGGGGGGGGGTTGGGGCCCCCCCGGGGGTGGACGGCGGCGGGGGGGGGCCAGGGGGCTGCGGCTTTTTTTTGTCTTTTTTTCTCCTTTTTCCGGGCGGTTTCTCCTCGTCCAGGGGCAGCGTCAGAGGAACCAGGACTGGGGAGAGATTGGATGGGGGGGGGGGGGTGTCAGTGGGAACAGGGGGGGTCCCTGGAGTGGGGGCTCAGGGCGGGTTGGGGCCCCCATGGCGGAAAGGGGGGGGGGTCCCAGGTGTCTGGGCGGTGCCCCCCTGCCCTCCGCCTCAACGCTCAGCACATGGCGGACCACGGTGTTTGGGGGGGGCGGGGGGGAGACACGGGACCCCCCCAGGGATCCGCCTACCCCCCCGCGTGCCAAGTTGGGCGCGGCTCTGCCACGCCATTGGCTGCCCGGCCACCGCACCACCAGGGCCAGCCAATCAGGGCACACCCGCTCGCCGCAGCGCCTGCAGCCTGCCAAGGCCTGGCTGGTGCCAGCCAATCTGCTGCTGGCTCCTCCCCCTCCTGCCTGACGGTGCCAGCCAATCAGGTACCGCCTGGCTGGCCCGCCGAGGCCCCCCATTGGCTGACAGCCCTGCTCCCCACCCCTCCCCCCAATCCCCCCCCAGCCCATTGGCTCCAGGCCGGCACCGCGGCCTGCTCCAGCGCCAGCCAATCCGGGGCCGGCGCCACAGGGCAGGCAGCCAATCGGGCGTCGTGCCACGGCGCCGGGGGCCAATGGGGAGCCCAGCTGGGGGTCGCGACCCCCGGCCCAAGGGGATTGGGGGGGGAAGGGGGGGGGGGGCACGGGGTTGCCATGGTGATGCTGGGGGCAAGGCCCCGCCCCACCATTGTTCCCAGCAGGGCCCAGCAATGACATCATGTCTCGTTGCCCCCGGCAACCAGACGGTCGGGCATGATGGGGAGGACCCAGTCCCCCCCCCCAGTGCCTCCCAGTTGGGCAGCAGGGGTGGGGCGGGGGGGGGGGGGGGGGGGGCGGGGTGAGGGGTCCTGGGCCCAGCTCATTAAGCAGCTAATTAGCCTGCAATGAGAGGGAGGGGCAGGTGAGGCCCCAGGCGTTTGGGTGTGACCTGGCAGGGGACCCCGGGGGAAGTGGGGGGGGGGGGGAGGGGGGGGAAGAATGGGATCACACACAGACACACCCCCAGGAATGGGGGGGGACGGGACCCAGGCACCCCAAGGGGACGCAGGGATGCGGGGGAGACCGAGGAGCATGGGAGTGGGGGGAAATCCAGGCATGCAGGAGGGGATGCAGGAGGATGGGGGGGGGGTACCCAGAAACACAGGGGGGACCCAGGAGCATGGGGGGGGGACACCCAGGGCACCCCGAAGGGACCCGGGAGCATGGGGAGGGGACACCCAGGGCACCCCGAGGGGACCCCAGGAGCATGGGGGGGACACACCCAGGGCACCCCGAAGGGACCCAGGAGCATGGGGAGGGGACACCCAGGGCACCCCGAGGGGACCCAGGAGCATGGGGTGGGACACCCAGGGCACCCCGAGGGGACCCAGGAGCATGGGGGGGGACACCCAGGGCACCCCGAGGGGACCCAGGAGCACGGGGGGGACACCCAGGGCACCCCGAAGGGACCCAGGAGTATGGGGGGGGGACACCCAGGGCACCCTGAGGGGACCCAGGAGCACTGGAGGGGACACCCAGGGCACCCCGAAGGGACCCAGGAGCATGGGGGGGGACACCCAGGGCACCCCGAGGGGACCCAGGAGCACGGGGGGGACACACCCAGGGCACCCCGAAGGGACCATGGAGCATGGGGGGGACACGCCCAGGGCACCCCGAGGGGACCCAGGAGCATGGGGGGGGGAGCATGGGGGGGGGGCACCCAGGGCACCCCGAGGGGACCCAGAAGCATGGGGGGGGGGGACACCCAGGGCACCCCGAGGGGACCCAGAAGCATGGGGGGGACACACCCAGGGCACCCCGAAGGAACCCAGGAGTATGGCGGGGGGACACCCAGGGCACCCCAAGGGGACCCAGGAGTATGGGGGGGGGACACCCAGGGCACCCCAAGGGGACCCAGGAGTATGGGGGAGGGACACCCAGGGCACCCCGAAGGGACCCAGGAGCATGGGGGGGGGACACCCAGGGCACCCGCGGGTCCTACCTGCTGCTGGGGGAGGGTCAGAAAGTTGCCGTCGCGGGGTCCGAGGCCGACAAGGCGGGGGGCAGCGGCGGCGCCTGACGCTGCGAATGCTGCAGGGAGAGCGGGCTCAGCCTGGCCCGCACGGGCGCGTGCGACACGCGGGGCCGGGCGTGCGACACGTGGGGCCGGGCGTGCAAGGCGTGCTCAAGGAGTGCAGAGGCCCCAGCGTGGTGGCGAGTGTGTGTGCATGCATGCCGGTGTGCACAAGCACCCGCGTGTGCGTGGAGCCAGGGGATTTGTGCCCCCCTCCCCCCCTTTCCCCCCTGCCCCCCCCATGGGTGTGAGGAGCTGGCGGGGGGGGGGGCAGCTGCACACGTGGGTACGAGCGTGTGACAGCGTGGGTGAGCGTGTGAGGCTGTGCATGCACAATCACACACGTGTGCATCCAGGGCCACATGCACATGCATGCACACACACACACACGTGCGCACATGATCGTGTGCACCCCCACTGCATGGAGGGTGGGGGAGAGGGGGTGCGCGTGCACCCCAGGGTGCCCCATGCCAGTTGTGCAGCACCAGGACCCCCACCCATGGGAGCCACCCCCTTTCCCATCAGTACTTACCTTTGGGGACCCCCCACCCCCCCTCTCCCCATGTCCCCCCCCCAAGGATGGAGCCAGGAGAAGGAAAATTCAAGCGATTTGGGTGCCCCCCTGCCCCTGCCGGGGTCCCAGGCATCCAGGTCTAGGAGCCCCGGAGGCACGAGGGACACAGGCGTCCTGTGCCCCGGCCCCCCCGCCCAACCAATCCCCCCCCCCCCACCGAAAATGGGGGGAAAAGGGGGAAAAAATGGAGAAGGGGAAAAAACGAACTGAAAATGGGGTGGATGAGGCACTGGCGGGGACGGAGCGGACGTGCCCGGGGTCGGGGGACGGTGACTGGGGACGGTGACAGCGATGACGATGCGGAGAAGGTGATGATGCACGGGCAGCCGGGCCAGGCTGGGCCACCCTGTCACCTCGTGTCAGCCCCCCCTCGTGTCAACCCCGTCACCCCCCTGTCACCTGCTGGCACCCCCCCCCCCCCCGCCCTGGGGTCACCTCGGTGCCACCCGTGTCACTGGTGCCATCCTGCACCAGCCCTGTGCCACTGCCAGGTCGCCCCAGCGCCACTGCGGCCACTGGCCCCCGCCCGGCGCCTGCACCCCACTGCACCCCACTGCTGTGCACCCCTGCGCCCCGCTGCTCCACCCCCTCCGCACCACACAGCTGTGCCCCGCTACTGCGCACCCCGCACCCCACTGCTGCCTTCCAACGCTGTGCCCCACCACCTGCACCCCGCTCCTCCACCTGCTGCGCCCCATGGCTCCCCCGCCCCACTGATGCGCCCCTGCCCCCCCCCTCCTCCCCCCACGCACCCCGCCCTGCCTCCCCATGGCCCAGGTCCCGGCTGCGGGTGCAGTGGGGTGCAGTGGGGCGCAGGTGCCGGGGACTTACGGGGTGCCGCGGGCGCTCCGCCCTGGGGGCCGCTGGGGGCTTTGGGCTCCGGCGGGGGCAGGGGCAAGGGCCGGGCCAGGGGGGCCCCCGCAGCCCCCCCGGCCCGGCCCTGCGCCCCGCACGGCTGCAACGAGAACACGGTGAGGGGCACCCGGCACCCCGGGACCCCCAGGGCAGGGGCAGGGGGGATGGCGCAGTGGCACGGGGCGGGGGGGGGTCGGGGGGGTGGGGGGTGGGAAGAGCGGCACAGGGTGGCACAGGGGACACGGGGGCTCTTGCATATGGCACAGGGGGGCGTCCCAGGGTGGGGGGTTCCCAGCATGGGGGGCCCCACCACCCCCCCATCCTGGCCCCTCCACTGCAGCCAGTGCGGCTGTCGGGGCTCATTTGCATACCAGCTCCACCTCCCGTGCTGTATTTGCATGCCAGCCCTGCCCCTGCGGCCATATTTGCACAAGGCCCCTCCTCTTTGCACACCGGCACCACCTCCGCTGCTTCATTTGCATACAGACACCACCTCCGGGCCCTCATTTGCATATAGGTCACACCTCCAGGGAATTGTCCTGCCGAGGCCCCTCCTCCCCGGCCTAATTTGCTTACAAGCCCCACCTCCAGGGAACTACTCGGCCCATGCTCCGCCTCCTGCGCCTCATTTGCATACAGGCACCGCCCCCAAGGGCACCCGTTGCCGTGGAGACCAGTCCCTCGGGAGCTGCACTGGGACCAGCGTCCCCACGGGGGGGCTCCAGACCGGTCCCAGCGCCCCGCACTGGTGCCAGCCCCGCAGAGCCCCGAGCGTGGGGTCTGGCTAAATGGGGGGGGGGGGCAGTGTCCCCTGTGTCTCCACAGTGTCACCGCATCCGCACGTCCCACGTCACCATGTCCCTATGTCCCCGCCATCCCCGCAGCGTCTCCCCCCCCGTCCCCGCAGCGCGTCCCCCCCATCCCGGCAGCGTGTCCCCATCCCCCGTGTGTCGTGTGTGTCCCCCCCCCCCCCGACCTGTCCCACCTGGGGGCCCTGGGCGGCGCCGTCGGCGCAGACGAACTGGACGAAGTCCTTGAGCGAGTCCTGCCCGTGGTGGTAGCGGATGGTGGGATGGGCGAAGTAGGGGCTCGACTGGGGCAGGAGGGACCCCGACGGGAAGTGCAGCGCCGAGGCCGTGGCCCGCGGGCTGCCTGCAGGGACCCTCAGCGCCAGCACGGGCGGCTGCGGGACCCCGCTCCAAGGGGACCCCGCTGCATGCCCGGGGATGCGGGACCCCACGGTCTGGAGCCCTCCCGGGACCCAGGCGCTTGCAGGGTATGGGGACAGGACCTGGGTGTCCGGGGACATCCCCTCCCCCCCTCTGGTCCACTTCCACCTGGCCCAGGTCCGGATCCCCAGTCCCCCCAAGTTCACCCTGTGTTCATCCACCGGTGCCCAGGTGGGACCCAGGTGTCCAGGGCCACCCCAACCCCTTCAGACCAGGGGTCCCAAGGAACTTGGGGGGGGTGAGGGGGAAAGGGGGTGTTGAGAGGTGAAGCAGTGCAAGGGGGCAGGGGTCCCAAGGGAAGTCAGGGGGTGCCCGGGGTGGGGGGGGGGACGGGGGTCCCAAGGGGGTGGGGGTCTCACCGGGGCGGACGCCAGCCAGGACGGGCAGGGGGTGGTGGCCGAAGGCCATGCGGGGGGCGGCCCCGTGCCCCGACAGGGCGCTGCAGAAATCCAACTTCCCCGACTTCTTCAGCGCCGCCGGGCCTGGGAGGGCCGGGGGGGTCGGGGGGGCACCCGGACCCCAGCACCCCCACAGCCCCCTGGGGATCCCCCCCCAGACCCCGAGACTTCTCCCAGAGTCCAGTGTCCCCCCCCAGGCCTCCTGGCAAAGACCAGATTCCCCAGCTCTCGGGGAACCCCCCACGGCCCCCACCAACGCCCTGTACCCTGTAGCCCCTCCCCCCCCACCGGCCCCCTGCATCCCCGTAGCCCCCCTTTGCCCTTTACCCACCACGTTCCCCCCTCCACGTCCCTCCCCATGTCCCCTCAGCACCCACCCACGTCCACACCCACCCCCTGGAACCACCCGTGCCCCACCGTGTCTCCCTTGTCACCCCCCAATGTCCACATGGCCCCATGCCCCCCCCATGTCACCCACCGGTGTCAACGTCCCCCCCCCAGGGACCCTGGCTGCTGCCGGGGGCTGGGGACCGCCCTGGCCCGGGGTAGAAGACGTCGTCCCCAGGACCTTCCAGGTCCCCCTCGTCCAGCGCCTTGGGGCGCTTTGGGCCGCTGCGGGGACAGGGGTGTCACCTCCAGGGACAGCAGTGTCACCCCCCGGGGATGGGGACATCATACACCTCTCCCCCCTCCCCAAGCAGTGTCACCCAAGAACTGGAGCACCACCCCCCACTGGGGACACAGGGATGTATGCAAGTCCTCGACGGTGCCCGGCTTTGAGGGGGGGGGGGGTTTATTAGGGTATCTCAGTGGGGGTCCTGGGGTGTTATGGAGGTCCTGGGAGGGTCCCAGGGGGCTTATTGAGCAGTTATGGGGGGTTTCACGGGGGCCAAGGGGGGTTATTGGGGGATCCCAGGGGGTTATGGGGGGGATCCCGTGGGGTCCTGGGGTACCTGGCAGCAGGGGGCCCCAGGGGCCGGCGGCCGAGGGCGACGGGGCTGATGTTGTAGTAGCCCCCTGGGCTCTCCAGGTCGGCCAGCGAGAAGTTGGGGCCCGATGCCGTCGCCACAGGGGCTGTGGGACACGGGAGACGTGGGGGACCCACAGGGGACAACCCCCCCCCCCCTCCCCCTCGAGCCACCCCCGGGTCCTCTAGCTCTCCATGTCCCACACCCCCGCCTCCCCCCATTCCCGCAACACCACCCCACCCCCCCCACGTGTCCGCTCCCTCCCTGCGTCCCCTCCGCGTGCTCCCAGTGTCCCCACTTACTCTGGGACACCCTCACCAGCTCCGTCACATTCCAGACACCCGACGTCACGAAGCAGTCCTGGAAGGTCAGGTGCCCTGGGGACACGGGAAATTGGGGACATGGTGGGGGCAACACCGTCCTGGGGGGGGGGTGCGGGGACTGGGGACACAGACACACGGGGCAAGGACACCATGGGGACAGAGGGCACTGGGGGCCACTGGAAGCAGGAGGAGGCTGCAGAGGGTGGCACTGGGAGCGGTGCGGGCACGGGGGGCTCACCGTTGGGCAGTGGTTTGATGTCCGCGTCTCCCTGGGGGTTTGAACTGTCAGATTGTCCGGAGTCTGCAGGAGAGAAGGGGTCAGGCCTGGATGTTGGGGTCCCACCTGGACTCAAGGGGTTGCCCCCACTGGATGCCGGAGTCCCCATCCTGCCCTGGGGGAAGGGCAGCTCCGGGCACCTGGGTCCCAGCACTGAAGGGCCCCTTGTTCCCGTGGGGTCGTTTGAGGTGAACGTCCGCCGGGACCTCGGCTGTGTCCGGGCAGCTCCTGCAGCCCCCGTCCTTTGGGGCACGCGGGCACCCCCCACCCCATCTGGGACCCGGGCATCCAGGGGTCCCCACCCCGCACCCCCCCGGGGACCCAGGCATCCGGATGCCACTTGGCCGGGTGATGGGGGGGGGGGGGGGGGGGCATGCAGCAGCCGCAGGGGGCTGGGGGGAGCCGGGGCTGGCAGGGGGCCGGGCTGGGCCGGGCCGGGGGGGCCGTGGGGCCGGGCTGGGGGCCAGGAATGCGCTGGCCCCCCGCCAACGGGCAGCGCCAACAAAGCAGCCATTGTCTGTGCCGAGTTGGGGGGGGTGCCCGGACGCCTGGGTCCCCCCCCCCCCAACACACCCCCCGCACGCCCGGGTCCCCGTCCCCCCCCCCCCCGGCAGCATCCCCCATCTGCCCCAGACACCTGGGTCTCCCCCAGTACCCCCACCCCAGACGTCTGGGTATCCCATCCCCCTTGCACCCCCCCCTGCTCCCGACACCCAGGTCCCCCCCAGCACCCCCAGGGCTCCCCCTCACCCCTCCCGTCCCGGTGACCCAGTCACCCGGGTGGGGGAAGGGCAGGCGGACAGGTCCCCTCCCCCCTTTTGGCCCCGCTGTATCACCCTGTGGGGTCAGGGGTCAGCAGGGCACGTGCCGGGTCGTGACCTCTGCGGGGGGGGGGGGTCGCGTGGCAGGCGCGTGCCATGTCCCCTCCTGCCTGCCTGGACGCCTGTGTGCTCCCGCAGCTCAGACTTGGGGCAGACCCCAACGCTGGCTCCTGGGAGCAAGGCGGGGGGGGGGGGGGCAGTTCTCTCCCAGGACCCCTGTCCTGCAGAACCGCCCCCCCCCTACCCCGTGCCTCAGTTTCCCCCCCCCCCCCCCCAAAGCCCAGATCAGGACCCAGCAGGTCCTCCATGTCCCTACAGATCCCTGGCCCCATGGCAGCCCCACAGCGTCCCCGCTGGCGGGGGGTTCTGGTGCTGTTGGGCAGCTGCGCCCCGACCCCCCCCCCTCCACAGACCCCTTCCCCCCGCACCTGCGTCCCCCCCCCAGATCCCAGCGTCCAGGGACGCCAGCAGCGACGGCGCGTCACCCCGCACAGACCTCCACAGCCCCTATGGATCCCACGACCCACGCAGACCCTCCAGCTGCCTCCAGCCCCACGGACCCTATAGACCCACCTGGAGCCCCACAGACCCTCAGAGCTCCCCCTGAAGCCCTATAGACCCCTATAGCTCCACCTGCACCCCAAGAGAGACCTACAGAGCCTATGGGTCCTCCTGCAGGCACCCACAGACTCAGATGGGACCCAACAGACCCTATAGATATGTATGGCCAGCCCCCAGCATGATGCCGGAGCCCCCAGAAGAGAAAGAGAACCTGGTGTCCAGGCACACCCCCCCCACAGGGCAAGTGGGGGGGCCGTGGGGGGGCACCACCAGCACGGCCCTGGGGTACAGGCATGTGCAAGACACAAACAGGAGCAGGTCGGGGAGTCCCTAACATAGGGGGGCAGCACACCATGGCACAGGGGGTCCCCCATCATGGGGGGGGGGGGCTATTGCAGGAGGGGTGGCATACCATGTCATGGGGGTCTCCAGCACAAGGGGGGGGGCTCCCCCCATCCGAGGAGGGTCCCACCACGGGGCTGCGGTGCCGCAGCGCGTTTCGGGTGCCAACAGGCGCCATCTTACGCATGGGGGGGGGGGGAGTGGGGGGTGGGGGGGTTTGGCACTGCGCCCCCCCCCCCCCCAGCCCACAGCAGTCAAAGGGCCCCCGGCAGGGGGGGTGAGGGGGGATGCCAGGGGGGCCAGGGCCGCGCACGGGGCCTCGTGCCGCGCATGGGGGCACGGTGCCAACCGGGGCCATTTTGGCGGCGCCAGGCAGGAGCGGCATTGGGGATTTGAGCCCCCCCCTAACCAGGCAGGGGAGGAGGTGGGGGGCTGTGGGGCTGCAGGGCGGCCCCCCCCAACCCCCCCCCCCGCAGACGTGCTCAGATTTGGCACGTGGGCGGGGAGGGGGGGAGGGATTTTTCGGGGAAGCGGGGGGAACAGGATACACACCCCAGACTACTCCCCCCTTTCACCCCCTAACACACACGAGGGACCCGGGCACCCTGCAGCGAGGACCCAGGCGTCTGGGAGCTGATCCTAAGCATGGTAAAGCAACCCAAAATTCCTCACTCCGGCCCCAAAATTCCACCTCCCCCAGCAGGAAAGATGGGACCAGGCGTCCAGGTTCGTGTCCCCAAGGTGTGCGCACAGACACACACACGCACGGCTCTGCCCCTGTGCCCCCCGCACACACGTGTTCCCGGCGCAGACCCTGCAGCACTGCGCACACACGTGTGTGTGTGTGTGTGTGTGTGTGTGTGTGTGTGTGTCCCCGCCTCAGTGCACACAAGCGTGTGCACTGCTGGTGCCCCGCGGGCACGAGGGGCGGGTGTCCGTTGCCCGCCCACGCCCTGGCCGGGGCAAAAGCATCTGCTGGGAGCCCGGCCCGTGGCGCGGCACGGCTCGGCGCGCGGCAGGGCTCGATGCATGGCGTCGCTGTACGGCTCAGCACATGGCGGAGCTCGGTGCAGTGCGGACCCCGGTGCACGGCACGGCTCGGGGCTTGGTCCGGAGCCCAGCTCGGTGCACGGCACGGCTCCGTGCACGGCTCGCGGTGCACAGTCTGGCACAGTGCGTGGCACACGGCTTGGCATGCGGCACACGGCATGCGGCGGCGTGCTTTGGCACACGGCGCGGCTTTGTGCAAGGCGCGCGGGGGGCCGGCACCCCTGGCCGGGGCCACCCCAGGTGGGCATGGGGAGGGGGGGCCGTGGGTTAAAGTGTCTGTGGGGGTTGGGGACGGGGACCCGACCCCAGGCAGCTGCACAGAACCACCAGAACTGCTCCGGCCCCAGGGCTGCCACAGACCCAACCCAGCCCCGGTGCAGGATCCCTCCGGTGCTGCGGGTGCCCCGTGGAGCAACGCGGAGGGAAGATGGACCCAAGACCCTCCCCCACCCCCCCCGAAACTTGGGGAGGGGGGAGCGCACAGCCAGGAGCCTCTGCCCGCAGCCCCATCATGCACAAGAGCCCCCACCGCCCCGCAGTTGCGCTGCTGGCTCCAGCTCCGGCCCCAGCGCTCCCTGCCAGCAGCACTCACCGGGCGCGTGGACGAAATAGGCCAGGTAGAGGTCGAGCTCCTTGATGGTGACGCCGATGTGGTGGGGCTGGACGCAGAGACCGGGGCTGGCACACTGGGGCGCCTTGGCCAGGCGTTCGCCGTCGGTGCTCTCCAGCGGGACGCCCTTGAAGAGGATGACCATCACCAGGTCCAGGCGCCAGACCTTGTCAGCCTGGCGCAGGCAGTCGATGCGGCGGATCTTGCCCTTCTGGTCGGGGTTGGAGAGGACGCAGCAGGGCGCTTTTTTGCCGGTGACGGAGAGCACGAAGTCCTCGCGGCACTCGGGCCGGATGTCCTTGCGCAGCTTGGCCAGGAGGCGCGAGGCCCACTTCTGCTTGACCTCAGGCTTCTCGCCCAGCAGCTCGTCCTTGACAGCGCGCTCCTCCTCCTTCGACATCCGCTTCTCGTGCTTCTTGAAGTACTTGCGCTTGCGGGCCTGCAGGTTGAACCAGGTGTAGGAGAAGGCCCGGACGTGGGGCAGCAGCGCCTCGATGAAGGGGTGGAACTCATCCTGTGGGGCAGGGCGGCGTCAGTGGGGTGGCTGCCGTGGGGTGGCCGTGGCCCCAGCAGCTCCCGGGGGACCCCCATCCTGCACAGGGAGCTCCAAGGGGGGACGGCCCCGTCCCACGTGGTGGGAGCGTCCCTGGGCATGGGCCCCTCCTGCACGCAGAGCTCCCGGGCGGATGCCCATGCTGTGCGGGGGGAGCACCCCCAGACACGGCCGCATCCTGTGCGGGGGGGGGGCTCCCGGAGGCGCCCCAGTCCTGCACAGAGAGAGCATCCCCAGGCACAGCCCCATCCTGCGTAGGGGACCATCCCCGGGCACAGCCCCATCCCAGTCTCTGGGGATGATCCGCTCAGCCCTGGGCATCGCTGGGGACCGGAGATGCAGGATCCGGCTTCGGGAACAGCCCTGTGGGGCTGGGGGACCAGAGCAGCCCCGGCCCGGGGGGGGGACCGGCCAGGCTCCTGGTGCCCAACTGGCTCTGGGGACGAGTCAGCTCCCGGCCCCGCAAAGCCCCAGTGCCAGCACAGCCCCGCGGTGCTCCTGTGTCCCCAGCCTGCGGACGGCTCAGCCCCACGTCCTCAGCCCCGCTCAGCCTGTCCCAGCCCGGCTCAGAGCCCCGCGCCCACCCCCAGTGTGACCACAGCCCTGTCCCCAGTATCGGCACAGCCCCAGCCCGGTTCATCCCCGTCCATCCCCATCCAGCTCCCGGTGATGCTCCCGCTGCCGTCGGGGCTCGGCGGCCCCGGGCACATCCCCAAGCCGCCCGCCCCGTCCCTGTCCCCAGAGCCAGTCCCTGCTGCCAGCCCCATCCCGGTGCCACCGATCCCGACCCCCGTCAGTCCCCATCCCCGGTGCCAGCCCTCCGTCCCCTGTACCCACTGCCAGCACCACCGGTCACTGTCCCGTCCCTGCTCGCTAGTGCTGGCGGTCCCCGTCCCCATCCCGGTCCCTGGTGCCACCAGCACCTGTCCCCGGTCCCCGTCCCTGCAGCCGCCGGTCCCGTCCCGTCCCGTCCGTACCATCGCGGCGGCTCATCCCGGCCGTGGGCAGCTGCCAGTCGGGCCCCGGCGGGGCAGAACCGGGGGCGACAGATGGGGACGAGGGGCGCTACCGGGGGGTGGTGGGGGGGGGAAAGGGTTAACGGCGGCTACCGGGGAGGGCGGGTCCGGGGGGTTGGGGGGGGGGCTCAGGTACCGGGGGTCCCGGTTACCGGCGGGAAGGGGGGTCCCTGCTGCTGGGACAGCGCGGGTCCCGAGGGGTTCCCTGTCGGGGGGGTCCCGGTCCGGGCGGTCCCGGTGCCGCCGCGGAGCCGCAGCCGGAGCCGCCGCCGCCGCCGCCGGGCGCGGAGCGCGCGGAGCCGCCGCGGCCCCTTTTGGCACCGGGACCGGCGCGGCAGCGGCCAATGGGGGCGCAGCGCGCGGGGGGAGCGGCCGCCCCATTGGCCGGGCCGGGGGGGGCGGGGCCGGGGGGGGGTGTAGCCGGGGGGGGGGGCGGCGGAGTTCGGGGCCGGGACACGGGGGGGTCCCGGGGGCAGCGGGACGGATCGGGCCCGCGGGCGGGGCGGGTGTGTGGGGGGGTGCACCGGGAGCGCCCCGGCGGGGCCGCGCGTCTGCCACGCGTGTGCGAGGCAGGCGCCGTGCAAGCGCCGTGCCGGGGTTGGGGGGGGGCGGAGGGGGGGGTGGGCAGAGCCCCGGTGCACCCGCGGCCACGGGGGCTTCGCCAAAACGCGGGGATCTGCACCCAAAGCCGCTCGCCGCGCACCCCGGCCGCACTCCCCGTGCAAGCCCCCGCGCGAAGCCCCCGCGCGAAGCCCCGCGCAAAGGGGGTCGATCGAGGACGCCGGGGCTGCGCTCGCACCAGGGGCCTGTCCCGGGGGTCCGGCCCCCCTCGACACACCCCGGGAGGGGGAAGGCCCCGGATTTTGGCCGCTTTCCCTGGCCCTGTGGCGGCCCCAGTGCGGAACGGCCCAAAACCTCCGTTTCTGCCCCTAAATCCCCGATGAGGCTCTTCGAGCCAACACCACCCCCCCCAACATCCCCCCCCCCAGTAATTAATTCCCTCTGTGTTCCCTCTGTGCAAAGAAAAAAAAAAAAACAAACAAAAAAAAACACAACAAAATTTGGGCGTTTCAGTGGCGGGATTGGGTGGAGGCTCCCGCGCATCGGTGCCCGCGCACCTCCCCAGCCCCAAATCTCACGGCTTTCGCTCCAAAACCATGGCGGAGGGGGGTGCGGGGGCGGGGGGGGGGGGCATGGACAGAATCGATCCCTGGCCCCTGCCTCTTTCCTGCCTCGTTTTGCTTTGGAAAAACCCATGAAATAAGACACAGCAGCACTGGGATGAAGGGGGAACAGGAAGAGGGGGCACACGGGGGCTCCTGCAACACCGAGGGGTTCACACGAGGGGTCTCAATTCACACGAGGGATCACAGCCGCGCACGACGGCTTCACTCACGGCACCCCCGGCCAAGACACTCGTGGGGGGGGGAGGGGGGGGAGAGGCAGGGGGGAACCTAGGCATCCAGACCCCTTTCGCCCCATAGCCCCCTCCCCTCACCCAGGGGTCTGGGCCTGCCAGCACCCGCTTGGGCATGGGGAGGGCACCCAGATGCCTCGGGGAGGGTCAGGCTGGAAGAGTGTGGGGGGGATTTGGTGGCCCGAATGCCTGGGTCCCCCCCACAGCCCCAGTGAAGACAAAAGAGCCACACAGTCAGGCCCACACGGCTCGGGTGCCTGGGTCCGCCCGAACGCCTGGGTGTCCGCCCGAACGCCCGGGTCCCCTCCCCGCCCCTCTGCGGGGAAGCACGGAAGGATCTAGAGGCTCGGCCAGCGGGCTCTGTCCAGACATGGGGGTCCCTGCCCGAGGCCAGGGTCCCCTCCCGGACACCAGGGTCCCCCCTGAGACGTCGGGGTGCGCGATGAGGTGGGGTCCAGCCCCGGTGCCGCCAGGCTGCCATTGGCTGCGCCGGCCCCGCATTGAGCCGCAGTCTCGGGCGAAGCCACGTCGCCGCGTCCGCAGCTGCGAGCGCCCGGCAAAACGCCAGCGCGGCGGCGGGGGGGGGGGCGGCGCCGGATTGGGAGGGAAAAGCCCAGAAAAAACAGAAAAGAGGGAAAAAAAGAAAAAAAAAAAAAGAAGAAAAAAAAAAAAAAAAAACAAAAAAAAAAACCACACCACCACCACCATCCCCCCCCCAGCCCCCCCGCCCCAGCAGCGCCCGCCCTCCCGCGCCGCTGCCAGCTCCCCCCGGCCCTCGGCTTCGCCGCGAGAGAAAACAGCCCGAAACAGCCGGAATTGCCGCCAAAAATCCCCCCGGCGGCCCCTGACGCTGCTGCCAAGACCCTCCCGTGGGGGGGGGGGAAGCGGGGGGGGGGGGCAGCCAAGGAGGAAGGGGGGGGGGCGCGAGTGAGAAGCATCCTGGACCCCCAGGCAGGGGGGGCGGGGGGGGCAGTCACGAGGGACCCCGGCACCAGGCCGGGAGCTGCCAGGACCCAGGCGATTGGGGGGGCACCAAAGCATCTTGGAGAAAACATGCCGGATGGTTCTGGCAGGGGACTCAGGTGTCTGCGGGGGGACCCAGGCTTTTGGGGGGAGGAGGGGGGGCCCAGGAGTCCAGGCTGTGCAGAGGAAACCGCCTGCCTGCTCCCCTGCCCACAGCCACGTGGAGAACCCAGGCGTCCGGGCTGCTTGAGGGGAGCCCGGGCATCAGGGGCACCCCCCATTCCCCATGCGGGAAAACCAGGGACTGAACCCAGATATTTGGGCTGTGCTGGGGGGCCGGGGGGGTCACAGGCACTGGGACATGGGGGGGGGGGGTGGGGAACACACGTGCCGCAGTGGCTGGAGATGGTGCCGCAGCGCACAGGGCCGATGCAGTTTGGCACCGGCAGACCCAGGCGTCGGGGCGTGCCTCCCCATGCTGGCCGGGGAGGGGACCCACGAGGGGAGCCCCCCAACCCCGCTCCCTCCCCGGAACAGACCCAGGCGCTGCGGCCCCCTCCGTGGCCTCCTGCCAGGCCGGGCCGGGGGGGGCCCCGCGGTGCTGCAGCGTCCAAGAAAGCTTTTTGTGGCCCATCAATAATTCAGGGCTCCCCCCAACCCGGCCAAGGGCTCCTCCATTATTGATGCCGCCAGCACAGCCCTGTGGTTGGGGGACATGGAGGGGGGGGGGGGGGACAGGGGGGGGACACGGGGAGGAGGGGGGGTGTCAGCGAAGCTGGGAGCACGCAGCGCAGGGGTGCGGCAGCGCCGAGAGCGAAGCGCACACGCACAGCTCGCCACGCGTGTGCGGGGCCCGCACGCTGCCGCACACGCCCCGCCACGCGACACGGCTCCTCACACACGCGGGCGGTGCGGGCGCGTGCGGCACAGTGGCGCACGGGCAGCACACGCCATGCGCCCGCGCCCTCCGGCGTGGCACCCACGCGTGTCGCTCACCCGCCCCCACTTTTGCACGGCCCCGGGCACCTCGCACGGCCTCGCACGTGGAGAGGGGGGGTGAGGGGGGGCGGTGCCTCCCCCACAGTGATTGCATCAGCCGGTGGCGCAGCCCCGCGTGGGGCACGGGGGCCTTGCACATGCCTCACGCGCCAGCACAGGTACGCACATGCATGCACCCCACCTCGCACGCGTGTGCCGCACACCTGGTGCGCGCAGGGATGCGATGCCGGGCAGTGCGGCAGCGCACCCGCACGCGGAGGCACCGTGCACACATGTTGTGCACACGCTGCACAGGGAGACGTGCACAGAGCGTGCAGGCGCAGCTGCCACGTGTGCATGCCGCCTGCACACGCGTCGCGCAGATGGTGCGTGCATGGCACATGCACCCCCCCATTACATGTGTGTGCGGCCAGCCCCTGTGACACACACGCATCCTCTCTTCCCATCACATACACCTGCACCCCGTTACATACGTGTGCACATCCCCCACCGTCACACACATATGAACCCTGCAGCCCTTTGCATGCCCCAACTCTACAGCCTATAGGTGCCTCCGCAGCCTATAGGTTCCCCGTGCACTGCCCTGATCCTCATCAGGCCCTATAGGAGCTATAGGAGCTGGCTACAGGCTAGGCGAGGGCGCTGCGGTTTTGGGGGTGTTGGGGCATGCCCCCCAGCCCCCTGAGGTGGCTCTGCACCCTCTGTGGGTCCTGGCGCCAACAGGGCCCAAGGTAACGGCTGTGGGTGCAGGGCACATCCCCGTGACTTGGGGGGGGCCCTGCAGCAACGGGCCCCGCAGCAGCGCCGTGCCGCAGGGGCACATCCCAAACCCGCACCAAGCAACATCCCCCCCGCCCCCAGCACCGCGTCCTGCCCAGGCACCCCATTTGGCAGCGCTGCCTATCACGCATGTGTCACGTATGCGCCCTGTATGTGGCATGCACGGGCCAGCACGTGCTGCACTGAACCACTGAAACACACCCCCCCCCCAAACACACGCTAGGCTGCGCACCCTGCACCAGCTGCAGCACCCAGCGCAGCACCCTGCCCTGCACCCACCTCTAGTGCGCTGCTAGAAGGGGTCGGCGACGTACGTGTTGCTGTGGCCATCACCCCACACCCCCCCGGGGCGGAGGCTATAGGGGCTGGCCACACGCAGCCCCCTCATCCCATATGGCGCGTGTCGGGCTGCCGTCCCCCATAGCAGCTGCGCACGTACAGGGGGGGCTGCACAGAGATGGGGGGGACTACGCATTTTCCCCTGTGCTTTGGAGAGGAAATGGCCAATGGGGGCATTCTGTGAAGCTGGGGGGGGGGTGGGGTGGGGTCCATGGGTGCCCCCGCCCCACCCCAGGGGGTCACCCAAGTGGTGACAGCAACGGTGATGCCGTGACAGTGAGGGTGATGGTGACTCGCATCGCTCCCAGGCTGCTTTACGACCCTCTAGGGTCTGGCCCGAGGCAGGGGGTGGCTCCGTGTGGCCGGGGGGGGGGAGTGTGTGGGGGTGTGGATCCAGGGGGACACAGAAGGACCCTGAGGGATGGGGGGCACCCCGGCCCAGTGGGCAGCCACAGCACTGGGGGGCTGAATCCCCGTGGGGGCTGGGGCCACACATGCAGCTGTGGGGTTTCACCGCAGGGGCTGCGAGTTGGGGCACACAGAGAGGAGCTGCCGCTGATTACACTGACTATAGGTTACACCAGCTATAGGGGACAGGGGCTGGTGCTGCGCCAGCAGCAGACAAGGTACAGCCCACAACTGGTCGGCCACAGGGCCCGGCGACGGGAGCTGCCGCTATAGGTGCCGCTATACATGCCGCTATACGTGCTGCTTTAGGTGCCGCTACGCGCGCTGCTATCCCTGCCCAGGGCTGGACGCAGCGGCCAGATCCTGCGCGCGCTTGCGGCCTGGCCCTGCGCCGAGGCTGGGGGGGGAGAATGGTGGCACCAGCCCAAAACCACCCAGAAACGGCTCAAAAAGGGAAAGGGGGGGGGGGTGGGGGGGGGTGAGGTGGGAGCACACATGTGTGAGCATGCGGCACCAGCATGCACACGCAAGGAAACGCTTCAGCACACTCAGGATGGGGCCCGTGAGGCCACCGTGCATACGTGTGCGCACACATGTGTGTGCGCAGCGCAAGACTGCGGGTGTGCACGTGTGTGCAGAGTGCAATAGTGTACACGCACCAACAAACACATACATGTGCAGTGTGTGACTGTGCGTGCACAGCAGCACATACATGTGCAGTCGCATGTGCAGGAGGGAGCACACGCATGTGCGCTTGCACAGGCAGGCAGGCTCACAGGCGCGTTGTTGGCGTGTGCAGGCAGGGGCACACGCATGTGCAATGGTGTGTTGCTGGCGCGTGCACACGCGTGTGCGGGGCGGGCGCCGAAGCTGCGAGAAGCGCCGCTGGCCGCCCGCCCAGACACAACCGGCCGCCAAAACCGCCCCGAAAAGCGGGAGAAAAGGGCAACGGAGGGAGGGGGGAGCAGCAACACCCGGCGGGGGGGGGCTGGGCCGCCTGAGCAGCCACAGCAGGACCCGGGGGGGACCCCGAAACAGCGGGGGGGAAAGCAGAGACCCCCACAGGGACACCCCCCGAGACATGCCCCCACCCAGAACCGCCCGACGTCACCCCTCCCCACATCCCCCACGGCCCCCCCCCCCCCGCCCACCAGCAGCAACTCCCCTCCCCACGGCCTCTGGCGACCCCAAGAAACCCCCAAGACGAAGCATCCCCTAGCCCCGGTGGCCCCACGGGAGCCCCGCCGTCGCCTGGCCCCACGGAGTCTCCCGGTCGCCCTCCCACGGACCCCGGGGCCACAAACCCCCACCCCGGACAGGGTTTCAGCCCGTCCCGGCGGTGCCCACAGGCAGAAAACAACGCGTGGGCATCGACTGCCCCGTCCCGCGAGGGCCCCGTGGGCAACACTTCCCGTGTGGCAAGCACCCTACATGCCCCAGTTCCCCGTGGGTGCCCACTGTCTCCCCCCCACCGCAGGAACGAGCTTCGCGGCGGCACCGAGGTGAGGACGGAGCGAGAGCCCCCGCGCCGGGCTGGACACAACCGGGGCCCCCCCGCACCGGGGGGGTGCGGCCGCGGCTATTCCGGGACGCAGCTCTGCGGGTACCGGCCGGAGGCGGCGGCAGCCCCGGACCAGCGCAGCCCCCCCGGCAGCCGCGCACCGGGAGCGGCCCCGATTTCACTCCGGTGCCAGCGGAGGAAGCGCAGTCGCCGCCCACCCGGTACCGGCACTCGGGGAGCGGTCGCACCCCCCCCCCCCCAAACACACACACTTTGGGGGGCGCAGACATTCGCGGCGCGCAGCAGGACCGGACCCCCGGAACCAGACATCCCCATCCCCCCCCCCCCCCACCTCACACGTCCCCCCGTTACGGACCCGCCGTTACCGGACCCCCCGTTCCCGGCTGTACCTGGGTGAGGCAGTACGGGGAGTACATGGCGGCGGTGTCAGCCGCGGCGGGGCATGGCGGGGAGTCCGGGGGGGCCGGGGGGCCGGGAGGGTCCCGGCTCCGGGGGTGTAGGTGCCGGCGGCGCGCGGGGAAAGTTTGCCCGAAGTTGGCGCCCGCCGCACTTTTGCCGCGGGAAGCGCCGCGTCGGCCACGCCCCCTCCAGGCCCCGCCCCGCCCCGGACACGCCCACCCCGGGACCGGACCCGCCCACTCGTCGTGGGGGCTCCGCCCACCTCCGCCGTGAGACACGCCCCCGCCCCTGTGGACACGCCCCCCCCGCCGGGACGGTACGAGGGAGGACACGGGGGGGACACGGAGGGACACGCACACGGGGGTCGTGGGAACAGGGGTCCCCCACCCGTCCCCGCGGCCACCGGGCCCCAGCGACAGGACCCGGGAGCTGCGGCGGGTCTCCACTGGTGCCACTGGTGGCCGTGCCACTGGTGGCAGCAGGGGCAGAGGCGGCACAGTCCGGTGGCCGTGGTGGCAGCGCTGTGGCGGTGGCAGTGCCCGTGACACTGACCTCACAGTGACAGTGCCAGTGCCGGTGACAGTGCCGTGGTGTGGTGTGGGTGACAGTGACAGTGGCAGTGCCGTGGTGTGGGTGACAGTGACAGTGCCATGTTGTGGTGTGGGTGACAGTGACAGTGGCAGTGCCGTGGTGTGGGTGACAGTGGCGGTGACAGTGGTAGTGCTGGGGTGTGGGTGACAGTGCCAGTGCCATGTTGTGGTGTGGGTGACAGTGACAGTGACAGTGCTGTGGTGTGGGTGACAGTGATGGTGCCATGGTGTGGGTGACAGTGGCGGTGACAGTGGTAGTGCTGGGGTGTGGGTGACAGTGCCAGTGCCATGTTGTGGTGTGGGTGACAGTGACAGTGGCAGTGCCGTGGTGTAGGTGACAGTGATGGTGCCATGGTGTGGGTGACAGTGGCGGTGACAGTGGTAGTGCTGGGGTGTGGGTGACAGTGACAATGCCATGTTGTGGTGTGGGTGACAGTGACAGTGGCAGTGCCGTGGTGTGGGTGACAGTGATGGTGCCATGGTGTGGGTGACAGTGGCGGTGACAGTGGTAGTGCTGGGGTGTGGGTGACAGTGGCGGTGACAGTGGCAGTGCCGGGGTGTGGGTGACAGTGGCGGTGACAGTGCCATGGTGTGGGTGACAGTGACAGTGGCAGTGGCAGCGGTGGTGACAGTGGCGGTGGCAGCCTCATCTGTCATTCCGGCTGCGGCTGCGTCCCTCCGCCATCTGTCACCGCCCGGTGCCAGCGCTGGCACCGCCACCGTCACCCCTTCACTGCCGGAGACTCCGGCTCCACCGTGGCCTGACGCACTGGGGGGGGGGGGGGGAAGCTTTGGGGTGCCCTGGGGTGCCCCCGGGTGTCCCTGGGCCTGGGGACCCACGGCCAGAGGGGACCCTGGGAGTTGGGGGGTGGGAGGGGGGTGTCTCTACAATCCCTGCAGGCGGGGGGGGGGGGGGAGGGTGGGCACAGCTGGGCCCCCCCCCTGTGCTGGGCTGCTGCCATGCGTTTGGGGGGGGGTAGTGGAGGGAGTCCTGCCATCCTGCGGGGGACAAAGAGGGGGGACATGGGGGGACGCGGCTGCACGAAGCCCCCCCTGGCACACAGGGGGACCTGGGGACAGGGTGGTCCCAGGTGTCTGGGCACCCGCTGAGCCTGTGGCCGGAGGGGACAGTCCCCATGTCCGTGTGCACACACGTGTGCAGCCAGCATGTGTTGCCCAGGGCCCATCGAGCCCCTCCGTGTCGTTCCCCGCCCCCCCCCTCGTCCCCACCAGCTGCTCGGGGGCCGCCAGCGCCAGATGTGCCGCCGCGACCGGCTGGGGCCGCAGATGGAGCCGAGCAGGGGCGGGCGGGCAGGGGCTCGCACATGCTGACACATGCAACAACACGCCCTGACACGCCACCACACGCAGTGACACGCCCTGACATGCAATGGCACGCCATGCCATGATGTGCAATGACATGCCCTGACACGCAATGCACACCCTGATGTGCTGTGACATGCCCTGACACGCCACCACACGCAGTGACACGCTCTGACATGCAATGGCATGCCATGATGTGCAATGACATGCCCTGACATGCAATGCATATCCTGACATGCTGTGACGTGCCCTGACATGTTGCGACATGCAGTGACACGCCCTGACATGCCATGCCATGCTTTGACATGCCACAACATGCAACAACACACCCTGACATGCCAGGATGTGCAATGACAGCACAGCACGTCACCTGCCAGCCCCGGGGACACACATGGGACAGGGACCCCCGTGTCCACGCCGCACCCCCCACCCCTGAGGCTGGACATGAAAATCCCGGGTGGGGAGAAATGCGCCCCCCCCCGGGTATAAATCTGGGGCTGGGGGGGGTCTCCTGGGCAGAGGAGGACAAAGGCAGAAGCAAAGGAAATGCAGAGGCCCCAAAATCAGCCAAAACTGCCCCAAAATGGGCCAGTTTCCAGCCCCTCCCCTTGGCCGGGTTTAGGGGGGCCCTGGGTTCACTGAGGGGGGGAACGGGACACGGGACAGGAGCACGGCCACCAGCTGGTGGGGGGGGGCTGCCGCGGGGGCGGGGGGGCCCGGCCGCCTGGCTCACCCCCCGCCCCCGGGGACGGTTTTGGTGTAATTCGGGGGGGATTTGGGTTCTGGTTCGCAGCAGATTTTTGCCAGCTGCCGAGGCCTGGAAGCCATTAGAGGCCTCCCCCCCCCCCCCGGCCCCCGGCAGCCCCAGCCAGAGACGGGGAGGGGGGGCCGATCCAGGCGTCCGGGGGCCCTGGCCCCCCCGTGGGGCCCACGCGAGGAGCGGACCCAGGCGTCCGGGTACCCCCCACCCCATTTTCCCATCACTCGGCTGCACGGACACACCCACACCCACACCCCCCCCCGCGATCCCCCCTCGCCGGAGACCCAGGAGTCGGGGGGGGGGGGGCGCTGCTCCCGGGCGCGGGGGGGGGCCGGCGGCGGGCAGGGAGGGGTTAACGCCGCCGAGCCCTTGGCAGCGCGCGCCGGGGTTTGGCTCGGGCTAAAAAAGTGGAGGGGGGGGGGGGGGGGGGGGCGGGGAACCCGCGCCCAGCCCAAATTATTCCCCCTCCAAGTCCCGGGGGCGGGGCGGCGGTTTCGGAGGATCGCGGAGGGGAGCGCCCCGCCCCCGCTCCCGTTTTCGGGGTGCCCCCCGCCCCCAGGGGGGTCCCCAACACACCCCCCGCGGTGTTCCCAACACCAAGGGGATCCCCCCCCCCCACCCCCCGGGGATCCCCACCACCACCCCCCGGGGTCCCCAACACCAAGGGGATACCCACCCACACCCCCGCGGGGTCCGTCCCCCCCCCCGTTACGAATCATCCCCACTATCGGGGTCCCCCATCCCCGTTGGGGTCCCCCAGGCTGCTCCCCGCCCCCGTCCGTCACCTCCCTGCCCGGCTTCCGCCCGCGCCTTCAGCCGCTTCCGGCGCGTCACTTCCGCCGGCCGCTCAAGATGGCGACGCCCTTGCAGCGGGGCCTGGTGGCGGCGCTGGGCCGGGCCCGGGCCTCGCTGGTGATCGCGGCCCCGGCTCGGTCCTACCGGGCGGCCCCGCTGCGGCGCGGGCGGGGGGCGGCGGCCCCGGCGAATCCCGCGGACCTGCGGGAGGCGGCGCGGCGCTTCGGGCGGTTGGGGGACGCGGCGCAGGTGCCGGTGTGGCGGCTGTGGCCGGATCCCGAGCGGCTGCGGGCGCTGCAGGCGGAGGAGCGCGAGTGGGACCCGCCGTTGCGGGAGGTGGAGGCGGTGCTGGACCAGCGCGAGCGGGAGGAGGCGCGGCGGCGCGAGGAGAGGTTGGGGCGGGGCACTGGGACGGGGCGACGGCGGGGCTGGCACCGGGGTCCGGGGGGAGAATTGGTGGAACGGGGATCGGGGTGTGAGGGGAGCTGGTGCAGTGGGGACTGCGGCTCCGGGGGATGCTGGTGGGAATGGGATCGCGGTCCGGGGGGAGCTGGGGGCACTGGTGGGACTGCGGGGGGGGGAAACGGGATCTGGAGACGCTGGGGGGGGGGGGGAAACGTGGGCACTGGGAAAAGCGGGACTGTGTTTGGGCGTGAGGGAGGGCACCGGTGGGAATGGGATTGGGGTCCAAGGGAAGCTGGGGACACTGGTGGGGCTGGGATCAGGGTCCGGGGGCCGCTGGGGGCCACTAGTGAAAAGCGGGAGATAGTGAGGGGAACGGTAGGCACTGGTGGGACTGGGATCAGGTTGGGGCAGGGAGGGGGGAGGCACTGGTAAAAACTGGGAGAAATAGAATTGGGGCTGGTGATAGAAGTGGGCTCGGGTGGGCGGGGCACTAGGGAGAATTAGCAGCTACACTGGTGGCACTGGGTGAACTAGCGACACGGCCGGGAGCACGGGAACGCGCTGGGTGGAACCGGGAGCGCGGGGATGTGTCCCCATTGCGGGGGGTGCCCCCCTCTCTGTCCCCCCCCCTCAGGCAGCAGCTGGTGGCCCGCAGCCTGGCTGCCATGCCGGAGCGGGTGAACGCCTGGCGCCAGGAGCGGGCACGGGCCCGGGAACGGGCACGGGAGGAGGCAGCACGGCGGCAGCGGCTGCTGGCCGAGGCTGGGCTGGGGGGGCCCCATCGCCCCGGAACTGCCCCCCACAGCAGCCCCCGTGTCCAGGAGATGCTGAAGGAACTGGAGCAGCGGCAACGGCGGGAAGAGAAGCGCCGGCGGCGGGAGGAGCGGGAGGCAGCTGCCCGTGATGCCATGGCCGCCGCCGAGGCTGCTGCTGCCTCCCGGCCCCCGCCGGTGCCCCCCGCTTCTGACCAATGACCAACCCCCCCCCCCCCCCCAAGTCTCAAATCACACCCACGCAACCCTAAACTGGTTTTAAAATTCTGCGTTTAATCTCTTCCCCCCCATCCCGAGTTGTAGTTCTTCCTAGGGTGCTGCCCCCCCCCCACCCCCCTGGGGCTGGATGGGGGAAGGGGGGGGTGGGGGGACAGGAGAAAGCGATTTGCCGAACACCCCCCTTGGGGGGGGGGGGGGAGGGTGGGTGCTGCTTCAGGGGCCCCACCGATTGCTGCTGCTCCCTTGGGGGGTGGCGGGGCTGAGGCCCAGGGCGGGTCCCAGTCCCACCCCTCCCCAAAAGGCAGCACCCCATCCCTAGGGCGGGGCCATACAGAGCTATGTATTCCCCACCCCACCCTGATGGAACCCCCTGGAGGCAGTGTGGGCCCCGTGACCCCCCTCCCCCCCCAAAGGAGGGGGGAGAGTAGGGGGGCGCCTGCCCCGGCCCCTCAGTCGTCGTCAAAGTTCTGGCTGAGCAGGAAGTTGGCCGCCAGGTTCTCGTTCTTCTCGCAGGCGAAGTAGGCCTGGATCACCAGGCTCTCGGGGAAGCCCAGTGCCTTCAACTGCAGGGGGAGAGCGTTCACTCTGGGCCCTACTGACATCCCAAAGCAGGCACAGGCTCCTGCCGCCACCGTTAACTCCAATGTTAGCTCTATACATGTTACCAGTGGGGAATCTGGTCCTTAATGGTAGCTGAACAGCAGTTACTGCTTTTCTGGTTTTACACTAACAGTTGCTGTTAACTCTGAAGCGCAACGACCACGGCCTCACTGTTGTGACCGTGCTGTGCATGCTCTGGTTCCTAATGCCAGCTCTAAGACTGTTTCTCTGCCTTCCTCAGTGCTGTACACTCTGGCTCCAACTGATGGCTGCATGTTACTTCTAGTGACTTGTGTCCATGGATCAGCCCCACTGTTAACTCCAGTCCCTATTGATAACTAGAAGCCTTTCCTGTACCCCACCCATGCTACCGCATTGCCCCCCCTGCAGCGGCCCCCTGACCTTACCCTCTCTATGGCTTCTTTTTCCTGAGGCGTCACCTGGATGTAGTTCATCTGGGGGGACTCATCCCCGATGGCGCCCATCTCCCCCTCGAGGTCGCCCAGCTCCCCCAGCGGCTCGTTCAGCATCTGGATGAACTGCTCCTGGTGCTGGCTGATTTGCTGGGGCAGGGAGAGAGGGGATGGGGGTGAGTCAGGGGATGCCGGGGGGGGGGGATTCTGGGGGGGTTTCCAAGGGGATGTGGGTACCTGAAGCAGCTGGGGGTTCTCCTGGCCCAGCTGCTGGAGCAGGGCGGGCAGCAGGGCCGGGTTCTGCTGGATCACCTGCCGCATGTTCTGGAACTGGGGCTGCTCCCGCAGGAACTCCAGCGGGTTCTCCCCTGTGGGGGGGCGGGGTCAGGCCTGGCGGAGCCACACCCATGGGGAGGGGGCTGGCTGGGACACACCTCCATCACATCCAGGAGGTGGGGCCACTGACAAGCCCCGCCCAGGGAAGGTGGGATATTCCCCAGTGCTGTGGAGGGAGGCGGAGCCTGGAGCAGCACCACCTACCTGCTGACCACGCCCACCCCGGCAAGCCACACCCACTGAGGGGGCAGTACCTATATCGGCCACACTCTCAGGGAACCAGTGGTGTTTCCCTGGGGGGCGGTTCTTAGTACTGAGACACGCCCCCAAGGGGAGGGGCATCATCACCACACCCAATGGGAAGGGGCACCCGGGCCATACCCCAAAGGTGTCAGAGCATCCCAGTACCACCAGCCCATCTGCTGGGGTGTGGCCAGGTGTGGCCCTGCCCAGTGGGCGTGTCCCTGGAAGCCCCACCCCACCAACCTTCTGGCGCTGGCTGCTCGGGGGGGCGGCTCTCCTGCACGGGTGGGCGCTCAGGCTCCGGGCTGCCTGGGATACCCTGGGGGCAGGAGGGGGTCAGGGGGACCCTGAACCCCCTGGGGCCCCTCCCGTGCCCCCCCATCACCCCCCACCCCCCCTCCCCAGCTCACCGTCAGCAGGTACTCGACGGCGCGGTGGGGGTTGTTATAGCTGGCACGCAGTGCAGCCACCACCCGCTCCCGCTCGTACCCCATCGACATGATCTCCGTCAGCATCGTCTCGTACTCCGAACCCGTCACTGCCGGTCCCGCGTCAGCGCTGGTCCTGGGACCCCCCCCCCCAGCCCCAAGACCCCCACCCCTCCCCTTCACCGTCATTGCCCCATGACCAGCACCCCAAACCTCAAAGACCTTCCACTTATCAGTCCCATTCCCTCAGTTGGGGTCCCCCAAAAACATCTTCCACAGCACCTCCCCCTGTACTCCATCCCCATTCAGGACCACCCCCACACACACCTTACACCCCCCCCAGTCCAGAGCTTTCCCCCTGCCAGTGGCCACCACATGCCAGGAAGCACCCTCCCCAAAACCTCTCTGGGGACCACAAGTCTCCCCACACCATGGATCCCTCCGCATCGCCTCCCCCTCCTCCCGTCCCCCCCTTCCCCACACCCAGGGCCCCCCCCCCCGCCCCTGGCACCCACCGAGGGTGGAGGCAGCATCGGCCGAGCGCCCCGCGCTACCTGCGGGGGGAACAGAGCTGCGGATTCAAGAGAGAGATGTGGCAGGCGGGGCCTTTCTGGGAGCTCCGGCCCCCCTCAAAAAACCCCCTGTGGCCCCCCACACCCCCCCATTCTGCTCCAGCCTGCATTCTCCTGCTATTCCCCCTCCCCCAAATCTCCTCTGTGCTAGTCCTTAATCCCTCGCAGACCCGCCGAATACTCTGTTTCGCCTTTTCCCGTGCCCCAGCCGCAGAGTCCGACAGAATTAGACCCCAAGCCCCCAGTTCCCCCTCCCTGGGTCCCTGCCTCCCTCCTTACCCCGCCCCGGGCTCCGAGAGGGTGAGTGGAGGGAGGTCATGGGATGGTGTCTCCTCGCTGGGAGCAGCCGGCGGCGGGGGGACAGCATCTGCAGCTGGGGGGGGCCCTGGTGCTGCGGGAGGCTCCGAGGTGCCACCAGCTCCAGCCTCAGGGGCTGCGGTGCCCAGCGACGACTTAGCCTGGGAGAGGGGGGGGGGGGGTGGGTGGAGCGTCCCCTTCTAGGGACCATTTTGGGGTAGGATCTGGAGGGTGTGTGTCCCACCTTGGTCACCATGACGACCACAAAGTTCTTCTCATCGATGCGATACTCGCGGATGGGAACGTCATCACTCAGGATCTTCCCGGCATAGATGAGCTTCTGCCCTGCCACGGGGAAAGCATCGCTCCCCTTCTCTGCCTCAATCTTCTCTTTCAGTGCCCGCACCTGAAGGGGGGGGGAATGCGAGGCGGGGTCAGGCTCAATCCCCAAAAACATAAGGTTGAACCAAAATCAACAAGGGCCTCCCCCTTGAGACAGGGGAGTCACCATCCCACCCAGGGCCCGCAAAGCAACAGCTCCAAGGATTAGGGAGGCGGCGTCCGGGGGGGGGGGGGGGGGGGGGGGGGGGGCGGGCGAGGGCTCAACCACCCCAACATTCAGCCCCCCACACAGATAATTCCCCTCAACAGCCCCCCACAGCGTGCAGATGGCCCAGGTAACCTATCCCCCCTCGCGGGGTGCACTGGGGAGCCCTAAGGCTGCGCAACGACAGAAACCACACCCCCCCACCACCCCGACAGCTGACGCTGCAGAGGGCACGGCACCCATCGCCCCCATCCCAAAAAGGCAGCAGGCGAAGGGGGACACGGAGCCCCCCTCCCGGACTCCGCCCGAGGCTCCATCCCGCACCGGACGAGGCGCGGGGACCCGGGGTGCCCCGCTGCGGGGGAGGCGCCGGGCCCCGCCCGCGGGATCGGGCCCGCTGGAGGCCGATGCGGGGGGGCAGCCCCGGCCTTGCCCCCCGCCCCGGGGCCGCGCTCACCGTTTCGTGCGGTTCCATGCGGATTTTGAAGGTTTGCTGCTGCAGCGTCTTCAGCGTCACGGTCACCGCCATGGCGCGGCGGCGTCTCCTCCCGGCGGCCCCACAACATGCAACTCACGCCGCCGCCATCTTAGGCGCCCCGCCGCTTCCTCCACGTGACGCGCTGCCGGAACCGGCGTCACAGCACGCGGGCTCCCTTGCCCGCACTCCCGAGTCACGTGACGCGGCGGGGGGGAGGGGGGGGAAGAGTAAGGCGCCGCGGCGTCACGTGACGCGCGCAGCGGCACAAAATGGCAGCCGCGGTGGGAGGGGTAAGATGGCGCGGGCGAAACGAGCGGGACGGAGGCGGCGGCCGGGAACGAGCGTTAATTTAATAGAAACCGGATCGCGTCACCCGTACAGCCACGTGCGCCCGCGGAGCCCTACACCCCCAACCTCCCCCCCTTCCCTCCCCCCCAACCCGGCCCCCTTCCTGAGTCCTCGCCCCGCGGGCCCATCCCGGTCCCGGTCCCCATTCCCGTCCCGGTGGGGCGGCGGCGCCCGTACAAAACAGTCCAGGTCTCACAGAGACACTCCGGCCGTGCCGCCGCTCACAGCTCGTCCCGCGGCGCCGCCGCCTCCTCGGCCTCAGCCTCAGGCTCTTCCTCCTCATCCTCCTCTTCATCGTCCCCGTCCCCCTCCTCGTCCCCCTCTTCTTCCTTCTGCTGCTTCTCCTCCTCCTCCTGCTTCTTCCGCTGCTCCTCATCCTGCTGCTCCTTCATCTTCCTCTCTGCCTCCTGCAGGACACGAGGAGGTCACGGGGGGGGGGGGGGGGAGGCCCAGGGGGGTCCCCAGGGGTCCCATCCCCTCCCCTACCTTGGTGGCCCCCCAGGTCTCGTTCCCAATCTCCTCCGCCAGCTTCTCGTCATCCGTGATGAGAAAATTATCGAAGATGGTGCCAGACTTCACCTGCGGGGGACCTGGGGGTCAGGGGAGCACCCACAGGGTGGGGGACAGAAGCGGGTGGGGGTCCCTGTGCCCCCCTCACCTGCCAGAGGTCCAGCCCGATGACCCCGAAGCTGTCATAGGCGTAGAGGTGGGGGTCGGGGCTGTACTCGGGGTTGTCGATCTCGGGGTGCACCCACTTCCCCTTGTAGTCGGGGTTGTCGATCTGCTGGGGCCTCCACTCACCCTGGGGGGATGGGGCAGGAGGGGGTGTGGGGTCAGGGGGGTACACAAAGGCACAGCCCATCCCCCACAGACCCTCACCCCCCCTCCAGCCTCACCTTGTACTCGGGGTTCTGGATGACGGGGGGCTCCCACTCCCCATCCATCTCCTCATCCCAGTCCTCTGGCTTCTTGGCGTCAGGGTCAGGGATGTGCTCGGGTTTGTCCCAGTCCTGGGGGGCTGGGTAGGGTCAGGGCTCCGCTGCAGCACCCCCAAACCCACACCCCCACCCACCCCCAAAGTCCCCCCCACCTCTGGTTTGGTGTCCTCAGGGTCATCGATCTTGGCCCGCTCATCCCAGTCATCGGGTTTCCGGGCCTCGGGGTCCTTGATCTTCCTGGGGGGCAGGAAATCCCAATCCTCCTCCAAGCTGCCCGACTCTACCCGCCCGTTATCGATCTTCACCTCATAGGTGTTGTCAGGCCGCACCACCAGCGTGTAGAGGTGGGTAAACTCATCATCCTGCAGGGAGGGGGGAACTCAGTGGGGTCCAGGACCCCCCCACAGGGCAGGTCCAGGCCCCCCACCCACCTTGCAGCGGATGTCCTTGTTGATCAGGACGTTCTTCCCCTTGTAGTTGAAGATAACATGGACCTTCTTGGTTCCAGGGCCACAGATGTCGGGGCCTAGGGGGGAGCAGGGCGTGATGGCAGGGCCCCCCACATCACTGGAGGGGGGGCCTCGGTGGGGAGCAGGGACCCACCAAACATGATGTTGTACTCTGAGTCGCCATGCATGTCCTCCTGGCTCAGGCTGGCCGGGAAAAGTTTGATGTAGCCGCCGCCGCAGTCAATGTTCTGTTCGTGCTTCACCGTGAACTGCACCACCAGCGTCTTGTCCCGGTTGCTGAAGGGCTCAAAGCGGGAGGAGATGGCGTAGAACCGGGCATCCTGGCTCGTCTGGATCCCTGCGGGATGGGGGTGCATTGGGGCAGGGGAACATTGGGCACAGCCCAGCCCCTGGGGTCCCCACCCAGCACAGCCCCCTCACCTTTATCCTTCTCGGCATCGCCGTAAAATTTCCCAGCCGTGAGGACAAACCGGCCATAGTCAGGCTTGTGCTTTGATTCCACCCACCGGCGGGTCCAGGCATCTGCGGGAGGAGAGCGCTCAGGACCCCAAGCCCCCTCCCCATGGCCCAGGAGCCAGCAGCGGGGCAGCTCCCGGCTAGGCCCATCGAGAAGAGCTGTCCACCTGCACCCACAGCCAGAGCTGGGGGCCCTGCCATCACTCCTCCCCCCTGCCCCCCAGCGCTGGGAGCCCCCGAGGGAACTTGGGGTGTCTCTTGCTCTGGAACTGTAGGAGAATGGAGGATCCCAGAGAGACAAACCCCCAGTATGAGCAAGCTCCTCTCCAGCCTCCCACCACAGGGAACACCCCAGTTCCCAAATCTCACTCTCCAGTGAGGAGCCCTCCACTCCTGACAGCCCCTATCCACCACCTCTTTGGCCCCCCAAGCTGAGGGGAACCTCTCAGCCCCTGTACCCTCCCAGGACCCCATTCCTCAGCTCGGGGCTGGCTTGCTACACACAGTTCTCCCCAGGACCCCCATTCAAGTGTGCTCTGATCCCCCCCTCCATCTTTCCCCTGACCCCTACCCCTCTCCCGTATCTCCCAGCACCCCTTATCTTTCCTAGCGCTACCTGAGAACTGAACCACAGCACTCACCCCCCTCTACCTGCCCTAACCCTCACCCTCCTCACCCCCCATCCACTCCCATAACCCAGACACCCCCCGCCTCAGCCCCTAGCCTGCAGCTGAGGAGAGGCCTCCCGGCCCCCCTCAACCCTCTCTCGCCTCAGGAAACACGCTGGGTCCCCACAGCCCCTCACCTCACGGGACTCCCTGTCCACTCCCTATAGCTCAGGGAACCCCCCAGGTCCCCACCGCCCACCTCCACCTCAGAGACGCTCTTTCACCTCAGGGGACCCCACAGATCCCCTCCCGGCCCCCCCTCACCTCCGTCCCCGAACTCCTCCCGAAAGAAGGGGCTGGGCCCGGCCGCCGCCAACGCCAAGAGGGCTCCGAGCAGGACGGGGAGGCTGAGGCGGCTCATGGCGGCGGTCCCACGCGGCGCGCGCTCGTCCCCTCACGGCCCGGCGGCGCCCGGCACTGCGGAGGGGGGCGGTGGCGGCGCCCGTTTTTATTCGCCCACCGCCCCTCGGCCCGCCCCCAGCGGCGGCCCATTGGCCCGCGCCCGCTCCGGGCCCGCTCCCATTGGCCGGCCGCCCGCTGGCCGGCGGCGGCGGCGCCCCCGAACGTTGGCGTCCCAGATGGCCGCTTCCCATTGGCTGAGCACTGCGGCCAATGAAGAGCGACCACGCGTTCGGAGGGAGACGCCCCCCCCTCCCCTCCCGCGCGCTCCTGTCCTTCCTCCACGGGGGTGCGTCACCGGTCACCGCAGTCACGTGTGGCCGGGCGCTCTTAAAGGGCCAGGCCTCCTGCAGACCACGTGGGGGGAGCGGTGTTCGCCATCCCATCATGGCACCGGGAAGCGGATGCGGGCCCCGACATGGCGGGGGGGGGGACGACACACAGGCATGGGGCAGGGGGCCTCCTCCTCGGTCTCGGAGATTGATGACCTAACACGGAGCTGTGATGCAACGAGGACGCCATACGGCCCGATGATGTCACAGCAACGCGGGAAGGCTCAGGCTGGGGGGGGGGGGGGAGCGCTACAGTGACGTAGCTCCGGTGTTCCCCGCATCCGCCCCCAGGAGCTGTTGCCATGGCGACCTGGCGGTCGGTGTCACAGGCCCCGGGGGCAGTCATCGCCATGGTGACAGGTCCAAGGAGGGGCATGTGCTCCCCCCCAGGCCCGGGGCTATGTGGTAAACATGACGCCACGCCAGTCTCACGGCGCCGCCACACTCAAGATGGCGCCCGCCGCCCTCCGCCCCGCCCCTTCCGGCCGACGCGGCCGCCGGTTCCGGCCGGTCCCAGGGGCCGCGATGGCGCCGAGCGTGGCCGAGCTGCTGCTGCAGCGGCTGGAGCGGGCGGCGGCGGGGCCCGGCGGGGGTCTCTGCAGCCTGGAGGCGGCCGCCGCGCTCGGCCTCGACCACCAGACGCTGGTGGGGGCCGTCAAGAGCCTCCAGGCGCTCGGGGAGGTGGGATCGGGGTACCGGGGGTGGGATCGGGGCACCGGGGGTGGGACACTCGCAGTGGGACCGGGCATCGGGGATGGGATCGGGGTACCGGGGCTGGGAGCGGGGGATGGGGAGGGGACACCCGCAGTGGGACCGGGTGCCGGGGTTGGGAGCAGGCACCGGGGACACTGGGAGTAGGGCCGGGGTACAGGGGATGGGACCGGGACACTCTCGGTGGGATTGGGTACCGGGGGTGGGAGCGGACACCGGGACCCCGGCAGTGGGTCGCCGCTGGGGCCGCCGGGCCGGTGCTGCCCGCCGTGCCGGTGCCACTGCCCGCAGGTGATCGAGGCGGAGGCGCGGGCGGCGCGGCGGTGGGAGCTGAGCCCCGAGGGTGCGGACGTGCTGCGGGACGGCAGCCCCGAGGTGCGGCTCTTCCGCAGCCTCCCGGCTGAGGGGCTGCCGCAGAGCGACGCCATGGTAAGCACCGGGGGGGGGGGGGGTTACCGGGGGGGCACCAGGTCCCTCTCACGTTTCCCCCTGTCCCTGCAGAAGCTGCCCGGAGGCTCGGTGGGCTTCAGCAAGGCCATGGCCAACAAGTGGCTGCGCCTGGAGAAGGGGGCAGCCGGCGGCCCCCGCGTCTTCCGCGCTGTGAGTGTCTGGGGGGGGGGGAGCTGTTAGAGTCTTGGGTGGGCAGGAGGGTTCTGGGGGGCGTTGGGGAGTGTCCAGAGAGGGGCAGGAGGGTCCGGAGGGGGGGCAGGAGGGTCCCCGGGTGGGGATTGATGAGGATCCCTCAGGGGGGATTAATGAGGGTCCACCCTGGAGGGCTGGGAATGTCCCGGGGGGATCTACAAGGGTCCCCTGGGGCCAGGTGTGTCCCGGGGCGGGGATCGATGAGGGTCCCTGGGGGGGGATCAATGACGGTCCCCCCTGAGGAGGCTGGGAGTGTTCCCGGGGGGGGGGGGGGGGGGATCAGGGGTCCCCTCGGGGACACCAGGGAGGGGTGTCCCAGGGGGGCCCTGTCGGGTATGTCCCTGTCCTTGGGGCCTATCTCCAGCCCCCTGGGTTCCCCGGGGGTGTGTGTGTGTGTGTGTGTCTGTCTCCCATCTCATCCCCCGGGCCGCCCCCCCCTCCGGCATCCCCGCAGGTGGCAGAGGTGCAGGACAGAGTGCAGGAGACCCTGCAGCGGGTGCAGCGGGGGGAGGCTGAGAGCCTGCCCGAGCGTGACCTCGCCGAACTCAAGAGGAGGAAGCTGCTGCTGGAAGTGTGAGCAGTGGGGGGGGGGGGCAGAGCAGGGTAAGGGGGGGGGGCAGGTTTGGGGGTGCACCCCCTGACCCCCCCCACCCCTCCCCAGCACCCTCAAGTCCTACTGGATCCGCAAAGGCAGCGCCTTCAGCACCGCAGTGGCGCGGCAGGAGACGGAGCTGACGCCGGAGATGATCGCGACGTGAGTGGGGAGGGGGAAAGCTGACCTTGCTGTGATCCCCTGACCTTGCCCTGACCCTGCTGTGACTCCCTGACCCCCCCTCGGCAGGGGCTCCTGGCGGCAGCTCCCCTTCAAGCCCTACAACTTCTCAGCGCTGGGGCTGCCACCCGCCTGCGGCCACCTCCACCCCCTCCTGAAGGTGCGCTCCCAATTCCGCCAGATCTTCCTGGAGATGGGGTGAGTGGGGGGGATCCTGGGGGACCCGGGGGAGGAGCCCCCCGGCCCAGGGTCGCAGCCCCCCCCCCCCCCCCTTAACACCGCGGCCTCCCCCCCAGCTTCACAGAGATGCCCACCGACAACTTCGTGGAGAGCTCCTTCTGGAATTTTGATGCCCTCTTCCAACCCCAGCAGCACCCAGCCCGCGACCAGCATGACACCTTCTTCCTGCAGGGTGGGTGCTGGGAGTGGGGAGAGGGGTGGGATACAATGGCACCCCCAAATCAATCCGACTGACCCCCCCCTCCTGCATCTCTGCCTGCCCCCCAGACCCCGCCGAGGCCCCTGACCTGCCTGCCGGATACACGGCCAAGGTGAAGAAGGTCCACTCACAGGGAGGCTACGGCTCACAGGGGTGAGGGTGAAACCCTGGGGCAGGGGTGCGTTGGGGGGCTGTGCCCCCCACCCCCAGGCCATGCCCCCACCCCGCTGAGCCACCCCCCCAGGTACAAGTATGAGTGGCGGCTGGAGGAGGCACGGAGGAACCTGCTGCGTACCCACACCACATCTGCCAGCGCCCGTGCGCTCTACCAGCTGGCCCGCCAGGTAGGATGAATTTGGGGGGGGACACACATGCATGGAGAGGGTTTGAGGGGGCCCTGCCTAACCCCACTCCTCCTTTGTCAACCTGCCCCCCGCCCCCAGGAGAAGTTCTCCCCTGTGAAGTACTTCTCCATCGACCGGGTCTTCCGCAACGAGAGCCTGGATGCCACCCACCTGGCTGAGTTCCACCAGGTGGAAGGGGTGGTGGCCGACCGAGGCCTCACCCTCGGCCACCTCATGGGCATCCTCCGGCAGTTCTTCACCAAGCTGGGTACGGGTGGGGGCACTGGGTGGGGTACCGGGGGCTCCGCAGGGCCCCGCTCACCCCGCTCTGTCCCCAGGTATCACTCAGCTACGCTTCAAGCCAGCCTATAACCCCTACACGGAACCCAGCATGGAGGTGTTCAGCTACCATGAGGGTGAGGGGGGGGCCCCAGGGGTCTGCATGGGTGCCCCATGGAGCAAAGGGGTCCTGGGGGGGGTCTACATGGGCTGCCAAAGGAGCCCCCCAGGGTCTGCGTGCACCCACAGAACAGGGAGGGGAACCCCATGGTCTGCATGTGTCCCCACAGAGCAAGGGGAGAGCTTGGGCAACTTTTTGGGGTGGCAGCCTGCTTAGCCTCATTCACTCCCCTACGTGGTGGGGGGCTTTGTTATGGGACCTGGGGGGGGGGGGGGGTAGTCTGCTCTCACTCCATCTGAGGAAGGGGGGGTTCTCTGTGGTGCCCTGTGAATAGGGCCCCTGTCTGACCCCTCCTGGGGCGGTGGCCCCCACCTCCCTCCCCAGGGCTGAAGAAGTGGGTGGAGGTGGGGAACTCCGGGGTCTTCCGCCCTGAGCTGCTGCTGCCCATGGGGCTGCCCGAGAACGTCTCTGTTATCGCCTGGGGGCTCTCACTGGAGCGGTGAGTCGGGACGGGGGGCGGGGGGGCGCAGCCGGGACCCTGTCTCGGGGAGGGGGCCACCCCCACCTGCGCTGACCTCCCCCCCCCTTTCCTGCACCAGCCCCACCATGATCAAGTATGGCATCAACAACATCCGTGAGCTGGTAGGGCACCGCGTCAACCTCCAGATGGTCTACGACAGCCCCCTCTGCCGCCTGGACGCCTAGGCCGCGGCCTCCCCGGCGGGGACCCCCTCAATAAAGCCCTTTTGTCCGACCAGACGCCTGTGCCCGTTTTGGGGACGGGGACCACGCGTGGGGCGGTGCTGGGGGCCCTCACAGGGCTGTGGAGGAGCCGCCCGCACAGACGCTCCAGCCCCGCAGCGCCTCAGCTCGGCGGATCCCGCACTGGGGAAACCTCCCTGCCCCTCAGCCGGCCTCCCGCACCCACGGGCCGCCGGTTCCCGGTCCCCCCCCCCCCCGCCGCGCTCCGTACCGTCCCGTTCCCCCGGCGCCATCGCGGCTCCGTCTCTTCAGCGCCCGGCCCTTCCCGCCTTTTCCCGCGCCGCCTCTCATTGGCCGCCCCGCGGCCCAGGCGGACGCCGATTGGCCGGCGCTGATGCCCGTCGCCCGCCGAGGCTCCGCCCGCCATGCTTTCCTCAGGGCGGTGAGGGGCGGCCGCGGGTCCCGTTTCCCCCTCGCCGGGCTCCGGCCGGTCCCGGGCCCCCAGTCCGGCGGTGGGACCCCCGGGGTTGGGGGTGTCGCAGACCGGTGTAGGCCCTCAGCAGCGGCAGCAGAGCCAGGTGGGTCCTTCCCCCCCCACCAGCAGCCCCCGAGAGCCCGGCCGTGCCCCAGCCCCCGGCCCCTGACAGCCGCCTGCCCCCCAGGGTGGGTATGTCACGAAAGGAGCGCAACGGCCCCGAGCCGGAGCCGGGCGACAGCCCCTTCTTCACAGGGTTGGGCAGGGACGAGCCCCCCAGCGAGGAGCCCGACAGGTAACACGCTTTCCACCCTCTGTTGCCTCGCAGTTTTGACCTAAATCGGGGTAAAAAGAACACACAGGGAGCGACAGCCCCCCAGGCGGTGCAGCGAGGGGTGTCCTGGGTGACACGCAACAACCCCTTGTCCGTGGCCCACCGCGTTCATTAGCAGGGCTCCCAACGTTTCCCAATTAACAACCGGCCGCGCAGGCTGTCCCCTCCCCAGCTGAGGCAGAGCACGGCCCCGTCCCCGCGGGGTGTGCATCCCTGAGGCACGGGGTCCTGTGTTTTGGCTGAGGACGGAGGCGCTGCCTGCACCCCCCTGCCCCAGCGCGGTGCCGGCGCTGGACAACCAAGCCTCCCGGTACTTCGCTTCGCTGGATGCCAGCGTCGGGGGCCTGCAGCAGCGGGCGCAGCAGCTGATCGACCGGGTGAACGACAGCCGCAAAGAGGACCACAGCGTGATGAGCAGCTTCAGGGAGAGCCTGCTGCTGAAGGTGGGGGGGGCTGGGCCGCACGGTCTCTGCTTGACATGTTTAATTGCGTTATTCTGCCCAAATTAGTGGCAACCCCGGGGGAGGGGGCGGTGAGACAAGGTGCCGCGGGGAAGGAGTGCGTTGCAAACGGCCTCTCGCAGGGCGCCGGAGCCTTGTGTGCCGTATACACCGGCGCTCGCTGCCATAGCAGGGGGGGGGAAGCACCCCCAGCCCCTTTGGGGGTGAGCGCAGCTGCCTCTGGCCCTGTTTTTGGGAGCAGAAGGGACGCCAGCGGCTGCCCTCGGCCTCCTCGCTCGGCTGCGTGCCACACCGGACTTTGCTCCCGGCAGCTGCGGGGGGAGGCCGGGACTCCCGCAGGCCCACGTGCAGATGGCAGCCCGGCCTCAGCAGCTGCGGCCCGTGGTGACCTGACACACGGTGGCTACCGTGGCCGGCGCTCTGGCTACTGTGGGCGCAGCTGGGGTTAGCAGCAGCCAAGCCAGGCTGGGAGCTGCGCCAAGCCGGGCGGCCGCAGCTGCCACCCCAGCTCTGGGGACGGCAGCCGGGGCGCCAGCCATGCCAGCGGCACTGCCTGCCCCCGCGCCCCAGCAAGAGCCGTTTTCCTCCGCTTTTCCGCCCCGGCACGGCAGGTCTCTGGCCTGGCGGAGCAGCTGGAGGAACGGCTCTTCCACCTCTACGGACTCCACAACGAGCTGATCCAGGAGCGGCTGCAGGAGCTGGCGGAGGTGATGGAGCGGGTGGGACAGGCTGAGGCCGAGCTCCAGCAGGTCTGCCGCACCGTGGAGGCGGCATACCGTGACCTCTGCCTGCAGCCCGAGACCTGAGCAGAGCCCTAAATCTACAAGGGCCCTCCCCAAACTCACGGGAGCCCCCGCAGCACCCTGCCTCCCCGAGCAGGGCGTGCATCACACACTGCCGCTGCGCCAGTGCGGCTGCGAGCTGGAAAAGGGGATGTTGGCCCAAAAAGGGTGTTTCTGTTGCTGTTGGTGTTCAGGTTTAGCATGAATAAAAAGAGCGAAAAAACCCCAAAGGCTGAATCCAGGTGCTGCTAGGGCTTCGCCGCCCACTCGCTCCTGGCCACTTGCTTGCAGGGGCAAACCCCGCTGGGCAGGTGCTGAAGCAGGGCCCCCTCCCACTGGCAGAGCTTCATCCTGCTGGATTAATTAACACTGACAAGGCTGGCACTGACGAGCGGAGGCCGGTGCAGAGTAGCTTTCCCCACCTTTTATTGGCGAGTGGCCACGTGGGATAGCAAAGGCACCAAGGCAGTTCACTGTCCAAGAGGCTCCGCAGCAAAGCCCAGCACGACTGGGCTGCTGGGTGCCACTGGCGACACCGAGTCCTGGCAGCGGGTCTGTTTGGTGATACCGGGTCCCACCAGTCCCGCCGGTGACGCTGGGTCCGGCCATTAGCACCATCTCCCCACGTCCTTCCCCGCGAGGAGCAGACGCATTGCCCACGGGTGCCGTCCTGGCCCTGCCGCCGGCGGCGTGAGGCTGGTCCCGTTAGCTCCGCGGTGCCGGCGGTTTGCCGGGGGTGAAGGCCTGGATGCCGGTGATGGCCCGGCCCAGGATCAGTGCGTGGATGTCATGGGTGCCTGTGGGCGAGGGAGAGGCCAGGCCTCGGGGGTGCCCAGCAGAGCCGGGACCCCCCCCCGTGCCCCTCCGGCGGTACCTTCGTAGGTGTTGACAGCCTCCAGGTTCATCAGGTGCCGGATGACGTGATACTCATCACAGATCCCATTCCCCCCCAGCATGTCCCGCGCCTCCCGGGCGACAGCCAGCGCCTTCCCGCACGAGTTGCGCTTCAGCATCGACACCATCTCGGGGGCTGCCCTGGGGGTGGGGACGGGGACGCTAATAACCCCCCTCCCCACCAGACACCCCCACCACCACCACCAGCAGCACCCACCTGCCCTCATCCTTGAGGCGGCCGAGGCGCAGGCAGGCCTGCAGCCCCAGGGCGATCTCCGTCACCATGTCCGCCAACTTCTTCTGCACCAGCTGGTTGCGTGCCAATGGCCCCCCGAACTGGTTCCTGCGGCGGAAGCGGGGTCGGTGAGTCTGGTGGGGGGCAGGTGGGACCCCCTCCCAACTCCCCCTTTCCCCCCCTGCCCTGGGTGTTACCTGTCAAGGACGTACTGCCGTGCCGTCTCCAGACAGGCCTCGGCAGCGCCCAGAGCACCCCAGGCGATGCCGTAGCGGGCATGGTTCAGGCAGCCGAAGGGACCCTGGGGCAAGCAGGTGTCACCAGGGCCCCCCCGTCCCACAGCAGGGCCCCCCCACATACACCCCCTTACCGCCAGGCCGATGCCGTGGGGCAGCAGGTTCTCCTCTGGCACCTCCACGTCGTCCATCACGATCATGCCGGTGGCGGAGGCGCGGAGAGAGAACTTGCCCTCGATTTTGGGGGTGCTGAGGCCGGGCATCCCCCGCTCCAGCAGGAACCCCCGCACCCGCCCGTCTTCCTCGCACACCGCCCACACCAGGCACAGGTCAGCCGCCGGCGCGTTGGTGATCCTGGGGGAGGGGGGGGGGGAGGGGGTCAGGGTGGGAGTCTGGGAGTGCTGGGGGATCCTCATCCCCGTCCCCCCAGTTCAGGGCTCACCAGGTCTTGGAGCCCCGCAGCGTGTAGGTCTTGGCGCTGGGGTTGTAGCGTGCCCGCGTCTCCATGCGCCCCGGGTCGCTCCCGTGGTTGGGCTCCGTCAGCCCGAAACACCCCAACAGCTCCCCCCGTGCTGTGGGGGGGTGTCAGGGGGACTGTGCGATCCCCGCCCCCCGGCCCCCCCAGCCCCCCTCCCCAGGTCACTCCTGTGGCTGGGCTCTATCAGCAGCTCCCCGTGCAAGGGGGGAGCAGTGTCAGTGAAGACCCCAAAAAACCCCATTCCCCCCCACCTTCCTGCCCCACATCCCCCCCCCCTCCAAAGTCACCCCGCAGCCCCCCCCCGCGGTGCGGGTCTCACCCAGGCGGGGCAGGAAGCGGTCGCGCTGGGCGGGGGTGCCGTAGGCGAGGATGGGGTACATGACGAGGGAGGACTGGACGCTCAGCACCGAGCGGTAGCTGCTGTCCACCCGCTCCAGCTCCCGCGCCACCAGCCCGTAGCCCACCGAGGTGGTGCCCGCGCAGCCGTACCCTGGGGACAGCGTCACCCCACAGAGACCCCCAGACCTCCCCAGACCCTCCCTTGGGACAGCGTCACCCCACGAGACCCCTGGCCCCCCCACCCCTCCCCCCCCGGGGACCGCATCACCCCACGGAGAACCCCGGCCCCCCCCAGACCCCCCCCCTTGGGATAGCGTCACCCCACAGAGACCCCAGACCCCCCCCGCCCCACCCTGGGGACAGCATCACCCCACAGAGACCCTCAGACTCCCCCTGGGGACAGTGTCACCCCACGGAGACCCCCGGCCCCCTCAGCCCCAGGAATCCCAGCCCTCTTCCCCCTGTGCCCCACAGCTCCCTGCCCCCCCCAGGAACCACCCCCCCAAACGCCCCTGAGAGGACCATGCACCCCCCAGAGACACCCCCAAGGAAGACCCCCCCCACACCCTCCAGCCCCTTCAAACCCTCTTGTTGCCCCTGGAGGCACCCCAGCCCCACCCCAGGGGTCCCAACACTCCCCTATGGCATCCTGGCCCCCGCAGTAACACCCTGGTAACCCCAGGGGCACCCTGGCCCCCTACATCCACCCCCTGTAGCCTCCCCGCAGCTCCCTTACTGTCTCTAGGTAAGCAGCTCCCCCCCCAGGGACCCCCCAGCCCTCCCAGTCTCCCCCCCCCACCCTCTGGTCCCCCCATTGCCCCCCACTTACCTTTGATGGTGGGGCCCAGCACACCCAGTGCCCCCATTTCAGACACAATCTCCCGGTCAAAGACTGGGGGGGGGGGATGCCCAGTAGGGTGTGGGGGTGGGGGCAGTGGGGACCCCCAGTGGGGCCTGGGGGATCCCCCCCGCCCTCCCCCCCCCTCCAACCTTGGCCACCCCGAGCCCCATAGGGAGGGTGCTCAGGGGCAGGGGGGGAAAAGAGGATTAAGGGGGTGCCAGGGGGTGTCTCAGGGGGTATCCCCAGGACCTGGGAGGCTTTAGGGGGTGCCTGAGGGTAGTGGGAAATGTTGGGGGGGGGGGGTGCTGGGCAAGCTGTGGATAGAAGGGAGGAATGGGGGTGATGGGTCTGGGGAGGCGGGGAGCGAGTGGTTCTGGAGGGGTGTTTGAGGAACACGGGGGAGGATTTTGGGGGGGGTGGGGGGGGTGGGTGGCAGAGCCGGGTACCCTCATGGCGGTTGGCGTGCAGGACGCGGGGCAGCAGCCGCTCCTGGCAGTACTTGTGCAGGGCGTCCCGCAGCAGCCGCTCCTCGGGGGCCAGCAGCTCCTCCAGCCCCAGCGGGTCCCGCCAGTCGAAGGCTGGGGGGGGGGGGGGGGGGGGGCCACACACACACGGGGGGCGGTCAGCACGGGGTGGAGGGGAGTGTCAGCACCGGCGGGGGGGTCAGAGAACCGTGGGTCAGCACCCAGCCCCACTGCTGAACCCTACACGTACCCCCCCCCCCTCAACAGCGGGGGGGGGGGGGGGGGGTCCCGGCTGTGGGGAAGGGTGGGTGGGGGTCTCTCACCCGGCGGGGGGGGGGGCCGTGCCCGCCCAGCGGACGCCGCTCCGGACCAGGCGCAGCAGCGGGGCAGCGAGTCGCAGCGCCATGGGGGGGCGGGTCTGGGGGCGGGAGGAGGCAGCTGATCCAGGGGACCCTCCAACTCTCCCCGGGGACCCCCTAAGTGCCCCCCAGGACCCTCAAACACCCCCAGCCCCCCCCCGCCGTCCCGCACCGTGCAAGCTCGGCGGCGGCCAACGGGCCCAGAGGGGCCCTCGGCCGTGACGTCACGGGGGAGGGGCGGGGGGCGGTGTCAGATTAACCCCTGATTGCCCGGGAGCGAGGGGGGGGCGGGGGGAGGGCTGCGAGACCCCCAGACGACCGTCCGGACAGAGCCGGGGCCGAGGGGAAACGGGGGGGGGGGGGCGGTTCAGAGTTCCCCAGGTCTGCGGTCGCGGCGCGATGACGTGTGTCGCCCCCACCCCACCCCCCAGGTCCCCACGGAGGCACAGGTCGGGGGGTCGGTGCTGTACAGGCTTTATTGGTCCCCGGGGCCCCCCCCGGCACCCCCTGTCCAGGGGGCGGGGCGTTTGCATAGCGAGAACGGGGGGGGGGGGGGGGGGGGGGGGCGGGGGCGGGAGCAGGGAGTGTGATGATGTCACAGGGGGGTTGATGATATCACCTGCTCGGCTGGCCCTTGCAGTGTGATGCCCACTGCCGTTGTGTGACATCACTGTGCACCTGGGATGCATCAGCCCCACGGCGGTGACATCACCACCCGACACCAGTCACTGCCCCCACCCCACCGCCACCACAGCTGTGACATCACCATTCAATTACGCTATAGCTGCAACATCATCATTCCCGTTCCTTCGGTTACATCAGGGCTGTGCCAGCAGCACCCCTGTTACATCATAACCATGACATCACTGCTCCCACGCCATGACATCGTAACTGTGACATCATCAATCCCACACCATTGCCACAGCCGTGACATCACCACTCCACCAGCACCAGCTGTGACATCACTCTCGCTCCTGAATGGCCACTGTGATGTCACTGTGCCCCCTCCCCGAGTGACACCAGAGCTGTGCTCTCACCCCTCCCGCCTCAGCTGTGACATCACCCCTGTGACATCAGTGGGGCAACAACCAGGGGCAAACAGGAAACTGGGGGGGGGAAGTGACACCCCAGGTCGGGGGTGGGGGGGGGCTGCCAGGCCGATGACATCACACCGGAGGCCGGGGTGTCACAGTATTAACCCTTCGCATATGCGGGGATTGGCCGGGGGGGCTGCGAGCCATGTCCCTGGCCAAGGCGGGCGGGGGCCCCGCATGCCTGGGGGTCCCCCCCTATTTACAGCCGCGGGAGGAGGAGGGGGGCGGCGGGGGGGGGGGGATCTCAGCGCCGGGGGGGGGGCCCGGCGCTCCGGGGGGGCCCCAGCGCCCCGTCCCCATCCCCGGTGGCCGCGCTTGGCCCCACCACCACGATGGGCACCGGGGGCCCCCCCGGGGCACCCCCCCGCCGTGCCTGCTCGTGCTCCTGCACCGGGCTGAGCGCCTTGGGAGGGCCCCGCGCCCCCCGCTCCGGCTCCTCGCCCCCAGGGGGGGCGGCCTCGGCGGCGGCGGCTGGAACGGGGCCCCCCAGCAGCAGCGGCAGCTCCTGGCGGCCCAGGCGGCGGGCGGGGGCCGCGGGGGGGGGCGGCGGCGGCCCCTCGGCCGGGCTCTCCCCGTCCCACTCGGCCAGGCTCTGCAGCGGCGGCTCGGCCGGGAAGTCCTTGCGGGCGGGCTCCAGGCCGTGCTTGCGGGGCGCCGCCGCCGCCGCCTTCTCGGGGGGGCCCCGGCGGGCCAGGCGGGGCGACTCGGCGGCCTTGGGGTGCAGCTTGGCGGGGAAGGCGGGCGGCGAGGCGGCGGGCGGCGAGGGCGTGTGGGCCAGCGGCGAGAGGGGGATGCTGCCGGCAGACTTGCAGCGCGCCGCCCGGTACTGCCGCTGCAGCTTCGGGGACAGGCCCTGCAGCGAGCTGGGCCGCAGGTGGGGCCCGGCCGGCGCCGGCGAGGGCGGCGCGCTGGAGCCCGGGGAGCTGCTGGGCGGGGAGGCCCCTGCGCCGGCCGCGGGTCAGAGGCGGCTGCGGGACCGGCGCCGGCCGCGCTCGGGGGCTGCGGAGCGCCCGCCGCAGCCCCGCGTCCGCCCGCCCATCCGTCCCTCCATCCCGTCCGTCCGTCCGTCCCGCCACCCGCTCCCCAACCCCGGTCCCTCCGCGGTCCCTCGCCGCTGTCGTAGCCCCGCCCCGTTACCATGGCCCCGCCCACTGCCGTTGCCCCAACCCCGCCCCTATGGTCCCCGCTTCCCTTCATACGGCCCCGCCCATCCCCGCCCGATCCCGCCGCTCACCCCGCCCCATTCCCATGGCCCCGCGCCCGTTCCCAACGCCCCGCCTCGTTCCTATGACCACGCCCCATCCCATTGGCCCCGCCTCCAAACCCGCCCCCTCGCCCCGTTGCCATGGCAGCGCGTACCCGCCTCGGCGGCGCGCGGCGGGAGGGCGGGGTCCCGGGCGCGCGCGTGGGTGGGGGAGGCGGGCAGGCTGTCGGAGGAGGAGAGCGACCGGCTCAGTGACGTCAGCGAGCGGCTCGTGTGCAGCAGCGACGCCTGTCGGGCCAGGTGCCGGAAGAGCGCGCTGCGCCGCCTGCCGGACGGGAGGACTGTCACGGCGGCGGCCGGGCCCCGCCCCCCAGCTCCCCCCAGCTCCCCCCAGTTCCCCCCCCGCTCCCCCCAGTTCCCCCCCCAGCTCCCTCCAGCTCCCCCCAGTTCCCCCCCAGCTCCCCCCAGCTCCCCCCCAGTTCCCCCCCAGTTCCCCCCAGCTCCCCCCAGCTCCCCCCAGTTCCCCCCCAGCTCCCCCCCAGCTCCCCCCAGCTCCCCCCCAGTTCCCCCCCATCTCCCCCCAGCTCCCCCCAGTTCCCCCCCAGTTCCCCCCCAGCTCCCCCCAGTTCCCCCCCAGCTCCCCCCAGCTCTCACCTCTCGTGGCCGCCCCCGGTGCCACCCCGGCGGTTCCTCCGCGCCATCTTGGCCCGGGCGCTGCGGCGCCGCGCGGGGCCCAGGCGGATGGACGTGTTCTCCAGCGGCGTTGTGGTCACCAGCACCTTCGTCCCGCTCTGGGGCACAGCAGGTCACCACCACGCCCCGCCACGCCCCAACACCCTGCCCACCGCCCCAACAGTACCCACCTCCCCACCGTGATCCTGGACCCCACCATGACCCTACCAGGGGGCACGACCAGGCCATGACCCCACTGTGACCTCTTGGCAACCCCATGACCCCCCCAATGACCCCAATATGACCTCCTGGCAACCCAATGACCCTGCCATGACCTCCCCAATGACCCCACCATGACCTCCTCGCAACCCTGTGACTCCACCATGACCCCACTGTGACCTCCTGGCAACCCCGTGACCCCGCCATGACCTCCCCAATGACCCCACCACGACCTCCTGGCAACCCCGTGACCCCGCCGTGACCCCACCACAACCTCTCAGCCCTGTGCCCTGTTGACTGCGTGACATCCACATCCCTGTGACCCCCCCGTAACCCTCCCATGACCCCGCATGACCCCTGACCTTGAGGATGAGCTCGACGACCTCAGTGTGCACCAGCCCATGGACGGGCTCCCCATTGACGTGGGTGATGAGGTCACCGGCGCAGAGCCCCGCCTCCTGCGCTGGGCCCCCCTCCTCCACATGCTGTACCCCCCAAGGCACCATTACCCACAATGCACTGGGGCCACAATGCCCCCACATCATGTCCCCCTCCGTGTTCCCTGGCCCAGACAGCCCCCTCATCCCCTCAATGTCCCCTCTATGTCCCCTCAGTGTCCCTCAGTGTCCCCCCCAATGTTCCCCCTAATATCTCCATCAATGCCCCCCCCATGTCCCCTTTATGTCTCCCTCAATGACTCCCCAATGTCCCCTCAACGTCCCTCAATGTCCCCCGACGTCCCCTCAATGTCCCCCCATCCCCTCAATGACCCCCCCAATATCCCTCAATGTCTCCATGTTCCCTCAATGACCCCCCCAATGTCCCTCAATGTCCCCCCCGTCCCCTTAATGACACCCCCAATGTCCCTCGATGTCCTCACATTCCCTCAATGTCCCCCCCAATGTCCCCTCAATGTCCCCCCCCCGTGTTGCCCCAATGTCCCCTCAATGTCCCCCCCATCCCCTCAAAGTCCCCCCCAATGACCCCGACGTCCCTCCATCCCCACCAACCCTGACAACATGGTGGGCTCTGTGCGCGTCCCCATCCCCACATCCCCCCTGTCCCCCCAGTGTCCCCCCCCCCACATCCCCATCCCACCACCTTCCCTTGCATCTCCTTGTCCCTCAGTGACCCCCACAACCTGGCAGGCGCCGCTCACTTCCTCCCACGTGTCCCCATGTCCCCCCCTCCCACACCCCCAATGTCCCCCCCCAGCCCCCTGACCCAGACGACGTGGTGGACGCTGTAGACGTCGCTGTCCCCGAGGTAGACGCGGATGGCGCGCAGGGTGAAGCCGAACTTCTTGCCGGGGCGGGGGATGGCGATGGGGGAGCGGGGGGCTGCCACCGCCGGGGCCAGCTCCCGCCCCGGGGACGAGTCCCGCGAGGAGGGGTCCGAGGACAACGACCGTGGGGACATGGGGCTGCCCAGGGGCGAGGAGCCGGGCGCCTCCCCTGCGCCCCCCCGCTGGCACCGAACCCACGGACACCCGTGTCCGGGGCACTCGCTGCCCCCACCCACAAGGATGTGGGGTTCCCGCCCCCCCCCCCAGGCACCCAGGGGAGCCCCCTCACCCCCCATGGGGACCCAAGCATCCACGGGCACCCCCACCCACCACCCCACGGGGACACCCCCCACCCTTAGGACCCAGGTGTCCAGTGGACCCCTGTCACTCACCCCCCTCCCCCCCCGAGGGACATGGGCACACCAGACGCCCCACACCACCCTTGGGACTCAGGAGGCAACCAGGGGACCCCTGTCACCTCCCCCCCCCCCCCCCGGGGACATGGGCACCCAGGGGACACACACCACCCGTGGGGACCCAGGTGTCCAGGGGACCCAACAAATTGGGGGGGGGGGGGGGTGTCCACAGGGGGTGTTGGGGTCCCAGGGGTGACACCCACCGCTGGGGATGATGACAGAGAGGGCAGTGGCCGACGCTGACTTGGTGACCTTTCCAGGACCGCGGGGACTGCGCTTGTCACCCCCCGCTTCGGGGGCCACCCCCGGGTGCCGCGGCCGCCGTAGCCCCAGCTCAGCCCGGGGGGGGGGCAGGTCCCCAGCCCGTGGTGCTCGCTCCCCTGGGGGGAACTGCTGGTGGGGACCCAGCTCTATCTGGGTCCCCCCAAAAGGGACCCAGGCACCCAGGACCCTCCACACACCCACATCCACCCCACCCCCCCCCAGCAGGGACTCTGGCGGCCAGGACTGACCTGGCTCCTCGCTGGGTCCATCCGTGGGTCCGTCGCGGGGGGCAGCCCCATTGCGGGGGGGTGGCCGCTCCTCGGGGGTGGCCCCGGGGCGCCCCGGCTCCAGCAGCGCTGAGAAGCGACGCCGGGCGCCGGGCGGGGGGCTCCCCTCGCCCTCAGGGGGGGCCCCCTCGGCTGCCGGCGGACGCTTCCTGTGGGGACCCAGACATTTGGCGGGGGGGCGGGTGTCTGACCACTACAACCCCCCCACATCCCCCCACTCTGGGGGAACCCAGGGATCGGGGCAGACCCCAAAGGACGCAGGTGTGACCCATTGCCCCCCAGGGACCCAAGTGACCCCCCACCCCCCCCGGGGACCCCAGCGCGGGTGCTCACAGCTCGGGCGAGGCCGTGCGCCAGCTGCGGTCGCGGGCGAAGCCGTCGCGTCTCCCCTCGTCCCGCGGACGCCCCTTGGGCACCTTCGGCTCCTGCTGCTGCGAGAGCTGCTCCAGGCTGCTGTACACCTGCGCGCCGGCACCGCCTCGCACCCCGCTTTGCACGGGGGGCGGGGGGGGGGGGGGGTTGTTGCACACACATGGGATCGCACGAGGGCTCGCATGGGCACGGGGCGCCCGCGCTGCACGCATCCTGTGCATCCCCACGTACCTCCGTCCTCCCCACCCCACCCCTGTGTGTCCCCACCCCTCTGTACCTCCCTGTGTGTGTGTGTCCCCCCGCCCCCCCCGTGCCCCCACCTTGCTAAAGCGAGGGGAGCAGGATGAGAACTGCCGGATCTCCACGGGCTCGTCCTCTGTCGTGTCCTCGTCCTCGTAGGAGGTGACGTGGGGGTACCGGTCTGAGCGTGCTGGGGGGGAGGTTGGGGGTGAGAAGGGGGATATGGGGTGGGGGTCCTGTAGGGTGACTCCAGGGGGCCCAGGGGTGAGGAACCCATAGAGGGAGCCCATGGCGGGGGGGGAGTGGAGAGGGCCCATGGGGGGAACCTTGGGGGGTCCCATGAGTAGGAGGGGGCTAGAAGGTCCCCTGGGTGGGGGGGAGTTGCCCCTGGTTGAAAGTCCTGGAGGGGCAACATGGGGTAACAAGAGGGTATCCCCTGGGAGGGGTCATGGGGTGACCCCAGAGGGTCCCAGGATTGGGGTCGTAGTGGTGTCCTGAGGTGTTCCGAGGGGTGCGGGGGCCGGGGGGTCCCTCACTGTCGAAGTAGCTGGTGTCCTCCTCAGACTCCAGGTGCGGCACAAACTCGGCTTTCTGCCGCAGCAGCCCCGTCCAGTCAAGCGCCGCGAAGAAACCGTGAGCCTTCACCTCCTGAGCCCCCCCTGTGGGGAGGGGGAAGGGGACGGGGTCAGCGGGAGCAGCAGCCCGGGGAGGTGGGGGGATCAGAGTCGGGGGGGGGTCTCACCAGCCCCGAGGCGCCGCAGGGGATCGGGCTGCAGGAGGCAGGAGATGAGGTGCTGGGCGTCGGGGGGCAGCGCCTCGTCCCCCTCTGGCCATAGGATCTCATCTGACACGGGATAGGGACGGGGGGGGACGACATATGAGCACGGGGTCGTGTCTACCAGCCCCATCATGTCCCCGTGTCCCTCTGCCCATTCCTGTACCAGGGATGACCTGCCCTGTCCCCATGTCCCCATCCCCATGTACCCAAGATGACCTACTCCATCCCCCTGTGTCCCCACATCCCCCTCGCGTCCCCATAGTTGAGATGACCTGCTGTGTCCCCATGTCCCCCTCGTGTCCCCATAGTTGAGATGACCTGCTGTGCCCTCTTTGTCCCCACGCTTGAGATGACCTGCTGTGTCCCCATGTCCTCCTTGTGTCCCCATAGTTGAGATGACCTGCTGTGTCCCCACGTCCCCCTCGCGTCCCCATAGTTGAGATGAACTGCTGTGTCCCCACGTCCCCCTCGTGTCCCCATAGTTGAGATGTCCTGCTGTGCCCTCTTTGTCCCCACGCTTGAGATGACCTGCTGTGTCCCCATGTCCTCCTTGTGTCCCCATATCTGAGATGACCTGCTGTGGCCTCATGTCCCCGTGTCCTTCCCATGACCCCACTCCTGCCCCGTGTCCCTCCATGTCCCTCCCCATACCCAAGATGACCTGCCCTGTCCCTCCGCGTCCCACCTCCGTGTCCCTGTCCCCGTACCCAAGATGACCTGCCCCGTGTTCCCCACCACGTGCCCCTGCCCGTACCGGAGATGACCTGCCCGAAGAGCTCCTCGGGGGTGTCCCCGAAGAAAGGGACGCAGCCCACCAGGAACTCGTAGAGGACGATGCCCATCGCCCACCAGTCCACCGGCTTCCCGTAGCCCTGCCGCAGGATCACCTCGGGCGCGATGTACTCGGGGGTGCCGCACACCTGCAGGCGGGGTCAGCGACCAGCCACGCCCCACCATGTCCCAGTGGCCACGCCCCAGTGGCCACGCCCGGCCACACCCACCTGCTTGTCGCGGAACTCACGGGCGTCTTTCTCCATGTGGCCCTCATAGAGGTTGGTGGTGAGGCTCATCAGCCCCATCTTGGAGAGCCCAAAGTCCGTCAGCTTCACGTGGCCCAGTGACGTGATCAGCAGGCTGCGGGGACCCAGGCGCCCGGTGGGGACCCTGGTGTCCTCCATCCCCCCAGCCCCTCCCCTGGACCTGTCCCCCTCCCCGCCCCAGGGGACCCCGGTGTCGAACGTACTTGTCAGGCTTGAGGTCGCGGTGGACGATGCCGTAGTTGTGCAGGTACTCGAGGGCCAGGACGGTCTCGGCAAAGTAGAGCCGGGCCAGCTCCAGCGGCAGAGCCCCGATGTGCTTCAGCAGCGTCGCACAGTCCCCGCCTGGGACGGGGGGGGACATTGGGGGGGGGGGACATGGGAGGGCATAGAGGGGACATGGGGAGGGACACAGCAGTGAGCATCACGGCATCACCCGCCACCACCCAGCCCATCCCAGTGGGACCCGAAGCACCCGCCCAGACGTAAAGTGCTGTGTCGGGACGTAAAAATGCCCCATCGCGGCATAAAGCACCCTGTCATGACGCAAACCACCCCGCGTTGCGCTCCTCGGCCCCGTATCACGAAGCCCAGCTCCGTGTTGCGATGCCTGGCCCCATATCGGGACGCACAACCTTGCCTCGCAATGCCCAGCCCCTCGCCGCACCGCCCAGCGCCGCAGCAGGATGCTCCAGCCCCGTATCACAACACGCAGCCCTCTATCACGACGCTCAGCCCCATATGGCGGCTCCCTTCGGCCCCGCACCCACCTTCGACGTATTCCATGACCATGCAGAGGTGGCGGCGGGTCTGGAAGGAGCAGAACATGCTGACGACGAAGGGGTTCTCGGCGAAGGTGAGGATGTCGCGCTCCACGAACGCCTGCTCCACCTGGTTGCGCAGCAGCAGGTTCTGCTTGTTGATCTTCTTCATGGCGAAGCGCTGGCGCGTGGCCGTGTGCCGCACCAGGTACACCGCCCTGCCGGCACAGCCGCCCGTCACACCGTGCTGGGGACACCCCCAAAATCTCCGGGACACCCGGGGGGCCCCTCCCCAGTGTCCCCGGCATCCGGGGCCGCTCACCCATAGGCGCCGTTGCTGATGAGTTTGATGGTCTCAAAGTCGCCTTCGCCCGGTGGCTTCTTGGCCCTGGGGACGGTGCTGCGGCCCTGGGGGGGGGACACGGGGTGACACGGGACACGGCAGGGGACGCAGGGAGGGACACACAGGGAACCCCCAGCACCCACCTCAGTCCCCTCCTCAGGCTCCGGCGTGTTGCTCCCACCGCTGTCAGGCTCCTCCAGATGCACCACGTCTGCAGGGACACGGGGTGTCCCACACGCGCCCTCCCGGCACGCAACACCCCACGCGTGCACCCCTCAAGCATGCCCCTGTGCGCGCTCCCAGCGGGCAAGCTGAGCCACGCGTGTGCACGCTCCCACACACGTGTGCAGCCCGGCCCAGCACGCAGATCCCACGCGCGCCCCGTGCGCGTGCCCTCCCATCCAAAGCCCCGCGTGTGCACGCTCCCCCACACACGCGCGCATGCCCCCGTGCGTGTGTTTATGCCCCCACAGGCGCGTGCAAAGCCCGTGTCTGCCCTGTGGCCGCTCGCACACGCATGTACCAGGGAAGGGGTCCCGCGCCAGCCCCAGCTGCCCGATGATGTAGCGGGGGATGTCGGCCTTCAGCAGCCCCTCGCGGGCCTGGCCCTCCGCCGCTGCCAGCAGCTGGTAGAACTCCGCCGGGTCGAACTCCTGCACCGACACGCCCCGGCACGCGTGTGCACGGGGGGACACGCATTGTCACGTGTGCGCACACAGGGACATGCACCAGCACAGTGCAACACACCAGCAGACAGCAGGGGCATGTGCTGGTGTGCGTGTGTACGTGGGTCTGCACATGTCCAAGAGCGTGTGAGCACGTGTGTGGGTGTGTGCACACCGGGACACGTGTGCATGTGCATGTTTGAGCCCAAGCATGTGTGTGCACAATTGTCTCTGTGTCTGTGCCAACGCACACACGCGTGCCAGAGCACACAGGTGAGCACGCATGTGCTTGCGTGCACCAACAGTCACAGGGGAGTGCACACGCGTGTGCCCCCCCGTGCCCCTCCCGCCTTTGTCTCGGTGGTCCCCGGGATGCGCCATCTCCATGGCGCTGCCCCGGCAACACGGCTGTCACCATGGCAACATCAGCCCTGCCTCCCCATTGGCCGCGCACAGGGATTGGCCAGGGTGTTGTCAGGGTGACTGGAAGGGCTTAGTCTGATTGGACAGTTGGGATGGTGCAAAATGGGATGGGGGGGGTGGGATGCTGGGGGGGCTGTCACAGGGCTTGGACACCTGGGTCCCCTGGGGATGAGGTGTGTGTGTGGGGGGTCCCCACGGGACTCACCAGGCACTCGAGCAGCCGGGCGGGGCGGGAGATGATGATGAGGAGTTTCTTCACCAGCTGGGTGATGAAGGCCACCTCCTCTGACTCTGAGCGCTCGTAGGCCTGGGGGGACACGGAGGGGTCAGGGGGTCCCAGGGGACCTGGGGATGCTGGGGAAGTCCCATGGGGTCCTGGGGGGTCCCACGGGGTCCTGGGTTTCCCATGTGCCCTTGGGCATCCCCTTGGGTCTCATTGGGCCCCACTGGGGGTCCTGTGGGGTCCCCTTGGGTGCTAAGTGTTCCTGTTGGAACCTAGTGGGTCCCCATTAGGTGCTGAGGGTACCACTGGGCCCCATTGGGACCAGTTTGGGTGCTGTTGTGTCCCCATTGGGTCCTGTTGGGTGCCACTGGTCCTGCTGAGCCCCTTGGGGCCCTGTTGGGTGTCACTGAGCCTCTTTGGCCCCCCCTTGGGTGCCAGTGGGTCTGTGTGGGACTCCACTGGCTCTGCCTTGGGCTCCGTTGGGTGCCATTGGGCACCGCCGGGTCCTGGAGGGCCCTTTTTGGTTCCCTGGGGTCCCGTCGGGTCCCAGTGGGTCCTGCCGGTCCCCGTGGGGTCCCGCTGGGCGCCACGGCTCACGTCCTGCAGCAGCCGCTCCATGTTCTCCTGCAGCTCGTAGAAGTAGCCGGCGGTGATGAGCCCGTGCCGGGCTTTGGCCAGGCAGTCCCGTGCCAGCTCGACCAGCTGGTGCTGGATGAAGCTGAGGGCGCCGTCGGCCAGGGGGGTCCCCCCGGGGCCGCAGCCCCTCACGAACTCCTCCAGTCGCTCCTCCATCTGCGCCGTCGCCTGCGGGACCCATGGACGGGCTCCCCACGGCTCCCAAGACCTTCACAGACCACCCCCGGGGCCCTCCAAGACCCCGTAACCACCTCCAGTGACCCATAGCCACCCCAAAACCCCCCAGGGCTGTCAAACCTCCCCTCCAGGAACCTCAGAGCCCCCCCCAATCCCCCATAGATATCTCATAACCCCCCAAGGCCCCTATAACTCTGCCAGGACTGCCCCCAGCACCCTTACGTTTTCCACCAGTGCCCACCAGCTGCTCAAGAACCCCTAGAGCTCCATAACCCCCCCCCCAACCTCCACCCTCCCAACCCCCCCCAAGACCTCACCCCCCTCCCAGACCCACCTTGGGGAACCGCTCCTTGTAGACGTGGTTCATCATCACGATCTCATTGTCGTGGGACGAGGGCGAGCGCCCGGGGCTGGGGGGGGGGCACAGCTGGCACCCATGGGACCCACAGTGCGTTGTGTCGTGTGTGTGTCCGTCCCCCACCAGTATCCCCACCTCTGGCACCAGCAGGACACCTGGCACCCCTCCCTGGTGTCCCCACGGGGACCCACAGTGTCCCCATTCCACCCCCTTGATGCCCCATGACCACAATGTCCCCATCACTCTTGCTGCCCCCCCCCCCCCCGCCACGGTCCCTCCAATCATGCAGTGTCCCCAAGCCCCACAGTTCCCCCCATGGTCTCCCCAAAACCCTGGTCCCCCCCCCTCTAATTCCCCCATGGGGTCCCCAAATCCCGGGTCCCCCCAGCCCCTCGGTCTCACCTGAGGCTGCGGGATCGGGGGCGTGGGGCTGGCCCCCCCCGGGCCCCCCCATCCTCCTCGGCCAGGCTCTCGGAGCTGCCGAAGTGGCGGGAGAGGAAGCGCAGCTCCTCCGGCGTCGGCTGCGCCGGCAGCTGGTGCAGGCGCTCCTGCGACGAGCACGAGGACTGCGCGCCCGCGTCACCCCTCCGACCCCCGCCATGCCCCACAGACACCCCCCCACACACACCCCGAACCCCCCGTGGCACCCCATGAGGACCTGTGGCCACCCACGGGGACCTGCTGACCCCCATCACGGTCCCCTGACTGCACACAGCCCCCCCCCTCTCCGTGACACCCCACAGGGGACCACCAGCCACCCATCTCCCCAGTCCCCTCACCGGTGCGACCCACACCTAACCCCACAGCCAGACCCATACTGGGACCCACTCACAGACCCCTAGCCAACCCCCCAGACCCCCAGTGACCCCTCTATCAGCCACCTTCCCACCATGAGGAGGGCACCCCAGCAGGTCCCCTGGACTTTGGGGTGGGGGGCTCTGGGGCCCCCGACTCACCGAGACGGTGGAACTGGGGGTGTTGGTGCCATAACCGGAGGAGGGCAACGAGGCCAGTGACCAGCGGCGCCCGTCAGCACTGGGGGGGGGTGGAGGGTGTCAGCGGACCCAGGCATCCGGGAGACCCCCACCAACGTCCTTGAGCTGGGGCAGGACGCAGGTGGCAGTCTGAGCCCTCCCCCCCCCCCCCCAGACGCCCAGGACTCCCCCCAGCCCCAACACCTGGGACCCCTTACCGGCGGGAAGAGGCGAAGGAGAAGTGGGCCGGGTTACTGGGCGAGAAGTTGCGGGGACTGTCCAGGGGGCTGCTGCCTGTAGGGGGGCACGGGGGGGTGGGGGGGGCTGACACATGGGGGTGACGTCACCAGCACCCTGCCCTGACACCCCCACCCTGCCAGGCTCCACCCCCACTGGAGGGGGCAGGGCCAAGAGGATGCAACCCACCCCAAGGGAAAAGGGCGGGGGGGGGGCCAGGAGGGACCCCAGGTGTTTTGGGCATCCCTGTAGGTATTGGGGAAGCCAGAAGGGTTATTTGGTCTGGGGGACAATGGGGGGGTCTCTTGGGGGGTCCCTGTAGGGGTTCCCAGGTTTGCCTGAGGGGGGCAATGGGTCCCTTGGGGGAGTCCCAGCAGTTTGTGGGGGTCCTGGGGTGTGTGTGTGGGGTGGGTTATGGGCCCCTCGGAGGGTTTCTAGGGGGGACTTAGGGGGGTTTCAGGGCCTTGGGAAGGGTTTGGGGACACCGGGGGGGTCCGGGGGTCTCACCGATGTGTCCGGGCAGTGGCGAGTGGGGGCGGGGGAGGGTGGGGGAGGTGCTGGTCAGGATCAGGCTCTTCCGGTTGCTCGTGCGGCAGCTGGGGGGGGTGGGGGGCAGGGGGCCGTGGGGGGGGGCCAGGACCCCCCTCACACACGGCCCCCCCCCCCCCCCCCGTGTCCTCGCACCTGAATGCGCTCACAACACCCAAAGGCGCCTGGGGGGGCACCCACAACCCACCCCACCCCCCCCCCAGGAGGGGGGGCAGGAATGTGGGATTGGAGGGGGGGGCCCGGGGGAGGGGTGCAGTGGCCATCGGGGGGGCTCATGGGGCTCGGGGGTGGGAGCGGGGATGGAGGATGAAGCGAGGCTGAGGGCTGGAGGACGGGGATGAAGGAGGGAGGAGGCTGGAGGAGAAGGGATGAATCGTGAGGATGAGGATGAACGAGAACGGGGATGAAGAAGGAGGATGAAGGAGGGATGAGGATGAGGATGGGGACGAGGGCGGAGAATGGATGAAGGCTGGGAAACAGGATGGTGATGGAGAGGGATGAATGCTGTGGATGAAGGATGGGGATGAGGATGGAGAAGGGATGGAGAGCGAGGATGAGGATGAGGATGGGGGGGGGGGGGGGGGGGGGGGGAGGAAGACCGAGGCCCCGGTTACCTCTTGGTGCGGCGGAACATGCTGCTGCCCACCAGGATCGGCATCGGGGGGTCCGAGAGCCCGGGGGGGGCCGGGGGCTCCGGGGCGGCGGCGCCTGGGCAGGGCGGGGGGGGGGGGGGACGCGGCGGCGGCGGCTGCAGCGGGGCGGGGCCGGGGGCGGGGCCGGGGGCGGGGCCGGAGCTGTGGGTGCAATGGGGGGGCGATGGGGGGGCACTGGAGGGGGGGGGGGGGGGGCGGAAAAGTGGGGTGGGGGGGTCTCACCTGCTGCTCTTCCGCGGCAGCGGCAGCTCCTTCTGCAAAAACAGCGCCGAGGGTGGGGGGCGGCCGGACCCCCCCCGATCTGACCCCCCACACCCCGCAGCATCGCTTGGGGGGGGGGCCCAGGCACCGGCTCCATCCCCCCCCACACCCCTCGGGGCCCCCCCTATGTCTGAAGACCCTTCAAATCCCGTTGTCCCGATGTGTGATCCACCCCCCCCCCCGGCCTTGCAGCCCCCCCGGTACCGGGCCTGCATCACCCCCCACCCCCCTCCGGTGCCGACCCCGCCCGGACCGATCTTCCCGGTACCGGGGCTGCGTTCCCACCCCCCGTGTCCGCACTGCCCGGTACAGACCCCCCCGAACCGACACCCCCCCCCCCGCCCCGGTACCTGCAGCCGCCGCCGGCGGATCACGCCCGAGTCATCCATGGCGCTCCCGCTGCCGGTGCGGGGGGGTCCCGGCCCCCCCCCCCCCCGCCCCGCGCCCCCGGTGCCCGCAGCCCCCCCTCAGCCGCCCGCCGCCATCCTCGGCCGCGCGGGACCCCCGGGAGCGCCCCGCCCCCCGGCCCCGCCCAGCCCCGCCCCGACGGGGGGGGACCCACCGTCCCGGGGGGGGGAGGAATGTACCGGGGGGGGGGGGGGGGTGTTAACCCCTGAGCTGCCAGGACCCCCCAGCCCCCCCGCCGGCGCTGTCCGCGGTGCTGAACCGGCCTCGCTCTCCCGCCGGGATCCCCCCGCGTGTGTGTGTGTGTGGGAATTTGACGGGGGGGGGGGGGAATGTGTGGGAGGGGGGGGATGTGTGGGAGGGGGGGGGATGTGTGTGCCGGGGCCCCCCCCGCCTGTGTGACTCCACCGGGTTAATATTGGGGCAACACGGCAAACCTGTCGTGTCCCGGTCATCCCCCCCCCTCCCCGCCTCATTAGTGACATCACAGCACCGTAACACTTCACTCCCCCCCCCTTAAAAACACGCCCAAAAGAGTCGGGGGGGGGGGGGGGGCTGCCCAGGGGCCTCTCAGTGACCCCCCGGCCCCCCCCGGTATTAGACCCCTAATCCCCCAGGATTGAGGACACGGCGATCTGCAGGCACCCAGCCAGGACCGATTAACTTGGGGGGGTGTGGACACAGGGGGGATGCCTGCGCTCCCTTCCCCCCCATGGCGGGGGGGGGGATCATAGTCATGGGGGGGCCACAACCCCCCCTCCCAAGCCAGGGACCCCCAACCTCCCCCAGACTCCAGCACGAGGGGATCTGTGCACCCCCCAAACCCCATAGATCCCCCAAAAGCTACAGACAGCCCCCATCCCCCCCTTCCCTATGACCCCCCCACAACTCCACAGGGAGAATAAACGGGTTTGTTGCTGCACCAGCCCCCCCACCCCCTTGAAAAAAAAAAAAAGGAGATATGGGTTCTTTTTGCCATTCTTTCTTAAAAAACAACCACTTGCTTTATTGGGGGGGTCCCCGCTTTAGGGGGGGGGTCACAGCTCGTCCAGGGGCCGCAGGCTGCGCTCCTGGAAGAAGCGGTGGGGGGGGCGCCTGGGGGGGCACCTGGGGGGTGCCCGGGCAAAGTAGGAGAGCAGCGAGGGGGTGTCAGCGGGGTCCTCCGCGGGGTCCTCATCAGCCCTGGGGGGCGGCAAGAGTTGGAGTGGGGTCCTGCATCCCCCCCCCTCACAGGGCAGGACCCCTGTGCCCCCCCACCAGTGCATGGGCCCCTGGTGCCCCCCCCCCGCCATTGCACAGGAACGTTCCCTCACCCTGGTCCCCCCATTGCACAAACAGGACCCCCCCCACGTCTCCCCCCAGCCCCCCCATGTCACAGACAGGGCCTCCTTGTTTCCCCCCCCCCCCCCCCAATTACCCAGGGACCACCCTTCCTTCTCCCCCCCATTGCAAGAGCAGCCCCAGACCCCCCCCAATAGCATCACACTGGGATCCCCACTAAGCCACAGCAGCCCCCATGCCTTCCCCCCCACCCCAGCTCCCTGCCCCCCCCATACCATTTAACGGGGACCCCCCCGCGCTGCAGCAGCTCCCGCGCTGTCCCCCAGCTGAAGCGCACGAACTGGGGGAACCCGAAAACGGGCTCGAGGTGTCGCCGCAGCCACTCCTTTGTCTTGGGGTCTGGGGGGGGGGGGGGCCAGGCCATGAGGGGTGTCAGATGCCGGGGTCCCCCAGGGGCCAGGCCCCCCCTGCACCACCACCCCCCCCCCCGCCACTCCTACCGTTGGGGTACCCCGACCCGTAGTCACGATCAATGTCCTCCAGGTCCTCCACAAAATTCCAGTGCTTCACGGCCCGGTCACGGGCAACCTGGGGGGGGGGGGATGGCAGAGAGATTTTGGGGGGTGCTAGAATGGTTGGCGAGGGTTCTGGGCCACCCCCCCACCCAAAAAAAATTCACTGCCCTGGGGTCCAGCTGGGTCTGGAGCAGAGTGAGGGGTCAGATGTGGAGTGCTGGGGGGAGAAGAGTGCTCTGGGGGGGTGTCGGGTCTCAGGGGGGTGTTCTGGGGGGGGGTGTCAGGTCTTGGGGGGGGTGTCAGTGCCCACCTTGGCACAGATGCTGGCGGCGCTGACGATGGGGAAGAGCGCGTCGGCTTTGGGGCGCACGGTCACCCCCAGCCCCGGGAAGTGCTGCCGCAGCTTCGCCTCGTACTTCTCCGCTGGCCCCACCGTGTCCACAAACACCTGGGGGGAGCCCCGTTTCCCCCACAAATCATCCCCAGATCCCCCCAAAGCCATCCGTGGCTCCCTGATCCATCCCGAACATCACCCCCCCCAGCACCCCAAAATCCCTGCAAAGGCTCATCAGCTCCTCCAAACCCTCTGCTGTACCCTGAAACCCCCCCTGCCCAAAGCCCCCCTCAAATCAGCTATAAATCCCCCCAAAACCAACCTGGACCCCCCCCCCCCCCAGAACTCCCAAACCCACCCTAAATTACCCTCAAGCACTTACAGACTGCCTCAAACCCCCCAAACCGCCCCCGCCCTGAACTCCAACTGCCCCCCAAACTGCTCATCCCCGTGAGGGAAACTGAGGCACGGAGGGAGCAGGAAGGTGGGCTTTACCCCAGCCCAGGACACTCCCCGTTTCCCCACCCTCCCCCCCAAGCTGGGCTGCCCTCGTGCCCCCCAGCCCCCCCCAACCCACCTCGGCCACCTGCACCCCAGAGTCCAGCGCGAACTGGATGAGGCCCACGGCCGTATCGTGCGACAGCTCGTTCAGGTTGTACTTGGCTCTGGGGGGGTCGGGGGGGAAGGAGGGGGTGTCACCCCCCAGCACCCCAAATGGGGAGCCACCCCCCACAACATCCTAAACTGGAGGGTCAGGAGCACCCAAAGGTACTGGGGGGACCAAGGGGGGGGTCCCAGAGGGGTCTATGGGACCCTGGGGGCTTTTGGGACGGGGGGGGGTGTCTCACTGCTGCTGCATGCAGGCAGAGATGTGGTCGGGGGGGGCCCTGGGGGTGTTTTGGGGGGTCTCACCGCTGCTGCATGCAGGCAGAGATGTGGTCGCGTGTTGGGGGATCCTGGGGGGTGTCTCAGGGGTTGGGGGTGACCTGAGGGGGTTTGAGATGCCATGCGGGGGGGTTAGGGGGAGTGTGCGTCTCACCGCTGCTGCATGCAGGCAGAGATGTGGTCGGGGGGGGACCCTGGGGGGGTTTTGGGGGGTCTCACCGCTGCTGCATGCAGGCAGAGATGTGGTGGGGGGGCAGCACGTGCAGTGCCCACCCCAGGACGTCGCTCGCCGCCTCCAGCAGCCCGAAGCGCCGCTCCCGCTCCCCCTCCGAAAGCGTCTTCGAGTCTGGGGGGGGGGGGGGGGCCGGAGGGTAAGGGACCCCCACACCTCCCTAACCCTAACCACCTCCCCCCCAAGAACCCCCCAACCCCACCCGCGTGTCCTAAACCCACTCGTTTGGGGACTTCCCAAACTTCCCCTCCGCCCCGGGGGGGGGGGGGGGGGGGTCCCTACACCCCCCGCAGGACCCTCCCACGGCCCCGGGTGCCCCCCCCCCCGCCCCACCTGCTACTCCCAGCGCCTCCAGCTCCTCCAGTTTCTCCAGGGGGCAGTAGCAGATCCCATAAACCATCGGACCTGGGGGGGGGGGTGTGTGAGAACAAGGCGGGGGGGGGGGAAGGAAGGACCCCCCCCCCATACACACACACCCCCCCCCCCGTCTCACCCAGCACCGGCCCCCGCCCCGCCTCGTCCACGCCGAGCGCGCAAGGCCGGCGGCGGCACGGGGGGGGCACGGCCGAACCGAACCGCCCCCCGCCCGCCGGGTCCCGCTCCAGCCGCGCCAGCGCCATCGCGGGGGCGGGTCCCGCGCGCGGCACCCTGGGAGATGTAGGCGGCGGAGGGGGGGGGGGAAGAATATACATCACAGCCTCTTCCCCCCGCCCCCTTCCACGGGGGAAGGTCGGGGAGTTCGGGTCGGTGCGGGGGTCCCGGAAAACCACACACCCCCCCACCCCACCCCCCGCCATGTCCGGGAAGTCCCGCCCCGGGGCGGGCGGTGCCGGGCAGCGCGGGAAAAGGGGGGGGTGGGGGTGGGGGGGTGTTTCCCGGAACGGCCCCGCCTGCCCATATACGGTCATGGTTGCGTCAGCGGGGAAAGCCCCGGCACCGCCCCCTTCCGCTGACGTCGGTGCCCTCAGAAGCGGGGAGGGTCCCCCCCCCCTTCCCCACGGGGCGAGGTGAGACACGCGCGGGGGGGGGGGGGGGGGGGGGGGGGGGAGGGTAACACAACACACGCACCGGAAGAGACACCCCCCGACAAAAAACCAGCACCATTAGACCAATTATTACAATTATTATTAAATACAAACGTACAAAAAAATAAAACAGCAACAACAAAACCGCCCCCCCTCAGATACAGGGGCACTGGGGGGGTCCCCCGGGGGCTGTTTCCCCACCAGGGGTGTCCTGTAAACGTTACAGGGGGGGAATCCCCCCCCAATATGTCCCCCTTTTGGGGTGCACAGAACAGGGGCTCAGCCCCCCACAAAATGAGCCCTCCCGGGTGAATCCCCAGTTTGGGAGGGGGGGGGCCTGACCCTGCAGGTCTCCCCAGACCTGAAGGGGTCCCCAGGCCCAGCTGGGGGGGGGGCACCACGGGGGGTACCCAGGCCCAGTTTAGGGGTCCCCAGTCCATCCCACAGGTCCTGTTCCCGCAGGCCCTGGGGGTCCCCAACTGGGGGTGCCTGGTCCTGCAGGTCCCTTCAGACTGGTCCATTCTGGTGGGGGGAGGGCCCATTCCAGGGGTCCCTCATCCCCACAAGTCCTTTTGGGGTTCTCCATCGGGGGTCCCCAGCTCCCCCAGGTGCATGTTGGGGGAGGGGGGTGGGTGTCCTTTGAGCACCCTGAGAAGCAGTGGCTGGAGCCAATTAGGGTCTGTGTCCGCAAGGGCTCTTGGGGTGTCCACGGGGGTCCCCATGGACAGCCCCCCAAACCGGTGGGCCTCATCCAGCACCTCCGTACCTCCCCACCCATGACAGGGGTTCCTGTCTGTCCGGCTCCGTGGAGTCCCTGACAGGATG